TTGCAGAACCCCCTCACCCCCTTATATCTCATTCCACACTCAACCAAAAAATGTTGGGTAAGCTCAGGCAGGTATATATACACTAGAATAGAACCTCTGCCAAGTCAGAATGGGAATATCTGCTGTGGTTGAAGAGAGGGAGAGAAAATGGGTCCTGTAGGCCATGGGAAAGAAACAGTGTCCACTAGATCTCTCGTGATGCTCTCAACGGACTGCAGCGGAATGGCTTGGCGTATCATGAATATGCTGTCTATAGTACAATACACCAGCCCGATAGAGTAAATAACGAGCGTGTCGAGATAGAGAGGCAACTTTGCACATCTCCCGGGCCCATATCGTGACAAAAGCGTGACATCGCTCGCGGCGAGATCCCACTGTGACCGCATGTGACACCTTTTTGCAGAACCCCCTACATGAACCGGCATCTCTCTCCTACGTTCCACAGGCTGCATAAAAATGCAAAAAAATAATGGGGACGTTCATCACTAAGTTACACACAATATGCGGAAGATCCGGTAAGAATCCGTCAAGTTTGCGGAATGCTACAGGCCGAATTCGATACTTTTTGCAGAACCCCCTCAATGATAGTATTGTTCTTGCAAGCACTGTGTCCCGCAAGATGACCTATAGACCGTACGAAGGCATGTACATCCAGTGCCTCAAACATGACCGGTACTATCCCGTTCACAACTCCGGCAGTCCGCATTCAGTGCGAACGCCGCCACGCGCTACGCAGATTCAAAACGCAGCTGGTCTTATTACAGCGATCTGGCAAAGAAGCAGTAGCCAAGTAGCAACTTGAACTGCCCGATGTCTTCTACGAATATGACGCACAAATCCAGAGAAGGATCAAAACCAGATCAGAAAAACCTCATCCACCCGTCTAGTCAACCGGACTCTCGGAGGTCATGACCTCACGACCACCTGGGCTAGACTGTCATTGATGCTTGACAAAGTACAGTGTACGATAAACTGAGCGGATCGCATACTTGTAGAAAGCCAAGAATCCCGGTTCCACGGAGGTTTGCTCAGATCTGCTTACGGCCTGCATACCTCGCGCTGGCCATACAGAGCATTCAGCGGAGACCACACACGTGCGGGCCAATGGAAGAGCGTCGTCTTCATGTCTTTTTCGATAGCCTGAGTAGAGATATGGCCTCTTTCGTGTACACTTCTCTGTTCGGATCATCCAGCACCTGTATATGCGAGTCAAAATTACGACGTGAGAGAGATGGGGTGGAGGAAGAACCTGCCTCCTCCCAAGTAAACTTCTTCCGGAGCAACGTGAAGAATCGCTTGTCGGCCTGGGTACCAGTGGGCACGATTGAGGAGTGTCGAGGAACATGATTTAGCTGAACTCACTTTGCGACGCTTCTTGTAACAGAATAAGACTTCCGTCCGTGGGTCAGACACCAATTCAGATAGAGTCTCCACTAGTAGTGGGAACGCAGGCTCGAAGTACACGCAGTCCGCGGCTAGGATGAGATCCGGAGGCCAAGGGATTGAGTCCGGTATTGGTTCTCCCCTATATACATCTGTGGTTAGCGACGGTGATTAGACCAAAGCAGCATTCACCAGTTTAGTTCCGCAGCTTCTACGCAACAAGCAAGCTTGTTTATGTTGATATTTGTTTTCATGATCTCCAAGAGCGGTCTATGAAAATCAAAGATTGTTGCATGGGTAATCGCCCTCAGAATAGAACGCATGAGAGTCGGTGTACAATTGGTCGGTGATCCATGTCTTCCCGCCTAGCAGACCTGCGACCAAGCCTACCAGCCCAGTGCCGCTGCCCAATTCAAGGACCGTTTTGCCCGCGAGGGAGCCCCGACCTCTACGAGCGAGATATGATGCGAGAACCTACAGCACATCCAGGCTAGTAAGACACTTGAAATATATGGATGCGATGGATGGATCCCATCAATATATCCGAGATGAGGTCAAAGACGCACTTCTCCTGCAGGCCATGCCAAGCCCCCGCAACCGGGCGAGGCATCGACGTTCAGAAAGATCTCTATTTGATCTTCAGCCCTGCTGCTGTCGGCGGGGCCACAGGGAAATGAAAGCTTGACGGTCTGATTCTGCACCGATGGTGGTTGTGGCGGCAAGATCTCATCGTCCTCGCGCAGGTGTCGTAAGGGATCTTGGAAATCTAATTGCTCTTCTCTCTCCATTTGCCTGCCGATGTCAAGGTCGTGGGTAGACATAGCGCACTGGGCTTTGTGGGTGGAGACGAAGGCAGTTTCTTGCGGTACCGCGTCTCGGCACAGCGTATTGGGCAGCGCGTTCCACCCACGCCTCGACCAGAGCCTCCGTGCACCACCGTCAGCAGCGACGAAGAGGTCAAGCAGGTACAGACTCCACTTGGTCAGGGCATCGTGGGCACTGATAATTATAAGCGATCCATGCTTGACTGATGCGCTGATGGCTAGCACGGGGCGCACGGGTGCTTGCCCGACGTGCACCGGGATTCGGCTTTGGCAAGGCTTACCCAGGTTGTCCCGAGTTGCAGTCACTGACGCGATCATCCTGAACTTAGGCGCCGAATGAATCCTGAGGCACGGCTCATCACAGCCGGAGCTAAATCCGCTCATGCTCCTGATAAGTCGCAGTCCATGATGCTCCCATCAAAGACCCCGCTGCTCATCCCTTCACCACCACCAGCAGTCCGCGTCGTCCCCCCCAGCGCGCAGACACCTTTCCTGCATGGTTCTAGAGTTTCTCGAACCCCGTTCGCGAATCTACCCCGGCGCTGCTATTGCTAGACGCCCAGAGTCGTCGGTGCCTGCTAATGCCTACAGTGGCGTCAGGTGCCACGGTATACCAGAGTACGAGACCCTCGACGACGAATACGATTACGACCTTATACCCTCCCGACGCTTGCCAGACAAGTCGGGTCCGTCCAGATTACGGACAGCATTCTCATGCTCCACCATATCATCCCACGTTACCGCTGCAAGCACTAGCTCGAGCAGCAGCAGTTCCTCGGATCTGGATCCACCATATCCCCCAACACCATCATATTCCTCCGAGTGCCTTCCAGATGCACGTTCACTTTACCCAAGTACACCTTCATCCGGGTCCCGGCCATCCCTAGAATTTGGGGATATGCCGGTGTTTGACGTATCTCCGTTAAGGCCGAAGCGGAAGGAGGTTTATGGACGGACCTCGGGGGAGTGCACACGAAGCGACGACTCCGTCGACGACAGACCACCAGTGTACGCCCAGGAAAGCCCAAGATCGATGCGGCGACCTCTCCCCTTACCCCCACAATCACCCACCAGACCCCGGCGTCCATCCGTCGTACGGCCTCTCCCTATGCCTGCCGTTGACCCTCCTCCCTACACTTCGATACAACCATTAGTTCATGACCGTTACCGCAGGTCAATACGTCCTCTGCCCCGGCTCCCACAGCCGCAGCCTGCTGCGGAGACTAAGCCACATACAACCTCACCGCCACAATCATCTGGGACGCTGGCGCAGGAACCTTGGGCTTCGGCAGAGGAAGGACTGCGCCAAGTCCCCACAGCTGAAGTAATTGATTGGGATGCTGTAGAAGCAGCGATGTTGTCCGCGGATTCCGATGAGGATTCCGATGAAGATTCCGACTCTACTATCGGACCGCCTCAATAGTTTCGGAGACCCGTCAGACATGGTGCTGAGGGTTTGCTTAGGAGAAATATGTTGTGGAAGAGCACAGAAACGTTGTCACGGATGGTTTTCACGACCCTTACGCCTTCTACCCATTCACTATTGAACACTAGTTATTCTCGTAATTTATTCCCTTCGGGTTTTCCGCCCATACTTCTTAGTGTCAATGGACAGCCCCCAATGGTTCAGGAGCCCTAACTCATTATCGCATTGCATGTTTAGAATAAACCATTTCCCCCCTTCCTCGTCCCAGAGACTGCAGTCCACCTCGGGCATTTTACGACTGAATGCTGTAGCACGATAGCTCAGTTAGAGTTTCATACGCGTACAGAAATAACCTCTTGGGTTTGTGCCAAGTGCGTCCGTCACAATCGCAGGAGCGTGGATCATTACTTCCAGGAAATCTTCTCAAAGTTGAGTTCAGACCATCCAGTGGAAGACAGAGACTGCGCATAATCAGAGTAACTGCAAAGACAATCCGATGAAGTCTTAGCATATCTCACACGAGATCCAAGGATCATTGCGATGACAGTTGAGTCTACGTTCGGCACAACGCTAGCCAATGGCAGGTTTGCGGGGTCTTATACCCCGCATAGTCGATGACCAGTATAGCGAAGGTGTACCAAGTAACAGTCTTCAATGACTCGAACACTTCTCTCTTTCCACGGAATGTCTTCTCCCCGGGCGGGCATCCGCGCCGTCAGATACAGGAAGGTCGCCCGGTCTTCATGCTTATTACCGTCAACTGAACCACATCAACATTCCACCAGAATCGAAGCACGAATCGATCGACGCTCGCACCGAAGGGCATCGATGTGGTGCATTTGGGAGGCAGTGCGGCATCTAGCTAGATATGAGTGCACATCGACAATTCCCGGGAACGTGCGTGATCTTCGGGCTTATGTTGAAATGCCTTGACATTCATGGCTCCGACTCGTACAGGTAACGCTAGGGTAATCTGTGAACTGATCCTGGCAAAACGTGCACGCAGTCTTTATGATGAGATCTAATACAGACTCACTAAACCGAACGCACAGGTCGGACGCTTAAAGTGCCGGGAGCCAGCAAGTCCTCGGTAACGGCTTAGTTCTCTTACGTAGAGTGGGATAGCCATGATAACTGAAATCAGCATACCGTGAATATATCCGCAACATTGGGATCAATTGGTGCCTGTTAGAGGTACGACACATACAACAAATTACGGACTAAGGCGGCGGAAAGGTTAAAATGGATAGTCCGCGACATGTTCACCTTCAATCGCTTCACCATTCTCCAACTGCATACGATGGCGTTCATCCAAATAGGGCAGCAGGATGTCCTGGTATAGTCGCCGTCCCTTATACCTACCAAAGTCACGTTGATACTTGAGCAAAAAATTAAATATCTGAGGCGAACTCACTTCGCTACATCCTCCGGCCAGCTCCTGATGGCACTGGCCATTCTGCCCGGAACACCCTTCTCCTTAGCAAGATCCTCCACCGAGAAGAGGTAGGTCCTGATCGTGAAGGCAATCGCACCGCTCCGAGGCAGCCGCCTCAACGTCTGCCTTTCCGTACGCAAACGCATATTTCGCGGGAGAACGTAATCAGGAGCTTCTGTGGCCACGTCCTCTTTGAGGACTACGGGCACACGCTCCTTGCGCTGCTCGACTCCTGGCGTGCCGTGCGTGAAAGCATCCTCGTCGCCATTCGTAGAGTTCGACCAAGCGAGCTCTTGTGGATCGATGACCTCCTCGCCATCCTCGGGTGGTTTGGCAACCTGGAGGAAGTAGTTGTTCCTTATGACAGGTTTGTCCACTGGCATTCGCTTGAAGAAACGGGCCATGCTCGTGTGAAGCTTCTCTTTATCTGCAGCATCGACACAGGTTAAACGGATGCGAAAATGAATACACCGATGATACATACACTGAGGTACATTGCCAGAAAGATGTATTTCCTCCAGGGGCATGCCAATCTTGTCCTGCATGCGCCAGAAGCCTGCAAGATCAGGTTAAGGGTGACATAATGGTGGACATGAAATGCTACCTGCCTGGTAACATGATAGCGCCTGCTTGGAAATAGTACCGTCCATCGGAACCTAACTTTCTCGTAGGTTGTCCAGAAGCTAGAGGTCAATTAGCCCACCTTCGACCATCAATGCGAGATCGTCTTGTATCCTAAAGAGCGGTCATACATATAAAGCGAGACCGACCGAGTACATGGAATCCTTACAGCAAACCCGAGACTTTCATAGGATCTTCGGAATCCAAGTCATACGTCGCACCAACTGGGACGATTGTAATCGTTCTGATCTGTGGCAGGCCGTACCAGCCAAAGCCCTCGTCTTTCTTAGATCCCCGTTCTACTTTGTATGTGGTCGGATAGCGACGCGATAAATACTCGGCGAGTTCATGAACCAGCTCCTTGGCTTAACACAACGTAAGCGAGAACAATCTGTTGTTATCGGCGAAAGTTGTATGGACTAACCAGCGAGATCACCACTGCGGACGATCCCAGGCCTGTCAGGTAAAGTCCTCACGACGCGGTCGCCGCGGGTCTTGGCGCGGTGGGTCTTTATCTTATGGTACTGGGGAAATTCGTTGTCAAGCTAGAGAAGACAGTCAGTATCGAATCTAGCAGCGTACGCTATCCGCTCCTGCAATACGCTACGGACTCACTTGAATCCAGTCGTCCCAAGGCATGTTCCTAAGGCCCATCGTGACACTAATCACGATCATCAGGAGGCAGGACGGTTGGAACACCCCTTAATACTGACTGATATTGTCCCCAACGGAAGGGCCTATAAGGTATTGGATTGATGTCACTCAACTCGCAGCCTACAGGGCCAAATGTTGGATATGTAAACGGCTCAGGTATCCACTCTGACGATCGGGGGTTATTGCACTATGAGTTCCTGGCACCGCACAAGATAGTGGAATGCAGCCGCACCTCCATTCTCGCGATCCTTGTTCTGCTTCCCCGAAGTAACCGGTGTTGCAGGCGGCGATATCTCCTTGAACGGCCTGCGCCGCAGAATGGTGTCTTTCCACAGGAAACATAAGTACGAAAGAGAGAACACAACGATCGCAGCCCGACAAGCCGTCTCGAGGTCGAACGACATAGTGGATGACTGAGGCAAGTCTAAGGCGCGCAAGGAACTAGAACCAAGCGCGAAGATGCTTTATAGCGGTCTTATCACTGCTTAGCCTGCGATAAGATAGAACTCAGTACAGCTCGGGCTGAAGATATTGGCAGTTGCCCTGTGAGTCGTTCGGAAATCTGGAGGCGCTTTGGCGAGCACAGCTGGAGCATGGCTGCATCGTGGGCGGTTACATATCTCGGACAGAATAAGAACGCGAAGATACATGGGTCACTTGATTCGGGCCGCACAGGATGCACAGCGAGGGTAACGCTATTGGGATTGCTCGGAAACAGGAATCATTGAGACATATTTCTGGACGGGTGCTAAGACGCGAGCAGAGGTATACAAGCAGGAGAGAAAGTTTACTTGGTAGAAACACCGGTTCCAGTGTGGACGCACAGTGGGAGCATGAGGAAAGTCGCTCGGCGATTACCGGCTTCGGACAGTCTATCGGGAGAAACCGACAACGCATCGTCTCCGGTAACACCAGCTCGTTCGTCCTTGCATTTTCTGTGAGTGAAGCAGTGGAAGATGTTTGAAGCTCTCATTAACATTGATTAGCAGACTCTCATGGCGACCAAGGCAGCCACCACGGCGGTTGTAAGGAGCACCTTCGCAAACTCTTGTGCTATTTACTAAGGGCCATTGTAGGATTTCGCCCGTATATACTCCACGCTGGGTCTCGGAAAGGGTATGCTGTGTTGCAACATCCCCAGCATTTAATCTTGACTTGCGGAATTTGTCTTTTAGAGACCGTAGCCGCCGTACAAGCGTTCCGGAAACGCCATGCTGACGCTCAGCGCGTCCATGCTCAGTATGCTTCCCAGCCTACCACGGTGGACATTGCCCACTATCGTTCTATCCTGAAGAATAAGGCGGTAGTAGATGAGGTTGAGAAGCAGTTGAAGGACTTCAAGCCTGTCACCTACGATGTCAGCGCTCAGCTGAAGGCTATTGAGACATTTGAGTCGAAGGCGGTACGTCCCCGCCTTCTGCTGTTCTGTAGGATATTGATCATTACGCGGTACAGATTGCGAAGGCGAAGGAGACGGAGGAGAAGATTGACTCTGAGCTGAAGGAGCTCCAATCAACCCTCGCTAACATCGAGGAGGCACGGCCGTTCGAGGATTTGACTGTACGTGATTTTCGTGGCCTGTTTCCACGGGTGCTCTGATTACTTACTTTACACGTAGGTCGAGGAGGTTGGTCAGGCACACCCGCGTATCGTGGAGGCCGTCGAAAATATGCTCAAGAAGGGCAAATGGACCGTGCCAGGTATGTCCACATCAATGCAGTTGCCGAGAGCTACATTGACTTGTTGCTGCTTAGGTTACAAGGAGAAATTCGGAGACATGTCTCTTATGTAAACCATTGTGGTGGCCTTACAATAGACTGTCAAGGACTCTTCCGTTTGGCTCAGCTGAAGCGTCGCTTTAATGAGAGTATGGCGAGGATGGATTTGACGTGTAATGGTGGATCATCGTTCAGCCTCCCCCTCTGGTGCATTAGGATACTGCAATTATACCTGATAACCCCACGCTGGCTCCGGAGCTGAGAGGGTAAGGCTACCTTGTGCGCTGCCCGCCAAAACGCCACACGTATACATAGAATGCGAGCCGCTCGCAAGTCCAATCCAGCGTAGTTATCACGTGACCGATCGCGTTCTAAAATAACCCAGCCGAAATCTTTTGCACGTCGAATTTGTGGCAATTGTGACTTCGTACCAGGCTTCGTTCAGATTCTGGAGAATCCTGAGCTGCACACTTACACTTACCTGCTCTGAGCTGCCACGATGCCAAGGGAAAATAGAAAGCGAGGCAAGAAGCACAGGAATTCCGCAGTCGACCAATACGAACCAGTACCACACGAGCAAGAATACGAACCTGAGGCAGCGGAGAATGAAGCGGGACCGTCATGGATTGTCTCTGCGCCTCCAGTGGAGACGGCTAATCCAGAAGCACCTTTTGGATATGTGGAGGCGGACATCAAAGCATACTTCCGTACCGTGGATCTACAACTTCGTGAATGGCAAGATCAGAGGAATGCTTCACAGCCGGAGGACAATGTTGATATTGATCCCAATGAAGGTAAGTGTCTACTTGGCAATTGAGCCTTATGGGAACGCTGATTGTACGCAATCAGAGCGTCGCCTGTTCTTCCTTGCCGCGCTAACGGAGATGAGAGGAAAGGAGAAGCAGCTTGCTACAGATCCAGATTGCTCGAACATCCTTGAAAGGATGGCTCATTCGATGGACGACTTCATCCGCCGGGTTTTCGTGGACAGTATGATGGGTTCGTAAGTATGGATGTCCTCCTGCTTAGCTTGCACTTAACCGATTGTGGGTGAGGAAGTTACGTGCAGCTCGTCAAACATCGGTTTGCGTCGCACGTCTGTCAGACCGTCTTTGAGGTAGCTTCGAGCACGGTATCAAGAGAGGCATGTCTTCCATCCGCTCCAAGTGGTTTCTAACCCGCTCATGACACGATAGACACGAGGTATTCTCCCCTCAGTCCCCCAATCGGAAGAACAAGGTGAACTACGCTCTCTGACGGACCTTATCCTGGAGATATGTGAGGTTAGGATGACTCTCCTCAAATGCCTTCTTCTGCTCAGCGTAATCACAGGAACTCCTTCCGTCCTTTACTACCCTCATCATGGATCCCTTCGCCTCTCACGTACTTCGTGCTCTCCTGCTTCTTCTTTTCCCCGCCTCTCTACCATCAGACCATCAGAAGACACTGCGCTCGAAGAAAAGCGCCGCTTGGAAATCGAAACACGTCGGTACTATGAAGTCCGTATTTGGTGAGAACGGGGGCACGGAAGAGGTTCATTCTGTTCCCCCAAGCTTCATCGCCATGGCCGTTAAATTTGTGGAAGTACTACAAGATGAGTTAGGGCCGAATGAAGTACGAGCGCTTGCGGCGGACAAAGTTGCAAGTCCGGTACTACAGGTATTATCGTGGAGTATCCTCGGGGGGACAGGATATCTTACCTCTGCGTTCAGATGCTGTTAGAAATAGAATCCGCTAATGCTATAGCGGACAAGTCGGACAGCCTGATGGACAGGGTTCTGGCTGGCCTAATATCTGCTTATCGTACGTATTCTGTTTTATGAGGAGAAACATCGTGACATCAGTATAGATGACAACCCAGAGGCAACCGTTGACCCATCTGATTATGTTAATGCGCTTCTGCGCGATCCTACATCGTCGCACATGCTTGAAACCGTGGTTGCTCGTGTCCCAGAACCTGTTTTTGGGTCTCTTTGGGCGGTTTACATTCGGCCGAAACTTGCTCGCCTTGTAAATCACCCTGTAGCCAACTTCGTGGTGGCGCGGGCCATTGGACGCACAGATGAACAGCAATTACTTGAATGTTACACCGATCTAGAGCGTGAGGGTGTCCTCGGCAAGATAGTTAGTGAGTGGGAATATCTGACGCCTACATGATACTTGACTAATACACTGCAGAGTCGGCCAGACTTGGTGTTCTGAAAGCTATGATAGATCGAAGTCAAAGCCTTCCTTCAAGAGTCGAAGGAGTGATCGAGGTACCGCTGTTCCCTAGCCCTCAACCTTGTAAATTGCTCATGACAGTAGGCTGTGTGCAAAGCGTTCGACCTCCATTCTGCTGAAGACCGGAAGTTAATTGTGCCATGCATCTTGCACATGCTTCCATTGAAGGTATTGTCGAATATATCAGGCCAATGTGAATCATCAACTCACCTCGGTGCTAAGGAATATAAGCGAAGTGAACCTAGCCCAATCAATGAGGAGCAACAGCAGGGCGAGGCGAAAAGCAGTAAGAAAGCTCGATCGCGCAAGTTCGCCGGTGATGCCCCGAAGGGCGAGGAACGAACAAGAGAGCCGAAGATACAGGGGGCTTTGCTACTGCAATCTATACTTCACCTTCCTTCTCCACATAACGAACTTGTGCTTGACAGGTGAGTCCTCTTTCGTTTCCTGTATCGGCCAGATGAACAAATGGACACCTTAGTGTACGAGCCCTCCCCATCGACCAGTTGATAGCTATCTCGCACCACCCCATCAGCTCTAGGATACTCGATGCCGTGTTAGACTCGCCAGGGATGTCGGTTACGGTCAAGAGGAAGTTCATTATGTCCTTCCTTGGGTCTTTCCACCTTCTCGTGGACGATCGTATAGGAAGTAGAGTAGGTGATAAGTGCTGGTCCATTGCTGACCCCTTCTTGAAGGTTTGCGTTATATTATTCGCTTGTTATTGTTGGTCCCTGACGGAACGTCATGTAGGAGAAAATCGCGCGGTCGCTCATTCCTCATGAGCAGTTCCTGGTAGCCTCATATTACGGGAAGTTCTTTGCGCGGAACCTCCGTCTGCCGTTACTAGAGCGGAAGCCCGACGCGTGGAGAGCACTGCAGTCTGGGGAGGCTCAGCCTAAGCAAGGCGTGCCGTCGACCGTTGACGATCCTGATCAGCGCGATCCGAAAAAATCGAAGACGAGTCCCAACGCTCAGAACCCGACTTCGAGTGTTACCGCAAAGGACAAGGGTAAACGCAAGCGAGATGCGCAACATGGGGACGATATCGATGTACTTTTTGATGAGTCTTTTGGTAAGAGAGTCAAACGAGGAGCTCTTCCAAGTTCAGAAAACCCCAAGTCGAAAGTCTCTGCGACCGCTGCAGAAGATAGAAATCTGCAGGACGTCCTGAAGGCTATACATTCTGCTCCATCGGATGATAGGCCAAGACATAGTAAAAAGCGGACTAAGTAGTGTTCCCTCGGGCCTCATAGTTTTAGGTCTTATATGTGGCATAGTTTGCTGTTATGCCAGTAGTGACCAATGTCTAAGGCTACTTTTGGTAATTGCGGTCGTCAGTCGATAGAAAGTGATGCTATACACCTCAACCCATCTCCACATCTTTATCCTCAGGCCGCGGCTCGCCCCTCGACACTGAGTTGACTAGCTCACGCCTCACTTCCGGTCCAATTTGAGGGTGGAAGTGGACGCGAACAACATCAAGGAGTGCGTCTTTCTGGTCTGGGGAGAGATCTGCAGCATATCTTTATAAAGTCACAGGGTAAGTCTGAGCCCGGACGTGTGACGGCAAACAGGACCTACCGCTGACAGAAAACAAGCAAACTCTGATGCCATAACACTGGTAACTTATCACTATCTCCTCGTGTACGAGCTTTGTAGGTGTTGGATAGCCTTATGAAGTGGAACACCAGAGCGTCCAGCACCTTGTAGGGCAGTGCATGCTTCTTATCCAGCAAAACGCGGATGAACAACGAGTTCGGGCCTGAAACAAATCATCGAATCCGGCAACAACCACTTACAGCATCCTCACTTACCTGTGTAGTCCATGCTGGCTAAGCGAATGAGCGCTCCAGATGCTGGAAGGACAGGTATATGCGCCTTAGCCAAGACAGAAGCCACGATAGCAGCTTCTTTCAATGTGGACCCGCTCTGCGTGCCTTTGCATCAGTTAATGGAAGATCGCAATCCTCTCTATCACTTACCTCCACCAGGGGAAATAGTATAGCCTTGAAGAACGCGCCTGGTTTGTACAGGGCTCGAATCAATGCTTCATAATAGTGGACGTTCAGCTTTCCATTCAGCCGAATATCTTCACGGACGGCGTCAAGTAAGACCACCTGGAGGAATAACTGCGCCTGATCTTTCTTCATAGTAGAAATGAATATTCGAGTAGCCGCTCTGCAAGCATGAGGTGACCAGCTCTCCGGGCGTGTGAGGGCCAGCAAACGAGCCCATGCGGGAAGTGAGGGTAAGACCTTGAACGGTTTTGGCAACGGTCCGGAGCGATAGCGAGACAAAAAGATGCCGATCCTGAGAACGCAGCTCAGTCGCAAGTCAGGAGTAGGATGAATATTTGTCGTACTTGGTGTATACTTCCACGACCTTTGGATCAAGACCAGCAGCAGGATCAGGGGGGCGGCCGGTATCTGCATTCAGTATTCAGTCATTATATTATGGCGAATCACACATAGGTCAAGCAGACCTTCGGGTCGATACCGGATCTTCACTGTCTCAGTGATTCCGCCCTCTAGTTTCGAGAATATAATGTCGGCGAGTGTCCGACGTTCACCGACATTCGTCGGTAGAAGTGTATCCAAAGTCTGTAGGTCTCCGGAGTCTATTTGCTTTGGACGTATTGATGCCCGTACGAGACAGTATCCCTGAACAAACTCACAAACTCCTGGGCAGCTTCGTCTGCTCCCATTTCAGAGAAGGCATTCTCCTCCTCTTCCTCCTCGTCGTCATAGTATGTTTGTACAGGACGGGGCTTCGATTGATCGTCCTCGTCCGATACATCTTCATCTCCAGATGATTGCAGTTCCTCCTGCTGGTCTCGGGCCAACTCAAATATACGCTTCGACGTTCTGGGATCTAGCAGAACCTGTGACTTTGCATCGGTATCATAGACACCCCTTGCTACTATGCGCGTCGTACCTCCTCATTTTCGTCGTCTTCCCCACTCTTCCGTCCCTTCTTCCGTCTACCAGGCTGAGAGACGGATCCATATTTCTCGTGAAGCTCATCTTCTTTGAGCTGAATGTGGAGGGGATCGTGTCTGGTCTTACCGCTTGCTTTCGATGCTCGAGGCATGGCGATAGACGACCGAAATGCGAAAAATCAAGCGAGAAACGTGCGGTAAGGACTTAGATGCGAAAGTGCAAGCCGGATTTTTTGTCCGACTGTGGCTATGCGGGCCGCCGCTATAAACGGCCTCGAGTCGAGCTCGGCAGCGTTTAATTAGTGCAGGGTCACCGGTCCACCGCTCTACTCGACAGATAAAAACCCCTCCCAGCTCAGGGACAGTTTCACTCCTTTCCTCTTGCCACCCCCGAGCAGAGCTGTCAAATGCCGTCTTCAGCAGTTGCAAAAGTGAGCATGAGTCTTGCATGATCTTTCCGGATGTGAGATGTCAGAAGCGTGCTCGGACGTTTGGGCGCGTTGCAGACGGGGGGGGGGCAATGAGGCGTCCATTTCTCATTGCTATCGTCGTGTTGGAAGACTGTATTGATCAAACATACTATAGATCCATACTGTCGACAAGAATGGACAGGAGATCACTACGGTCGGGTTTCAGAGGTTCGGTTTCGACAGCGAAGTTCCCCTGGATGTCCTTCGGTCTCTATACCTTCGTGCTCACTACGTAGTGACCGCCAAGTCAGGAGAGGAGAGCAGCGAGCAGGAGGAGCAACACGCCCGGTTCACTCAGGGCGCTAGCGAACTGTACCAGTCGAAGTCGATCTACCACGCGGACACTCAGTCCATCTCATACACCACTCTTTCTCGCTTCCCACCAGTGAAATTGTTGCCGTCGGACAAGCGCAAACGCATCCTTGTCACCGGGGGTGCTGGTTTCGTCGGTTCGCATCTTGTTGACCGATTGATGCTGCTCGGGCATGAAGTCACAGTCCTGGACAACTTCTTTACCGGCTCTAAGACCACAGTTAGTCACTGGGTCGGCCATCCCAACTTTGAATTGGTCCGACACGATGTTGTCGAACCATTCATGATTGAATGTGATCGTGAGTGTTCGTAGACTCCCCGAGGTAACCGGACTGACGCCATGCTGGCCTAGAAATCTATCATCTGGCTTGCCCAGCCTCCCCTCCTCATTACCAGTACAATGCCGTCAAGACCATTAAGACGTCATTCATGGGAACGTTAAACATGCTTGGGCTTGCGAAGCGGACGAAAGCTCGCTTCCTCATTTCCAGCACATCTGGTTAGTGGTCCGTTTATGCTGACAACGCCGTTTCACTGAAAAGCAATCGATATACAGAGGTATATGGTGATCCCGAGGTCCATCCCCAGAACGAAGACTAGTAGGTCTGGCTTCGGATTTTGATAACCGTGATTAATCTCCCTTGCAGTTGGGGACATGTCAATCCGATTGGCCCTCGCGCCTGCTATGACGAAGGCAAACGTGTCGCTGAGACCCTGACGTACGGGTTCCAGCGGCAAGATGGCGTCGACGTTCGCGTTGCTCGTATATTCAATACGTTTGGTACGTATCTGTATTCGCGAGAACCATATATGTCGTATTGAATAGCGCTTTCGGCACAGGTCCTCGCAGTAAGCATTTAAAGGCTTCCATGCTTCCGTGCGTTCATTAATCATGCTTTCATAGTGAACCCCTATGACGGCAGGGTCGTCTCGAACTTCATCATCCAAGCCCTGCGCGGGGAAGATATGACTGTCTATGGTGACGGCACGCAGACCCGGTCCTTTCAATATATCCATGACCTCGTGGACGGCCTGATTGCTCTCATGAACTCTGACGAGACACGCCCTGTCAACCTCGGGAACGGCGACGAGTTTACGATCGGGGAATTCGCGGAAGTCGTCCGCGACATCGTCGAGAAGGTGCAGGAGGAGGACGGCCAGAAGCCCGCCAAGCGCGTCAAGATCGTGTATAAGCCCATTCCAATGGACGACCCCCAGAAGCGTCGGCCCGATACTACGAGGGCAAAGGAGACGCTCCAGTGGCAGCCTAAGTGGACTGTCAGGATGGGGCTGGAGGAGATGGTGAGGTACTACAAGGCGAAGATGGCGGAGGGCAGCCTCTGAGCTATAGAAATCACATCACATTTTCTTTCGGGAGATACGCTGTCGATTAATAGAATGCGGAAGGGTTTTAGTGCATAAAATGCTATAAGTACATTAGGGGCGGGATAACAGGACTTTTCGTCGTTAAGTCTAGATACGTATGCGAACGGACGTTAGATGCAGACAAATCATATACATATGATAAATGTGAACTAGTGGTAAAAATCGATGGTAGCAACAACAACGAATCCATGAGCCATTAGTGTCAAGTGAAATGCGACATCACATGCCATAAGGATGTGGCACGTCTGTTCCGAGGGCCCGAACAAAACATCATGATCCACCCACGAACCAGAAGGAAAGAAGAAGAATCATCACATGTCGTAATGATAATCAAAGCATACCATGCATAACGCGTGGCAGGGGGACACCGGTCGACGCCATGACCTTATTCATGGACCCCTTTATAACGTGTTTGTCCACGGCGAACGATTGGGGGTTGTACGTGGCGCGGCGAATACGTGAATCCTGAGCGAGCTCGTACGAGATCGGCTCTGAGGGTGGGAGGTGTGGAACGGAGAGCCCGCTGGTGTCTTTCCTCTCCCGGACGCGTCTGTCCCCGGGAGGTAGGGCGGTCTCTATGGAGCGGTAAGCTGGAGGAGTCAGATTATAACCTGGTTATGGTGAATACGAACCGACGTAAGACAAGCCGTCCCTCTCGCCGTGGAACCAGTGGCCCTGGATTCGCTCAGAGTATCTGCACAAGACAATTAGTACGGCAAGCCCCCCATCCCACGGACGAAATTTAACGTACTTGCGGATGGGCCGGCCGTCAGGCCCCAGTGGGTTGTACGCGTCCTTCTGGCTCTTCGCGTAATTTTTGATCGTGTCCATCTGGCTCTGGGCCACCTCCGGCCTGCAGCAGGAGAAAGACAGCGAGGAGCGCGGGTCGCGGTCGGCTATCGACGGGTCGTCGACAAAGTCGGCAAGGTCTTCGAGCGCGCGTTTCATCCGGTCATACATGGGTTCCGAGGGAGGACGGAGGACGGAGTCGTCAGTCGGCTTAGTGATGCCGGCCAGGAATTTAGCGAAAGCCTGGTTTACGATGTTTGCGAAAGATGGTACTAGGGACATGAACCCTTGTCCGCCTGGAAGTCACAGACTCAGTTCCAACCCGACTTCCGAGGGGGAGAGTTGCCTGACCTTTGACGACGAAAAACTTCCGCTGAGGCGCGTTGACTAGCGATTCCAATAGAACCTCGCCGTACTTTACTGGTTGCGGCTCGCTGTATTCTCCCTTGTGGCAAGGTCAGCACATGTCGAAAGATGTGATTTTGCACTCACTTGGATTATCAGAACCGGACAACGAATAGCCTCGTATTCCCTGGGGGTCATTGGCGTCCTCTGGGTAGCAAGATGATAAGACACTGGCACATCTAGGAGCTATTCTGTCATGGCCTTACATTCATGACAACGGTGATTGCTTGCATGGTCCGGGAACGACGCGTTGGGGGATAGTGGACGGTCCAGTGTGCGATGAGCTGGTCGGGGCCCCTCAGTCACGAATCCTTCTGGCTTATATTTTACGCCGTACCTCATCTGCGAGATCCAAGTCCGCGTCCTAGAGAAAATGCTCTTCAGCTACTCGGAAAGATTCAATGTAGAGGCGTACATACGCTTCCAGTAACATACCGGACGATCTCCATCCCGGCGTGTTCCAAGCTCTCCAGATCCTCGGCATGACACCAGGACTGGAACATCTCTTCGAGAGCTGTGAACACATGCTTGAGTCTTGTTGTCATAAGTACCGCACTGTATGAGATAGTGGAATGGAACTAACTCTGTAGGAGGAGGTACTGCACACAGAGTGAGGCTCAGGCACATCTCGGGGAACCTGTTCGACTACTTAACGGCGATAACGAAGGAAATATATACGCAGGGGACTCACAAAGCAGCAAATCGCAGTGCTATTGGTACGGACTGGCTACCGACTGCGAATACATGTGCGGGTGGAAGATGGAGAATCTGGTGCGAGATGAATGCACATTAGCATTTCAAGTAAAAGGTGAACGCACTTGATGAGCAAAGGCCAAATCAGCCGCTTCTACATAGGCGTCATGAAGCCCTGTGGGTCTACTAAGAGACTTTCCACAACAGCGGAGGTCAAATGCAATTATGTTATAGCGAGTAGATATTCGCGGGTCAGTCATTTGTGGGTTCATCCATGTCGAGTCCAGGGCAGGGGGGTGTAGTAGGATGACGGTCGGCTTCTTTGGGTCAAAGCTGCTGACGCAGCAGAAGTGGGTGTTGGTGGTGTACCAGATCGATGCAAAGTCATCTGTATCGGGGCGCCCCGAAGCAGCAGAGAATAGGTCGACGTAGGGCATTAGGTGATAGACTTTGTGGCAGCCGCATGCGAGGTCAGAGCGGTCATAATAAGCGCACTGCAAGTGACTCACCGCAAAAGATTAAAAAGTATGCGCTGGCATGAAGGGCTCATTCAAAAGTGTCGGACAGGCAGAATGCAGTCCGTGGATCCAGGAGCGCAGGCAGATCTGCCCCGTTAGATGGACTTGCCAAACAGGCCCTAGCAGTTAACTTTGTATTACCAGATCACCGCCGAGGCCTGATTCAGGTCCTGCCTGTTGCTTGCTCGCTGTTGATCACGATGTGGGGAGACGTGTGGTCGACGTTGGCGGCAACAGCGAGACTGCGAACAATAAAGATGCGATGACGGTCACCAGCTGGATTTGCATGATCGCAGGCGTGGGAAGGAAGGCACACTTAATGGAGGAATGTGTGTCCTGCCCTGGAACGGAAAGAAGCCCGGCCGATATGACAGATCTCAGATCGCAGCCAGCGGCCCCTGTGATTGGCCGGCGTTATCCTATATACGGGGACATCAGAAAACTATCTTTACATTTGCTCCCGTCCGTCGCGATGCCCTCTCGTCGCAGGCTTGGTCTCTTCTGCGGACTGCCGCGCTCGAGGCTGAGGTCGACAGGTAATACACTGTTATACAGTCGCAAGACGCTACGCCGTCACCATAAATGCCACAGCTTCCCAGAGCTTCTCTTGAGTGTCTTGAGAAGATCCGTTGCTTCTCATCAACCATCACCCCCAGCAATGCCTTCGAGAACCTGCACGATTCTTTGCTGCCGCTGTTCTCCCCGTCAGTACTTATAAGGAATACAAAGAAGACACCGCACGAACCTCCCTGTCCGCACTCGCGTCCGTGATGAACATACCGGGAACCCCGAGTCCTTCAAGGGCTGCTTGCTGTTTGCTCACCAGCCCATCCCAGGCCGTTAGCGCACGCTCGAGATCAAACTTCCGTAGTTCTTTTTGAAACGCGTCCGACATCATCTGACAAATGACTGTCCTCACGGTGTTACCGTATTGATTGAGGGTGACAGAACTCACATCGGCTTCATGTCGGGACAAGCCCCCGACTATGTTGGCTCTGAGAGAGTGCATGTCAGACTAGCTCACCAAAAGTTTTGATCAGCTCACCTTGTCCAAGCAACCCTCACTTTTGCTTCGTGCTTCTTATAAATCGCCATCCTTTCCTCGTATAGTTGTTTTTCGAGATCAGCTTGCTCTTGTCTCATCTAGACGTTTGAGATCAATCAACATTGTGTTACCAATAGAATCGTACTCACCTGAGCTATGACCGAGACGCAGGACGGATCCTCACCCAGCCGCGCGAGGTGGGGAAGCGCTTGCTGGAACGACAACCAGCGCAGATCCTGCTTGCGCGCGGACGAGGGAAACACTTGTGCAACACGAGAGGGGGCGGGGACATCCTGGCCCAACAGAGGTTGCAATCCACTGTGTTCAGGGCTTGCTCCGAGAGTCAATGGCTCTGCTTGGGTTCCGTTAGTCACGGAAGTAAAACTGGATGATGCTTGTAATTGGGAAAGCAAAGACGCGACGCTGGTAGAATTCACAGCGGGCTGAAACTGCTCTGGAACTGAGACATCATGGCGATACTCCGCCTGGGGAGCAGGTGCTGAATCGACCGAATTCGAGGGTGCGACGCTCTCCTGCCATGCTTGCGACTGTCTCAACTGATCAAGCAGCGCCTTGACTCCCGCCGGGTCCTACTTTGCCAACGAAAGAGCGTGGTCTCAGTTGCAGGTCCTAAGAACACGGAAGATCAGGCAAGCCAGTCCACACTTACGTTGATGTTCGTGAAGTCCATGAACATTTAAATTAGCATTGAACGCGCCAACCCCCGCTTCGGCGGACGCCGTGACGGCCACGCGCGATCACTTCAATCACGAGCGGGTACGTAAGCGTAACCGGACTGTATGTTTTGTTGCAAATGCTTTCGCGAGCTCGAGTAAGTGCGGCTCAGGCTGTTGCTAAGATCTGTGAACAGTGTGAAGAGGACACGCAGGTGAATCGAACGCGTGCATTTCACGGCGAAATCTCCGTTATATAGTTCCAACTGAGAGGATACAAGATCAAACGTAGCCAGGACTCGCCAGGGCCGACGGCGGAGTAGTATGTGTCAAGAAAGGCTAAGTGCGTTGGTAGCGACGACCACATAAACATTCAGGGGTCACATTTGCACTACGAGACTAGTCCCTTCAGGATAAGCATGCTCAGAAAATATATATTGTTTTACGACTCCACATCGACATTAACCTTCCACCCGCCTCGGGCAAGGAAAGGGGCCGTACGAGTACTCAGAAGGCAGCTAGACAGCCACTCCATCATATCGGAAACAACTTACGGGGAGCCCAAAGGTTGTCGCCGAGAATGCACTGCGCCTCGATGAAAAAATATTTTGAGATCACGTACAAGGCGGGATCTCACATACCAACGGGTGGGGAAGACGAGGGTCCTTTCAGAGCGCAAGACACATAATTTACCCTATAGGAAAGGGATGACTCACATGTACGGTAAATCATGACCTTCGTAAAACCTGTCTGCATGCGTCAGACAATTAACCGACCCACTAATGACCGACCTGCATGCAGGTGAAGGGCAAGAGGCCTAACAACGGTACGTGTGGGCCTTGCCAGTAATCACGACGCTTCTAGGAAATCAAAGGCTGACAGCCTGCCTTTACATCGCTTGGCATTACTGGAGAAACTCACCATGCTGTAGTCTAGAAGCTTTTGGACTGCAAGCATAGTCAATTATTAAGCCCCAGGAGACCGCCTGCCGTTTGTAAGAGCGGTAGGCATATTCTGGTTGGCCACCGTGCCAGACAGGCAGCTACTTCATGCACGGCATGCTTGATTATTTGTTTCGCCGCCGGAGCCTAACCCTCGGATCCGACGGACATGAGGCCATGGTCAGAACTGCGCGACCCTTTATAAGCTCGCGTCGATTGCACCGAGCCTCGTTATTTCGCGCATGGCCACTTACATCATAGAAGGAAACCATACTCCTGGTGTTTCGGCCGACTACGGTTGACCATCTGGGCCAGGTCAAATTCAGAAGTCGCCTCACAACTTCGAGGCTGCCTTACAGCCGTTTGCAGTTTGATGGGCCCATTTCTTGAAAATCATTTACAGTCGGACCATGTCGGAGAGGGGAATTCAAGTCCCCGAGGCCCCACTATCAGACCATTTGGACTTCTTTTAATTCCTGGGACGTCCCTGGCACCATGTCCGACACACTCCGACTATATGTGACTTTCTGAAGTGATGGCCTAACGATCTGCAAACGGCTGTAGGTTCGATCCTCGGCGTTGACAGCTTTCGGCCAATCCCGAAACAGTCTCTGAAGGTTGAATACATCTATCAATATTATGTACGTAGCGCGGCACTGAATTTTACAGTCAGTAGTGACTGTTCGATAATCAATATCGCTGTAGTAAAAGGGAGAAGAGGAAGAGGCACGGGACCACTACTCCGAGAGGATGCGAATCCCCAGCCCACATATTTCGGGGAGCGACGGGCGGAAAGACTTATCGGTACCGTTTAGTGCACATTAGTACTAACCGTATCCTTTAATGCTTCACAACCGTTTACACCTCGCGCTGCACAGTCCACCTGCCGATATTGATATCCCGCAAGTGGCTGTGGCTGCTTAATGTAGCTCCCCGCCTGTGTTCTTCTCTTGGAGGTCACTAGCCCTAGCACGGGTACTCCAGTATCTCTTTATAGAACGCCCCCAATATTATACTACAAAAGCCCAGTGCGCGACATACCCATACACAAGACTGCAGCTGACCGTTTGTTTGGTGGAGCGGAGCTTCAAATTACGGCAACTCCCGTCGTATGTTCTCAGCAACAAATCTCTTACGACAAGCAAAGGCTCATATCGTGTAGAGATTTTGCGTCACACTTCTTCAGGAGCGTCCGGATGAAGTCTTGTCAAGACGTAGTACATTTTTACTGTAGCCCCCTCAGTATCCCTCGTCCGCTGAGTGGATTGCGACAATTCAAACTCCGCCAATATCCCCATCCACCCCACCGGGGATCGAACACAGCAGTCGCAATGTGAGTCAGTGACTTTTAAATTTGACCTGACCCAGATGGTCAACCGTAGCCGACCGGTATTTCATACACTCGGAGCGAGCGGTCCATGCCACAACGTGCCGCAGTATTGACTTCAGCTTCGGGAGCGAAACGAGATTAAGGACGGCCTGTGCGTGAAGTAAGCTTCAAAGCATTATGAAGCAGCTAGAAGCTGGCAAGGGTGCTTCTGATAGGTTAAGTTATCGCCGATGGATGGTCGTCTCGTTGCATTGTACAAACGCACCAGTGCCGGATCAACTTCATGAGGAAGATCAACGAATGGTAACCCCTGAGATTCACCAAAAGCATGCATCTAGCTGCCATAACTATTCGGACATGGTCAAGTTATCCACAGATGGGGCGGCGCGTACTTGTGGTGAATCAAGACAGTTCTGCGCCGGAAAAACCGCAAGTAACGTCTCAGGAACGGTAACTAGAGAGACAACCCACCCACGAAAGCGAGATAGCAATCTGCGGAACGCTTTATGGAGTCTTTCGGAGAGACTCTCTGGAACACGACCTCGATGCTCGTTGCTGCATTATGTCTGACAAGACAGGTTATCGCCTCTGCCGGTAGCGACGGTACCGAACTGACAGTCGTAACCTCCGCAAGAACGCCGAATAGGCTTGCGTTGGTTGATGGACATCGTACGCAACAGCATGCCCGACACTGACTAGGCTGCATGAAGCGGACCGCATAACCTGGGTTCTAGACATCCCCGCCCCGGGCACAATCACCCGGATGGAAGTCGGATCATGATCTGCCTGGTTAGATTTACTGCCAACGGGCAGCACGTTCGATTGATGCCGGTTACGCCCTGTAGAGCACGAGTGCGGGACCTTGGAAGAAGCAATTTGCTCATTCCAGGCCTAAGGTGGCGGTTCATGCTGTGGAAAGCTCGGTGGAGAGCGCTATGGCTGAACAACGACGCGGACAATTTTGATTTCGCGCTCCTGCCTAGACAAAGAGGAACGACCAAGAGCGTGCGATACGAGGAACATATTCTCCAGAAATCTTCAGAAGGAGCCCGGCACCGCATATCCGACGTTGCACGCCGCATAAATCGAATCTCTACGAGCGATAAGCACGGGCTAACCTCGTGGCTGAAGCATCGGGAACACCAAAGGAGAAGTGAAAACGTTGTGCTCGTTGCTGTCGCGACGGCTGGGTCACGGCGAAAATGAATGGAATTATGTACGTCGTGGCCATCGAGTCCGACGGCGAAAACAAAGGTTTCGAGGAGATACAGTCGGAGAGATACCAATTGAGGAGCGTGGTAACAACGAGGGGCTAAATTGCGGCGGGGTGGCAGGATGCCCCTGTTTGAGGTGGCCGGATAAGTGCGTGGGAACAAAAGGACAAAAGCAGAGGCGTTGTGGGTTGCCAACGAATAAGCACGCCCTGTCTTTTGCCATCCCGCCATCATTTCCTCCCGGCTCCTCGTCGTCGTCTCTATTCCTCCCGTCTCCCCCGACTTTTGTTCTTCTCTCTGTTTTTCCTGTAATTTCTCAAAAGGACTTGCACCCCCTTCTGTTTCCCCTCGGTTCGATTGCCCGCGATGCCTGCAGATGACCCGTCTACGTCGTCTCACATGATGAAGACCACAAAACGCGGTCGACCGTTTCTCAAGGTGCGTGACGATATATGCCAATGCTTGTCGCGTCCGCACACCGACTCTGTCGTTCTGAATTAGGATACGCTCGACTTGTTTGCGACGTTGATTGTATCCCTGGAGCTCGGACCACATAAGCAGTTCTTCCGTACTTTTCCCAACTCCTTCTCAACGTACGTCCTCTGCTTTTCTCTTCGATCGGTCAAATTCAACTGACTCTTTGTCCAGAGATGAAGCTTGCTTGAACCTTGCCTCGTTGAAGTTTTCGCAGTCCAACCGCGGTCCGGATCCGAGAGAACCCTCACGTATAGTCACGACCACCACGACAACGACGTTCTCTATGACTCGAGAGATGGCGAAGGCCATGTGCCAGCATTTCATGGATGCTCGGTTGATTGAGAACGCTGCGGACCCTTCTTCTAATCTCTTCAAAGATCGGGGCGTCTACGTTTTGACGCCGAAGGGTCTGCACGTATTGGAACGGTTCATCAGTAAGAACGGCATCAACTCCGACCACATCTCCAATGTATTCGCTACGCAACCTATCTGCATGAAGTTGCTACATCTCGAGCGGCGATCATCTGATGACGAGATCATTGTCTCGCAGTCGGTGATTACAACGCTCTTCAGGCGATTCGTGGGTCATAAACCCAACTACCCACCTCAGGGCCAGGGTCAGCTCGACGCGTACCAGCAGTACCACGAACGGTCCAAGGGTATTGCGCTCATGGATGTGCAGGATAAGGCACAGCTGGGCAAGACTGCGCAGACGCACAAGTATTGCTTCGCTGCCGTCTCGGCTCTAGAGTGGCTTTGTGATTTCACGTCTGTCGTCGGTCGCGAGGAGGCTGCGGAGATGGCTGCCCAGTTCGTGCGTTTCGGGCTCATCCAGCTCGTGAGCGACAAGCGGAAGAACAACGACTCTGCGATCATCTTCACTGTTCGTGGATCTGCTCCTGGTGGCAACTCGCCCGTTTCGGTATGTTTGTATGCCTCATGTCTCATGGGCTTTTGAGCTAATCTTCTCACTACAGCAACATGGCGAGTTCCGCTGTACTGCTAAGGCTATCTACCGGGTCACTGACGAAGGACGTCGCGTGGCTCGTTGGGACACACCAAATCGTGGCCCCGCTAGTCGTGATTCTCCAAACGCGTCTTCCGCCAATTTGGCATCTACGGAACGGTCGTCCATCGAGGACAGCGCTGAGGCCGCTAGTTCCGCCGCTGACGCTCCTACACCCGGTGAGGCCAGGATTCAGCGTCGAATCTCGATACATGAGAAAATGAATGGTAGTTATGACGCGGGCGATAAGAAGTCAGGCAAGGAGAGCAACAGCGACCGTCTCAACAAGATTCTCGAGGACCCGATGCTTCGCTCCTTATTCCGAGAGTTCCTCCGTGGCAACTTCTGCGAAGAGAATCTGTCATTCTGGCTCGATGTCGAAGACTTCAAGCGCAAATTCAATATCACATCCAGCGCTGTTGCAGCCACGCGGCCGGCTACCAGCAGGAACACTCCTGGGCAGGCTGCGATGGAACGTCATCACGAGTCTCTGATTCAAACTGCCTTCAACATCTACAACATGTATCTCGCCCCTGCAAGTCAGTGCGAGCTCAACATTGATCATGGGTTGCGGAACGAGCTCGTGGCGTATCTCAGTGAGGTAATGACAGGCCTGACGGGTAAGGCTTTTCAGGGTCGAGTTGAGCTCGAGCAAGCCAGCGCATTCAATGCGACACAGCTGCAAACAATGATCCGGCTGTATGAGCGTATTCAGACGCATGTCTTCCGGCTTATGGCAACGGATTCCGTTCCGAAGGTTAGATATCTGTCCTTTTAGAAGTCTACCTTGCTCATTGAGACATCCCCTTGTAGTTCATCAAGACACCGAAGTTTATGGCCGTGCGTAACTGGGCCGACGACGATGAGAACGATACGCCAGGTCATGTTCCGACGCGTCCACCAGGGTTAGACGATGCGGAAGAAGTTGGCGGTACCTACGTGACAGTTTCACAAGCAGCAAGCGAGAAACGTCACCGGCAAAGAGAAGGGTGGACGGACAAGTCGCTATGAGCGATGACGAACCGTTGCCCTTCCTCATTTGCGTCAACCACTGTATCCTCAACTTCTTGCATGCTGTTTATCTATCATCCGTCGACATCTATCTGCATATGCAACATCACCTGTCACATCATCTCTCTTGCTCGACTGTACATCGCGCGCTCTATATGCTGTCGTCTCTTACATCACGGCTATCCGAACTATGGCTAGGCACACTTGATCGAACCCGGGGGGTCTTTCGCATCTTAATCATCATCGTATTATTTCCACTTCCATTTCCCACTTTGCCCATCCTCATTCGCAAACCCCTTCTGATTTCATTCCCATTTGCTTTCTATTATTCCATCCTACTTCGGTGTAACATTTATAATAACTTAGGCATCTCCTACCCGTCCGGAGATAAGACTCTGCTAATCGAACATTCCACTGTTCATTATTATTATCGAATGTATCGACGTTCGCTGTATATGTAGAGTGCCTGCGAAGCAAGATACATCTTCGTCAGTTCACAGAGCTTCGTCGGAGTCCTTTCCGTCGGTTCTTGAATGCGCCGCATCAATAGACGTGTGGCATGTACAATAAGCTCAAGCACGTCTCAGTGCGATGATGAGAACTGTCGGGGCTATTACCTCCACCTCCCTTCGAAACCATGTCGTGGATTATCAACCCTCAAGGAGCCCCTGCTCGCCGTCAGCCTGCACGTTCAGCGACTGCACCAGAAACGAATGCGGTCCCGGCTTCTCCTTGGGCAGAATTTCCGAACAACGACCTGAATCCCAGGGTTCCGGATCCTGCGAGCTTGGAGCCTGAGCGGACAGTGTCTACCAAACAGGCAAATAGACCCTTCCTGGCGTAAGTGTAAGTCTTCGTGTCGCTCGCAGGCTGCTTATGTGACGCGTTCATATCAGTTACAAGGCGTACCGAACCAAGCAGGAGCAGGAACACAAGGCATGGCTCCAGAGGAAGAAGGAGCGAGAGGAAAAGCTAGCAAGAGGAGAGAAGGTCGGGCCAGAGGAACGGGATCCTACGGCTGAACAGGAAGTGGGATGTTTGGGCTTGCTCAAATTCACAGCATACCTCGTAATATTCCTCATGCTTGCAGGCAAGTTCTTCACGGACAGCTTTTTGTGGGAATACGAAGGCAAATGGGCGAGACTCAAGACATACATCCCGGTATGTGGCACATACTTGCTGCGATATTCGCCCGCTAGACGGATTGTTTCGAATGTAGACAAACCAGAGGCTCTTTTCGGAGAGGCTTTTAGCACAGTTCGATGGCACGGACCCTGAGAAACCCGTATACCTTGCTGTAGGTCGTCATACCAGTACCGTTTTAACCCGCCGTACTCAGGTGTAACCTGCACAGATCGATGGTGATGTCTATGACGTCTCGGATAATCGGCGCACCTACGGTCCAGGAGGACCATATCACTTCATGTTTGCTCCTATCATACTACGAAACTGTGCCGTACACTGATCACATCGCAATAGGGCCGGAAGGGACGCTGCGAGGGCGTTTGCGACCGGTTGTTTCCAGACGCACAGGACGCACGATACAAGAGGTCTAACTGATAGCGAACTGCAGGTAGGCAATTTATTCGTGCCACGCTCACTATCGTACCTAAATTTTGCTCAAGGGTTTGAATCATTGGAAGCAGTTCTTTGCGGACCACAAGACGTACACCAAAGTCGGCCGTGTTATTCACCCGGCTATTGATCCCTCTAGTCCCATCCCAGAGCATTGCGATCCCAAGAAAGCCGCGAGTTCTAGTCCTCGAAAGGAGACTAAAGAGAACGCCCACGTTGGTCACCGCAAGTCCGGCCGCGATGAACTGTAGACCGGCAGAAATTCATTGTTACATGACGATGGTCCCTGTTATTACGTCGTATATACTGTACAAACATTGCGCAGATGATAAATTATGCTATGAAGCAGTCCCGATAGAAAAGTCCAGGCCGATTGATAGCGACGCACAAGTTTCAAACAGACTTGGGATAGCAGTCGTTCAGCATGCGCGTGAGGTTCCGACACCCGCAGGACTTACGGGAGTCAAAGGCGACTTGTGCTGCATTAGGTAGTTCTTGATTAGGGGGAAATCGGCCATAGAAGCATTCATCATGCTCGTGAAGGAGCTCTCGGCGTATTTAGCGACGACGAGGTTACCTCGCCATGCAGCGTCTTCTCGGAATAGTCTTCCCTGTATTTCCCGAACACACTTGTTAACTGGGAAGGGCATCCCATCTCGGGATATCACAGGGTAGAAGATGATGTAGGGCGTGTCGAACTTCTTGTTCATCCCATCAAGCGCTTCGACGAGCTGAAGCACAGTTAGTAAGTCCGCCAACCGCAGAAGCCGCAGATACGCACATGGTATTGCCACGCCCGCGATCCGAGGGACTCGGCAATGTAGTCCATGTAGACCTCAGGGTGAGGCATCCGACTCGTCTGCGTCACTTGTACGGAGAACGGGTCTGTTATGGCGACAGGACTAGTTGCGAGGGGGACTAGCGAAGGAGGTCGCCCGTCACTGGGTATGAGGATCGCTTGGTAGGATTCCATTTCCATATTGATCTTCACTCTGCGCGGCAGGTCAGAGAATTCACGCAAAATAGGTGACATCCCTTCAGTATTTTAGACACGTACGAGGGAGCAAAAAAAGAGGCTGTTGTTGCCGTCGTGGTCGAACCGAGAGGAGAGAGCTGACTGGTCTTCCTCCATGCCGATGAGCTGCCTTATATTCTTACGCTCCGCGGAAACGAGGACGACGTGCAGGGTGCTCGATCGCTTCGACCTGACGGTGGACAGTATCCAGGCCATGCACGAGGTAGACATTCGGATCACCGAGAACAAGCATTTAGGTGTGAGGGTAATATTAGCGTCAAGGCTGCGCGGCAGAGGAAGATAGAGCGAGTGGAAGGTGCGTATAAGCTCCACACGCAGGTGACTTATGGAGGAGTCCGTGTACCGACAACGAGTCTTGCAGCAACCAGATGATTTGGCGTTCGTATATTACCCGGCTGGGGGCCAGGGCATGCATCGAGATTAACCGGACCGATAGAGATGAGGGAGTGCGCTCAAGCACAGCAGCTAATACAGATCTAAGCGATTTATCGGAAGCACGACACAAGTAGATCATTTACATAAACTATCCCCGAAGACTTGCTTTCCGCGAGCATCTCCGCCTTACCGATTCTGCATTTATAGGAGGTCTCAACACAAGTTCTAGAAGAAATGATATGCTGACCTCGCTATTGAAGTCGGAATCTCCATCTCATTCATTAAGCTCGGGAATGCGAATAAAGTGTTCAGGGCCTGCCAGATCTTGACGCAGTTCAGCATCTTCACGCCAAGTCCACATGCTCGTTGCATTACTCTCCGCGAAAGTGCTCAAACAATTCATGCATAGAAGGCGTGTCATCAAGGAGAAGCGTTAGCCCATTGAGATCTAGACCCTCTACCTTATTCTGTTCCCCGAGTTCATAAACCGACAACGGTGGTCAGTGAGCTTCATCATGCTGCAACCCCATAATCAGAGTAGAAGCTGTTCCAGTCTATTTGAGTCGCCTACCTAACAGCCTCTTCTCTCATTCCGATCCGGGAATCGTATACGCCCGTTTAGAGCTGAAGATGGAGATGGGCCTGCAGCTCCTGAGGTTGGGGTTCATGCTAGGGACCAATGCGAGAATGAATGCGCGCTGCGAGCATGATCTGAGGCCCGCTTATGAAAAGACGCTCCCCTACTTCGGTTCGTAAATGAAAGCGGATCATATGTCCAGGCTTCGCTGCGGAGAATCAAGGCAGCCACCAACATCGGAGGTAGATGAGCTACCGTGAATGAGGGAGGCGCCCTGATGCAGACAGGGCCCAGTCGCCTACATGGTGCACCAAGTACTTAAGTGACGTGGTAGTCTGGCTCGGACGTACCCGTCGAGGGAAGATAACGTAGCAGGGCCGCTCACCATCAGCTCAAGCTGAAGCCGTAACTAAAGATCAATAAAGTATAGACGAGGCATTAACGAGGCATCAAAAAAGATGAAGGACATTCCGTTGGCACTCGCTGGCAGCCTGCGAGCGCATCTTCGAAACCTGAAGGTCGTTCACCACGTTGGAATTTGAAGCTGAAGCAAGTGCCCTGGCATACACCTCCAACCCGAGTGCATATGCAGCGGCCTGGGGGAGTGCCAGTATTGAGAACATAGTTACATTTACCGTAAATAAGCTGAAGATTCTTAGATTTGCTACATATGTACAGTGTTTTGATGGTACGTATGTTCTGTATGCCTAAATATGGTATCGGCTGAACTTAGGTTTGCGTCGCGTCGCACAAAGTGGCGGCGTGAATCGCGTAGCCACACTAGGAGTGTACTCGACTCCGTCATGGACGCCGCTGTCTTGGAGGCAGCCGATATTTCGTCGTTATTCCCGGCGTCCACGGCCACCATTAGACTTGTTCAAACGTCGCGTCGAAATGTCCCTCTTCCCCTGCAATCGCATGACCCGGACGCGCCTGTCGAACATGCAGTGTATTCGACTGTGCTGCAGCTCTCCTCCACGGAAACGATCCTTTTACGCGTCTTGAACGATCATCTGACCATTGAACTTATAGCCTTGACCTCCGACGTCCCCCCAATACGATTCGTGTTCCCCGCTCCTCTGTTATCCTATCCTGGCATCTTCTCTTGGGAGGCAGAAGAGCTGCACATTCTAGCCGTGACAAACGTTGGCTCTCTATATCGCATTGTTGTGCCAGTCTACGACGAAGAATTCCTGTGGCACGAGCAATTCGGCGGAAACTGGTGCCGAGAGCACAACATACACAGTGTCAGCGGTAACATCGAAGGCCTTGTGAGGGTGCAAGGCACTCATACCGTTGCTATCGGCCTCCCGAATGGAGATTTACTACGGCTGGAAGCTGGTAACCTGGCAGGAGAGTCCGGAGGAGGTAAGTGAGGTCCCCGTATAATAATCCACTTATGCAAGAATACTTTAGATGAATGGATGGAGACTATATTCCATCACGGCACATTCTTATCCTCGTTGACCTCGTTTATACCAGCTTTAAGCGCGAGCTCCTCGACTGCTTCCCAGATCGTGGCAATGACAAGTTATCCACAACCAACGGACATTGGCCATATCTGGACCTTATCCAGGGACCGTACGCTACGAGTCTGGACCGCAATGGGAGGTTGTACTTCTGCAAGGAGACTCCCCCCCGTCCCTCAAGTAAGGTCTACTACTCCCTTACTCGAGTCTTCACCCGCTCCTGGCAAACACCATGCGCTGCTCGATGCGGAACCTCAAAGTCTGCTCCAAGTCTTCTCCGCCGACGATGAGGCCGACATCATTTACGTCTTGGCTTTCGTTCCCACCCCTTCATCCACGAGCTCTGGAGGGTTCTTCCACGTATGCAGGACGCAAGATGACCAACTACACGCCCTTCTCCCGCCTATCGTTTGTTCGCAAACAAGCGTATATTGTCACCTACAGGACTTCATGATCGATGGAAATACATTATACACCCTTTGGGACCGGCAAGGCCGATCCTATGTGGAATGGATTGAGCTAGACGTCTCTGAGTCATCACTTGTGGCCGACGATGTCTATTGGAAGGCGGCGTCGTATGCACAAGACATCGAGTTGACTCCGGGATATCTGGACGAGCTGCTCTTCTCTCGGGGATCTCTTACCGACAAATGTTTTGAAGCAGTCGTGAGACCAGGAATGTTTTCTGCCCTGACCCTTAGGACCGCACTCAAACAATATTCCAATGCATGTCTCTCGCTGCCTGGACCTCCTCCGCCTCAGTTACAGACATCATACGCCACCCTAGGAGAGAACATCGCGGCTGTGGTAGGGTGTACTGTGAACTTAACACGGGACGCGCAAACTGGAGGGCTTCAGTACGACAAGTACTGGACTGCTCTGAGAAGGGACTGGGAAGGCTTTATCGCGCGTTGTAGAGAGATAGAGCGGAGCGCTAGGTGGCCCTTGACCCTGGGCCTCGACTGTCTAGGTGGCGTCGTTGTAGTGGAGAGGGAACGGGCAGGAGCCTTGGTTCGCGAAGATCTGACTCTGAGGTGTCAGCGAATCCTCCCTTCATCACTGTCTCTAGAGCCAGCATACAGACTACTAGACGTAGCCTGGCAATTGCGTCGGACCGTCTCGCCTGTGACCATGAGACACCTCGAAGATCGTTTCACAGAAATCACCCAACAGGAAGCAGGTTTCGCCTACATTGATATCCTCCGCTCCGAAAGCTTACGAGATGATCTTAAGCAAGACATCGACGAAGGGCTGGACAGCTGGATTACAGGGCGACTGCATGGCCAAGACAAACTAAGCGACTTATTTCACCGCTCACTTGCCATCGTGACGCAACGTGAACTCGGTGTCAAACGAGAGGAGGAGGAAGTGGAGTTGGCAATCTCCCTCGACCCTGGACTCAAGCAGAGTCGTTCGTCCTGGCAAAGAATGATTGCCGCCTCCTATGTGGCAGATACCGTCAATGCCAGATACGAGTTGTGCCTTTGCCTCCTCGTTATGCTGCTCTTCAAGTGTGACGAATTATCTGAAGGAGAATCTTCAGTGGTAGACGAAGTGCTCGCTATCTTCAGAGGTTTAGGCATGCTTCGTCATATCGTGCGACAACCTACTGGCGAAAAGGCTATCGTAGACAGCGCAGCAGACGAGATGATTACTCGGATGCGTAACATGCATATGTCAGAGGCCGCAGATGTTTCATCGCACTCGCTGGTAGATGTCCTTTTGGCTCAGTCTGGTGATACTTACGAACTACCGAAGTCCGCGCATCGGTTCTTGTCGACCATTGGCCTACTGGAAGCCAGCTCTATGACGGCGACGAGCGCTGGGGATGCACAGCTCTGTGAACGACTCCGGCTTCTGGGCTATACGCAAGTAGCTGCAGAACTAGTGGCCTGGTTGCCCAGGTCTTCTCCTCTTATTTACGTCCGTGCCAGGCTCTGGTTGGACGTCGGTAGATATGACGATGCAGCGAGGCTCTTCGAGTCTTTGGCAGGGTCATATGGTACGTGCCAGCCAATATCTCCTCGCCCTGGGTACTTATGTTTGCTTCTTGCAGAAGGACTCCCAGAGGAGGAGGACGGCCACATCGTCGTCGTAGCACCCCCAGGAGCCGTCATGTCTCAATTTCATTTTTATCTTCACGTTTCGAACCTTTTCAGGGCTGCACGGGCGACCTCATATGAGATCAAGTTTTCGCAACTCGCCATCTCTGTTGCGCCGCTTGGCACAGATCTCCAAGAACTGTGGTATGCTATAATCAAGGGCTACATCGATCTCAGCCAGTACGAAGATGCTTATATTGCGATAATAAGCACTCCATACGAGAAATTGTACGTTACTCAAGTAGCATCGTCCGTCCCTTTGCGTGTCTCAGGATTGACCAACAGAAAACGAGATTGTGCCACCAGCTTGGTGTATCGAATGTGCGACGATCAAGCCGTAGAGCAATTGATGTCGCTCAACTTCGCGGCCTTTGCTGACGAAGTCGAAGAAGCTCTTTCTTACAAGGCACGCAGTGATGATCCTATGGCAACGCCATGTTATGCCTTAATTCTTCATACGTGGCACATACGTCGCGGTGACTATCGTAACGGTAAGTATGAGCCGTATTTCATGGGAGTAACGCTCAATACACCTCAGCTGCAATGATAATGTACCAGCGAGGGCGGAAATTGGCTTTGCATCCCCACTACACGAATGACCTTTCCCGGCAACTGGAGGCTTACCTGACAGCCATGAATGCGCTGTCTCTGCTGGATACAAAGAATGCGTGGTTTGTTATGCCCGTGCTTTCCAGCACGGACGATGAGGTCAGTCTACGCAGCCAGAATAAGTTTGACCTGACCTTCACTGACGACGCCGCGGTAGCCGCGCAAACGGCGTAGGCTGACTAGGGACATTCCTCGAGACAAGTGGGCGGTAGGCAAGAGCGATGCGGAGATTGTGGAGCTGTCAGATATACGATATGAATATGCCCTCCTCTCAGCGCGGCTAGAATTAATGCAGTTGAACCCCGAGGACGGCTCTGTCACTGGTAAGAGAGTCAGGCTAACTTCTTCATGTGGAACTTATAACATCGGGCGTTTGCTGCAGACCACTTAATGTCGCCTTCTCTAATAGTCATGAGGCTAGCACAGGCCAATCAATTCACCACTGCCATGTCCACGGCCCGGAGCTTGAAAGTCGAAATGTCCGATCTCTTTGCATTACTGACACGGCAATGTTTACGTTTGTCGCGTGATCCGGATGTTGTGATGTGAGTGCCTACCATTAAATGAATCGAGTCAATCCACAAACGTGAGCATTACTTTATGTAGCCAAGAGGACACATCCGACTGGCTGCTCACGGACAGTGTATCCTCGTGGCCTGGGACACCCGCTGACCGAGGATGGCGCTACGTACGCGAGTCACTGGCAAGGCATGACAATCGACATACCGATTTCAAATATAGTAAGGTGGTCTTTGAGACTATCATGGATATGGAGGCGGCGCCCCCGCCGTGGCTTGTAAGCACACTGGAGGTATGGCATGCCCATGACTGTGGAACCATATTGCTTACTCGCCGCTAGGAGAATCACCATGAATGGCTGATTAGGACCTGCTTGCGGTATGAAAAATATGAGCTGACGCTTCGATATACCCTGTCACTCGTTCGAAAGGTACGTCAGGGTATTTGCGGCGTTTCCGGTGTTTAACCGGGTTACCATCAGAGCGATGCCGCATTGCCACAAAAGCCGACTGAGGCGGGGATGACTTCTTGGCTCCCTTACAACTTGGTCGACCTAGTTCTTACCGTTTGCGCGGCTCAACGTGATCTATCCCCCGAGGCTCTCAATGAGCTAACAAAGATCAAGGAGGAGATTGCGAATCGTATTCGCCATCTTGAGAAGTTTGGTGAAAACACCCGGGTATGAGGAAACTTGGGATCAGTCGTAGTTCGCCGCCTTCGTCTTGGATCATGTGTACAGTTAGGGTGTTTCTCGTAACAGTTTGCTTTCACTATTCTTTGGTTCTGACGGTGGGTGGGCGTCTGTGTATGTGAAGTCGTTCCGCACGAAGTGTAATTATAAGCACGGGGTCCGCGAATCACCGCGGAACTGAACGCTGTTGAACGATGAGTACCTCGGATCGATCAACGCTTCAGGCTCTCTGTATATGTACCTTAGAATACATGTAGAATGGGACATACGAGTCTTAAGTACTGCAGTACTAGGCTATACTGACATTGGGGCTTCAAGCTTCAGCTTCAGCGCTACAGCTGCCGACAAGGGCTGCGTATACGAATTGTATGAGGTGTACGGATGTATACACCGGCGTAGTGCATGAGGATTTATCAGTCCCTGTCCGGACGTGCTAGTTGCTAAGTCACCTGCACCCTGTTCACAGTCATCGTGCATTCTAGTAATGCGTGTGGAAGGCGCTGCCAGCAACCCTCAGGGTAAGCGCCCGTCTCGCGCAAAGGAAGACTTCAGCCTGCCAAGCTGGGTTGCCTGACTTCTCACTTGCACTATCAGGACAGCCAGCCAATTTCATGGAGCCTGGCGGCTCGTCTGAGGCTGGGCACACGGCCTCGCGGACGAAGCATTCGAGAGCATCGACGACTGGGTCACCAATAGTAGCAGGTACCGTGCGCACGAGGCCATCGCCTCCCCCAAACTCAGGCGATCAGGGGACACCAGATGGTGCTCGGCCGCCAGCAAAACGTGCCCGGAAGGCCATCAATTGCGAACCGTGCAGAAGTAGCAAACTCAAGTGCGATAGGTGGGTGAACTTGGCTGGCCTTATGTCCGCGGAGTAGGACGGCTTACGCGGCAATTAGAAACCGTCCTTGCTCGTCCTGTGTTCTGAGAGGTCGGTAGTCCTTCATGGTTTTCCACACGGATCTGATTCATCATTGACCGGTATTAGGTACCGCCGCACTGTGCTATCCTGGGTCAGATAGCGCAGCTGCCCAAGGAGTCCGAGGAGATGACCCAAGGTTGGTGTCGGTGTTTTCTACCCATATTCGACAACACGAGCCTTATCAAATGCTCCCATCTCTCATCTCCGACCACAGTCGCAGGACCGGTGTTGACCCGTATCAAGAGTTCGCTCGCATCCGGCAGTCTCTGGCTGTTCTGGAGACGATCATTCATCCGGATTACTTTCGCACTCCTGCTGCGACTGTCGGTACTGATTCCGCTGGTTATTATCCTTCGACCACACCGAGTTCCGACTCTTCGGCGCCTTTTCTATCCAGCAACCATCCGAAGAAAGAACCGAGCGATGATGATCTGCAAAAACGCGCAGTTCCCGGAATGCTTGGCCAACAGGGCATGGGAGGGCTTTACGCGGGCCCAACCAGCGTGGCGACTAACTTAGTCTTGGTGAGATATACGAGTTAACTTGTCACTCCATCTTTCCCATTCGACTCATGAATTTGGACCGCTTATTACTCAAACAGAGAGACTCCCGCGACAGCGATTCGCGCCAGTCCAGCGAGGACAATGCAGAAGCACCTCCGTCCAGTGCTCTTCCTGGCCATGAATATGACGCAGATCTCCTCAATGACTTGCCTCAATGGCGGGTCATTGATGGTCTCGTCAGCTACTACTTCGAATATTGCAATTGGGTTTACAGACATGTATGCCAGTCGACATTCCTCGCTGCTTGGTCGCGCTTCAAGAGCGGGCACTCTCCTGATCGACTGATATTGGCTACTGTCTGCGTGATTATGGCAATCTCCGTCTTCTACCTTCCTGAGCGGCACCCGTTATTGGAGAATATAGTTGAGACGCACGAACAGCTAGGCGACAAGTACTATAGCGTTATGATCAAGGCTTTAGGAAGATACCAGGCTGAGAACAGGACTTACTCACTCGAGCTGGTGGAACTCCTGTTGATCCGCTGCCATTATCTCACACTAAGCAAAACAGACTGTGAGGAAGTATGGACGGTCAGAGGCGAATTGGTGAGTCTTGCGACTGCCATGGGACTACACCGTGATCCTAGGAAATGGAAGATGAGTAGAGAGGTTGCAGAACGTAGACGGTGGGCTTTCTGGCATATCATTTTACTTGAAAGGTCAGTTATTACAATGCAAAATTCCTGCGCCATTCTTGCTGAGCGAACCTTCTGTGGAGTAGATGGCAAGCGTTCATGTTTGGCCGTCCGATCTCTGTTGCCTCCCACCATTTCGACACACAGCTACCATCTTCGCATGATCCTTCGCTTCTTTCCAATACTCAAAGCCCCTCGTTATATTTGCCCAATATTGCCTTGTTCAAATTGGCGTACATTCTGGGAGATATCATGAATGACGCTGTCTCACTCAAGCCTGTTCCATATGAGACGGTGATGGCGCATGATCAAGCCTTGAAACGTTGGGCCGAGGATTTACCCAAGGAAGTGGATCTGGATGAGTTCAGCGTCGCCCGAAGTCTGGCCAGTAGGGATTTGGGCACCATCAGACTGGGTGTCCAAAGCGTCATCATCAAAACCAGCTATTATCATATACGTTTCACTCTTCATCGCCCCTACGCTAGTGCCCCCTCGCTAAGTGCAGCCCCATCCAAGTCGCAGAACTCCTCATTTCATCAGCAGTCTCTTGAGATTGCTGTAGGCTATGCACGACGGTTGGTCTTGGTCGTCGGCCAGGTTCGGCCAGATTTCCAGAACAACACTTCTCTTGCCGTCCCAGGACACATGAATTGGGGCCCGTTTCATATCTTCTCCGCTGCCATGTTCTTCTCTTTCCAGCTCATAAATAATCCTGACCAAGCTGGCGCGCATATGTTCCGGACGAGTGTGCGACAGGCTATGGAAACACTCCGGTTATGCAGAGGTGCACCGTTGGCCGACAAAGCTTTGGATATCTTGGACGCCCTCGCTCCCTTGTCTCTACGGGAGAGTGACCACACCACGGACAAGGGTAAAGAGGATAGAGACAGGCAAATGACCCACGTCTTGAGCGCCGTGAGAAACCTTGCATTCCCTTGCCACGATTCACCAAGCTATCCGTATCCGTACGGCCGTGGAGGTCTGGATTCTCCGGCGTCTGGAAGCAGTGGCAGGAGAAGGGATATGTCGAATACACCTCCCATAGTGCCCGGACGACCCCTTCTGACCACCGCGCTCGATCCTAGTCTTATGGCAACCTCCCATCAAGGCGAGCCTAAGCAGCCTGGGAGCGGTATATCCGGGTACCAGACCAGTGTATCATCCGAATTATCGTCCTTAGCGCCATACACGCACCCTCCGCCAATGCCGCCCCCTCACCTGCACTCGTCTTTGATCTCGCAACAGCACCAAGGAATGTCTACCGGGCAGCACTCTATGCATGAGATGCCATACTCGCACGGCTATTCTCAACAGCACTCGCAAGGCATGTATGGTGCTGGACTGAACTACAGCCAACAACCTAGCGAAGAGATGATATGGGGCGCTTCCATGGGCTTTGGTCATTCAGAGTGGACCAACTTCGTGAACGTGGTAAGGCAGGATACGGGCAGAGCAAGCACCGAGCACGCTGGCAATTCACATGGATTGTCTCATGGCTAAGATGGCTAAGGTGAGGGCTCGGTTTTACAGCCATTTGCAGATCGATGGGCCCACTTTTTGAGAATCATTTACAGTCGGACCACGTCGGACAAGCAACTTCAAGTCCCCGAGAGACAGAAATCAGACCATCTGGACTTCTCTACCTTCTTCCGACGTCCCTGGCACTCACTCCGACCCACTCCGACTATACGTGGTTTTCTGAATTGATGGTCTATCGATCTGCAAACGGCTGTATTGGCTGGCTTCAGTATTCTGTCGTGCAAAGCGCGCACTCTATGATCCGATCACAATCTTGTTTTCACTTGGACGTTATCAATGCAGCCTGAGTCTTCTGGGATTGACTGTAGTGTATTTTGCATTTTTGGGGGGATTTCGCGATGTTCATCATTGATTCGTATTGCAAACACGGCGTATACATGTACAATAGAAGCATAGTAGGATAATCTTGTACAGTTGTCTGTATGGAGGAAGCGTGTTGGGTACAACTCATAAGCCCCAACGTATCTCTATATAGATGTCACTGGACGCGGTCCTGTTCTACAAGCACGACGTGAGGCACGAACGGCTAGAGGTAAGGCCTTACCTCCCGAACGGCTTGGGCTTATGTCGAGCCAAGCTGAGAGCAAACGAGAGATGCCACGCGAGCGCCGCCCTTTCCCTTTCGAGCTCAGCGCGTGCAACGTTTTTCGTGTTACGCGTCGTTTGCCCAGCTTGGCTCGACGTATTCTTCGTGCCCGCCCTCCGCATCCCCGTTTCTTACTATCATTGAGGGGGTTCTGCAAAAAGTATCGAATTCGGCCTGTAGCATTCCGCACACTTGGCGGATTCTTACCGGATCTTCCGCATATTGTGTGTAACTTAGTGATGAACGTCCTCATTATTTTTGTGCATTTTTATGCAGCCTGTGGAACGTAGGAGAGAGATGCCGGTTCATGTAGGGGGTTCTGCAAAAAGGTGTCACATGCGGTCACAGTGGGATCTCGCCGCGAGCGATGTCACGCTTTTGTCACGATATGGGCCCGGGAGATGTGCAAAGTTGCCTCTCTATCTCGACACGCTCGTTATTTACTCTATCGGGCTGGTGTATTGTACTATAGACAGCGTATTCATGATACGCCAAGCCATTCCACTGCAGTCCGTTGAGAGCATCACGAGAGATCTAGTGGACACTGTTTTCTTCCCATGGCCTACCGGACCCATTTTCTCTCCCTCTCTTCAACCACAGCAGATATTCCCATTCTGACTTAACAGAGGTTCTATTCTAGTGTATATATACCTGCCTGAGCTTACCCAACATTTTTTGGTTGAGTGTGGAATGAGATATAAGGGGGTGAGGGGGTTCTGCAAAATTTGCAGAACCCCCTCAATGATAGTATAGTGCTTTGGTGTAGCCCGCCCAAAGACGTCGCGCTCAGAGCCTCGGGTCCGGCTGTCGGCTTGCGACATCCCGGTGCCACACTTTTGCCGCCACACCGGCCTCAGCCGGCCCGAACCTCCCCCAAACCCTGGAAATCGGACTCAGCATTAATATTGCACTCGCCGATTTCCAGTCTTTCCCCAGGCTCCTAGAACCATCCGTCTCCGCGTCCTCGATCCTCTCTCTCTGCTAGGGCATATGTGAAGATGTTATGTAATAGGGCTTATATAATGCAGCTTATTTATAGATGTGTTTCCTAATTAAGACGACTAGTGAGGATGAGGACGCTCTGAGACGGCTGGCCCAACTCGTCGTCCGAGGTTTTACCGGAATTATGTAAGGCAGCTAAGCGACTAACGACGCGTCGACTGCCCAATTCGGATTTTCGAAGCGGCTTTCTCGTCGCACCTGAGCTGCCTTTGTCCTCTGCTCGCACGCGCGTGGACGGCAATAAAGCTGTTAATAACAAAATAATGTATTACATCTGCGTTGTGGATTGCATGCACTTCCGCCGAGTCTCCCCCATATCAATAAAGAAAATAGTGAACAATTATTTACTACAAGATTCAAGAAGCTACTGTCTCCATCTCTTTAGCGAAATCAAATGAGATTGAACATAATATCTCATGTCATAAGGTGTCAGGCTACTTTCCATTGAAGAGCCTGGTGCTTGCCCTTTACCAATGTATTCAAAATAATCTATCCATCAAGAATACAAAGCAAAAGACCCTTAGACTCCTTATGTATTATTACTACACCAGACAGTGTCTTTCTATTTAATGCTGAATTCATATGCTCCACCATCGACGCGCGTGCGAGCAGAGGACAAAGGCAGCTGAGGTGCGACGAGAAAGCCACTTCAAAAATCCGAATTGGGCAGTCGACGAACGTCGATAAACCGGCAGTAAACCGAAGCGTCGTTAGTCGCTTAGCTGCCTTACATAATTCCGGTAAAACCTCGGACGACGAGTTGGGCCAGCCGTCTCAGAGCGTCCTCATCCTCACTAGTCGTCTTAATTAGGAAACACATCTATAAATAAGCTGCATTATATAAGCCCTATTACATAACATCTTCACATATGCCCTAGCAGAGAGAGAGGATCGAGGACGCGGAGACGGATGGTTCTAGGAGCCTGGTCTTTCCCTTGCTTCTCGTATATGAGAAGCTCCTTAGCTTGGCCGGGACTGTAATATGCCCCTGTAGAAATTCCGGGCAGCTCAATTCCTCTGAATCGGAGTTGCAAACTGCGGCACCTGAACCGCGGCGATAGCAGACGTGAGGATGAAGACAACCTCAACACTAAACCGCAGCATGCTAGCATATGCGGGGCTTACGTACCTGAAATACTTGCAGCAGCTTCGAAGGATCTTTGACGTTTGCTCTCAGGACCTTCACAGTGACACGCGGCCCTTACAGCCGCAGCTACTTAGTCTGAGTGCATACCGTTATAGTGGACATGGCGGCCTGATCGTCATATAATGATATATTCTCCGCACGTTCTGGTGTTACTTAGCAGGGAAATCGGAACACAGCGATACTTTTGACATTAGTGCATGTCGACATGGGGTCGCAGATTAGGCAGTTAATACTGCTGCAGTGTAGAAACAAGGAAGGCAGAGCAGTGTGGGCTATAGGCCGGCACAGGGTATCTCGCCCTAAGGCATCGTCGTGAAAGAGCCCGCCACTGCCATGTACCGCTCGGAAACCTTCTTCCAGTTCAAGACCGACCAAAACCTCTTCATGTACTCTTCCTTGCCCCAAACCCCATACCCGCCGCTCATCCAGGAACGCTCGTGCACACTGACACAGAAAAGGGGGTATAATGTCTCCCCTAATCGGTCGTCGAGATCCTGCGGAGCTCGGTTGTATGACACCCGTGGTTCGTCCCCAATGCTTGCGTAAGCGGCAACCGAGTCTAACAACCCGGCCGGGGTTGGGAAGGATTCTTGTGAACGAGTCACTGACGTGTGCAACGACCGAGTATGCATTGGGGGGTTTAGAGGAGATGAGGACGAGGAAACGCCAGAGGTGGGGGATGCAGGAGCCGTGGAGGTACTGGCCGGTGAGGATACATTAGGCTCGCCAGAGGGCCTTGAGCTGGTCTGTTTCTGGGAGAACCTGTCCAGTACGGTGCCCAAAACAATCCTATCATCTTCTCCTCCCATCTGGTGCCTGCTGCGTACTAGCAATGTTCCAGTCCCGAATGTTGAGATCGCGCCCAGTGCACCACTCTGGTCCGCCACCAACCAGACCCAACCTGATGAAAACATCCCAAGTGCATGGGCAGAGACAATAGATTTGAGTTGAGTGAGCGACCCTATTTGCCGGTTGATCCTCCGTAGCAAGTCAGCATTGATATTTGACTCATGGGCATCCTTGGTAGAGGGTGTCTACTCCCACAATGGTGAGCACGACCTGCCAGACACGATGTAGGACACATACCAAAGATTCCAAGAAGAAGCTGTTATTCAACGCTTCGCTGGCATAATTATAGGCTATGACTTGACTCCTGTCCCATGATGTCTCAATGATGGTCTGCACCACACTTTTGTTTTCGTGAGAGGTGCCTGTTCAGATACGTACGGGAACGTACAATCCCTCAGAGAAGTCACTGCTATGGCGGAATGACACAGCTTACCTCGTGTCTCCTCGTTCAACCTGTTCAGCAAGCCTTCCTGATATTCAACGGCAAGAGTTCTCAATGCTTTGGGATTCAGGAACTCTCCGAGACCTCCTTCTATCGGGTAAGGTAATGATTTCCTGGTGTGAGCGTGCCGAACGAGCACCCTAGAACTCTGCCTTCTCCAAGCTGCTCGCAGACTTGAGCGTACTATTCGTAGGCTGGTGCTCATGGTATGCAGAAGGGAGCCCCGTCGAAGGAACAAGCAGACGACCAAGAGGACCAAGCCGACCCGTGTCCAAGTTTTCGATATTTCCCGACGCGGCGAGTTTGTTTGGCCTACGCGGCGGCTTTGTTTGGCTCCATACCACAAGCCTCCTCCACGTAGACCGCAGCGTCCTTCATGGCCCCTCCCAAAGCACCAGCGACTTCTACGTCTCCAGCAGACAATAGCGCCATTCATTCATTATGGAAAGCCTATAACGATACAACACCATCCCGCCTGAAGCTCATCGACACTTTCCTGGTGTTCCTCATGCTCTCTGGCATAGCGCAATTCCTGTACTGTATACTCGTGACCAACTTCCCTTTCAACGCTTTCCTAGCAGGGTACGTGTAGGAGTGACGTTTAGAAGCGCGTCCCATGTGAGAAGGGTTGACAGTGAGCTGAGATGCGCTCGAGCAGGTTCGGCAGCTGCGTTGGCCAATTCGTCCTGACTGCGTCGCTGCGGTCCCAAGTCAACCCAGAGAATAGAGGAGAGTTCAAAGACGTATCCCCAGAGCGGTACGCGTGTTTCCTTATGGAACTGCTTACACTTGATTGATGTGGTCGCTCGTCTGCTGGAATGTACTCTCAGAGCTTTTGCAGACTTCGCTCTAGGATCCATTGTGCTACATTTCTTTGCCTTCAACTTCCTGGGTTGATTCGCATGAGCCTGTCTCATCGAGCTGCTATTGGGATGAAGTGCCTTGTCTGACTATGATATTTAGAGTCTATAAATACAGACTGACAGTCAAGCGCGTCAGTGTTGAGGCAAGGATGCGTATGCGAGGCACTCACATTACATGTAAAAATGGTATAGTACTGCGTGGTCGTATCCGTATCCATGGGACCCTACTTCCGTTCAAAAGAGGAGGACCTCTGTGTTCGTTATATCGCCGGTTGGAAAGATGCATCGGGAGGGTGAGCATGAAAGGCACGTACCCCGAAGACAACCACTGCGAAATCAAAGATGTATTCCCCTGGGTCTACTCAGGAAGCCGATCGCGTATAAGGACGTATGATGACCTACCGGCTTCCAGATACGACCTCAGCAACTCTGTCAAGGACCTTCATCAGTATCAAAAGAACAACTTTCAAGGTGTACAGGAAAGAAGTGGTCTCACGTCGTACATCCTTGTTAGGTACCTGGTGCAGGGCGGGTCTGATATGGAGACAGTCAGGACTAGTTGGCTTCTTCCCGGATAACACAGACCAAGACACAGACGTTAAACCAGTATTGCGCTTTACACCAGCGAGGAAAGCGCTAATGAGGAGAGCATCGAACCCTAGGTGCACTAACTTGCCAAACATGATGTGGCTGTGGGACGGGTCTTCTGCAAATGAGCAAGGGCGATTGTGCGACAGCAGTACGAGTTGAGATAAGGGCGCTCAGAGGAGTTGATAAATGTTTACGAGGATGACTTCAGCGAGCGTAAGACCGGACGGAGAAATTGAATGACTGCTGTGATGCAAGAGCAGAGAGAGCAAGCTGCCGGATGTGGCAGTGGCACGCGGCGCGTCCTGGCCACGCGCGAACGCTGCATTTCTAAAATTCTAACATAGACTACATATCCACAGCTGCTATGTACACCCTTTCTTTTTCTGGTGGAGCGTTGGTTTTGACCGGCTTCCGTCAGAGACTCGCTGTCTTCTTAGCCCCGCTGCCAATGGCTGTTGGGTTTACACCCAGAGGGTTCCACCACCAGGAAATGCACTTGCGCAGTGTGGGACTCGATATCCGAAGCCGATGGACTGCTGTACACAACTCAATTGTGCGATGAGCGACAGGCATGCGGGTATCTTAACCATGTATTCAGACAGTGTTACTATAAATTACTGGCAAAAGTCGGACGGAGCTTTCGCAAGGCGTTCCCGGTGGTTTCTTTGTCTTCCTTGATAATAGCGGAAAAAGCTTTGAACTGTGGCTTCCCAGAGTCCGCTATTTCCCATGGCTGTTAGTCGTGCACGCATGCAGAGTGTCGAAGTCAGACGAGAGCTCACCCATGAGTTCGAATACTGCACTCTCGCTGGTCGATATGTACGCGCCGACTTGCCTCATCCTGGCGAGTGCAATGGGCACTTCCACCTTGTTGCAGCTGGACACTGCATCTGCGACAATGTATACTTTGTAGCCTAGCGATAGAAGGTCTAACGTCGTCTGCAGTACGCATACATGGGACTCCATTTACGAAGCACTCAGTGGGCAGGCTGGGCGCAGATGTCATAGCCGTACTCACCTCTATTCCTACGATGATGACACATTTGAAGCCACGAGGTTTAAGGAGGTCCTTTACCTCCGCCGTGACCATAGAAAACAGGGTCTTTGGGACATTCGCCAGGTATAACGGCCCTAAAGAACCCAAAGCCAATTCCGGGGCGGTCGGTCCAAGTGCTGGTAGGAAGGATCAGGATTTGGCTCCGAACACGGCATAAAGAACAGACGGGGACCTTTTGGGTTCTGCTCCGTGACTACCACAGGGATTTGCAGTACCTACGCAAGTTTCAAGGGATCTGGGGTAGTTACTATTCATAGGGATAGCGAATAGTACCTTGGCTATTTTCAGAACTTTGTTGACTGTCGTTATCAGCTCATGGTATCCGTAAATTGCACTTTCTATTGGGAATGGGCGGTAGAGTACATTGGCGGTTAGTTACATCTATCACGGGCTCTGGGAGTTGCACGCACGCACGGAACTTGGTTTGAATATCACAGACAAATATAACGGTCTCCTCGGCTACCAGCTTCAAGTTATCGGAGGGGGCGGGCATTATCAGTTCGTAAGACAGAAGAAATCACTTGGATGATTGGGAAGATGGGTGGTCTCGAGCTGGGAAATACAGCGTGCTCTTAACGTCTCACATGGATGCGTACGGAGCCCCGCAATAATTGAGCAGATGAGGGTCCCGGGATAGACACGCCACCTGATCCTTAATTAATCCGGCAGTGGCGGTCGGCGTTCTCCGCAGCCTATTTGTGTTGGTTCAACAGTTCGAGTTTCCCTTGCTGTCTGCCATCACGCACGCTGTCCTGCTAACAGGGTCCCAAGCCGTGCCTACGGTCCCGTCCTCTCTTTACCCCAGTCGCTCTCTTCAAGGTTCCTACGCTCTTTCTGGATTGGCAATATCCACCCGAGAAAATCAAGAAAATCACATTTCACTATGGACATTATGCATGCAGTTGATGACACGACGCAAGGCCAGCTTGATCTTGTCGAAAAGAAGCGGGTGCGTCACGATTCTGGCTGCGTCTGGATGGGATCACTGAACACCTTGTAGTTTGATTCCTTCCGTCTGGGAAAGGCCCCCGTGGCTTCATCCCGGCCCAGGTCTTTCCATGGACGCCCACGTTCTCGCAACACTTCTATCTCTTCTTTGTCTGCCATTTCTGTTTCCACTTCATCTACTTCTGTCAAATTTATGAACGATATGTCCCCCACTTCTGTTACACACCCCGTAGGGCCCTCCAAGCGACCCACTTCCCGGCCCACCTCACATCACCGGCGACAGTCCTCTGTATCTACCCGCAGAGAGTCAGCGGAAGTCATGGGTAAGGCTCTGTCTGACTTGCCGCCCTCAATCGCGGAAGACAACATCAATCTCGGCGACAAGGACTCTGTCCGTAGACAAGCGCTCTGGGCACTGGAGGGCAAGTCGTCTGTCGGCGATTATTCCAAGGTAGAGATACCTGAGCTTGGAACCCCCGAAATTGAGAGACGGATATTTGAATTCCGTGAGTTCTTCTCGTATCAAAAAGTAAGGGGATAGTTTTAACGGTGCTGTGCCTTGAAGCGAGCAAGCCCTCGTTTCCTCCTGGACCAGGGATGGGATTTGGGGGAGGTATCAATAGCCTCGTTGGTAAACGTGATTCGTTCGGCAAATCAACCTTCCCGTCTTCGTCTACAAAGGATCAGCTCGATACTCTCCTGGAAGAGGAAGAAGAGGAGGAAGAGGAGGTCGGAGAGGTTGCTTCCCTCACCTCAAGAGAGGCAGATGCGCAGGCTTGCGAAGTCCGTCCAGTCACTATCTCCGTTATTACCCCGTCTCCAGCCCCAGCTCGTCACCGCCCGGTTGGTCTCAGTCTGCGCCCTCTGTCACTGACGCCAGATGCCGTTGTCAGCTACACGAGCGGCAATCTGCCGACACCAGTCTCTACTCCACGATCAACAGGATTGAAGTCCCTTACTCTGGCCAATCCCGCCCTTAGCGAAGGAAAAGATAATCAGAGCACCCACGATGTCAGTCGATCTGATAGTCTTCTGGCGTTGCTTTTATTGACATGTTTTTGTCTTCATAGCCGACTTCAGCTTCTAAATGCAATTCATTAAATTCTGACGTAGAGCGCAGACGTTCGATGTCGCCTGCAACTGTCCTAGCGAGGCGCAGCAGTATCTCATATATCTCCTCCGACTCCCCTCGCTGTGCAGCGGCCTCTCTCCCAACCCCTGAGATGACACCGACGTCGACATCTAGCCGATATCGGTACTCTGCATCCAGTACAGATAGTGACCTGGCTCGAGAGCCACTGTCTTCTAGCGAGCAGCACTTCCTCGTGAAGCAGCATTCAGCATTGCTCGCCAGGATCGAGGATCTTGAGCGTGCCCTGTCAGCTCGTCCTCGGTCTCGTCGCACGTCTTACGCCTCCGATATATCGACGTCGGTATCAATCAGCAGTTCAGAACCTAGCGATGAGATACTGCAGCTTGTGGCAGATCTCAAAGCAGAACGAGACGAACTCAAGAAGGATGTGGATGGTTGGAGGGTCCGAGTCAGTGACTTGGACAAACAGGTTGGTGTCCTTGCCAACAGAGTCGACATGGAGAGACGCGAGGCTTGGGTTGCTAGAGAGCGCGTTGGCCTCCTGCAGGTTGAAAAGAGCTCTTTGGAGAGGGAATTGACTGCGCAGCGCGTCTTGGTGGAGGAAAGTCAGGAAAGGTATTCTGCTGCCAAGCAAGAGCTTGAGGCTCTGCAAGGCAAGTGCGAGCGACTGGAGCAAGAAGTCGAGCAATCTCGCAAGTACCCTGCGGAGATTGCTGCTCTCCAAGCGGAGCTAGCGCAAGAGAGGTCGAAGAGGGAAGCATATGAGCGAGAATTGGAGAACGCGGGCCTGCTGGCGACGCCGACACCCAATTCTTTCGAATTCAAGGTGACTCCCCTGCGCAACCGAAGCTTCGGTTTTATGTCGGTGGGTTCCGAGAGTTCATTCACTGACGTGGAATCTGTCGATGAGACTTCGTTTCGCAACGAGAAGATTCTGAAAGCTGTCGCAGAGGAGGACGAAGACCACGATGATGAACTTGCTAGGTATGAGGAAGAGAATGAGTCGGACGTCAGCCTCGAGAGTCCCGACGGTTCCTCCGTGGGCTCCTTTGAAGAGTTGCGTCGCTCCGTCAGGGACCTAACAATCGACGTCCCTACTGCCTCCACAATCTCGCGTGTTGTCCTTTCTGCTAGCCCTTCACCTTTGCCATCGCCGTCTCCGTCTCCTGTCTTTGATGAACCCGTCAGGCCAACACACAGCCGTCGCAATTCACTGTCCAAGGCATGGACGTTCCCTAAAGGTCCTCAAGTTCAGGTGTCCCGCAGGAAAGACTCCGTCGACCGTTTCTTCGGTTGCTTGGAAGATCTCGATGCATCTCCCCCCTTGTCGTCATCAGGCGTTCAGAGCGACAAGGGCGCATTCTCAAGCTCGTTTACTCTCGGTATTGAGGATGACGATCTTCCCCCTTTCTTGCTGCCTTCGGATGTTGGTACCGTTGTCTCGGAGGAGACTTTCAAACTTGATGTTGGTACCGTTGTCTCGGAGGAGACTTTCAAACTTGATGTCCTTTATGAGGAAGATGAATCCGAGGAACATAATGAGAAGCAGACGGACGAGGACGCAGCAAGTGAAATAGAAGGCGAAGAGGTAGAGGGCGGCATCAGGTTTACTTTCTCTCCACCGTCGAAGGCAGATGAAGCGCCTTCATTCTCTGCGCCCTGCTTCCACGAGGCAGATGGAGCCGAGCCTGCTCCGTTCACTTTTCCCCAGCAGAGGGTGTCACAGGAGTCTGTTCAGCAACCCACCGATCAGTCCACCAGATCGCCGCCGTCGCTACTTAGGAAGGTATCAACGCCATCGGGTATACCTAGGTCCACCAGGATACCTAGCGCAATCCCTCTCGCAACGAAGGCCAGCCCCCCTAAGCCTGCTGTACCGGAATATCCCATCAGTGTATCTGGTTCTCTTCGATACTTCACTCCTCCGAGCAAGCGTGGCGGAGTAATGCCCTCATGCATACCCCATAGATCTCCATCAAGCCCGTCCCCTACTAGGATCGGGACTCCTACTCGGTCGAGATGTATGACGCCTGTTACATTCATACCTCATTCGCTGGCACGGCAGGGCTCCTCTACTGCAAAGGCGAAGCCAAATGGTTCAAATGGTTCGACCGGTTTGCCTTGCCTCAAGTCGTCCATTAGTGCGCATGCTTACTCTTCTGTGTCTTTGTTATGATTTAGTGAGTGTTGTCGCGGGCGCGCCTTCCAGGTCATGCGATGAATGCTCATTCTTCCAACCGGGCCCGTCTGACATGACCAACTCAAGCCTTTCCTATCAATTACCCACTGATACCTCTCCGACTTGCGACGGTTCAAAGCAGTGTTCCACGACTACCTCTCCCTCTGTACCTTCTAGCCTGTTTTCGCCACGACTTTCCCTTCTTACCAACTTCATCAGTGCGTCTGGACTGCCCTGGAGCCCTCGATGTAATTCCGACAGCCCGTTGTTACCGGATCATTCGGACAATGTGCCAGCTATGAGTACTGGACGGAAGGAAAGGGGCTTCGTGTCGAAAGAGAAGCAACTGGAAGCTCTTAGAGCTCGTATGGAGGAGGAGAGGAAGCTAAAGTTGCGAAGTGGCGGCGTCCTCAACCTTTGATCCGCAGATAAAGGTCTCGTCCCCTTCCTATGCCTCCAGTTTCAATTTATCGGCCGGCTTTCGTATCCCTGCTCAAAGGGGTGGTGTAGCTTTGTGGGCTCGGACACGTTTTGTTCTTCACAGCATTATTTATGCACGTATACCTGAGGCGCCGCCCATGCGGCTTGATGCTCTGGGCTGGTATGTCCACAGTGTATATACATTGTTTATCTGTATTAGTAGAGAGAGCAACACCTGTTGGTGTCTGGACGCTTTCGAGTTTGCTATGAGGCTGCTGTCATGCTTTCGATGTTCTTGCGCTATATCTTGGAATTACTGACTTCTATGACAATTGACGTGCCCGGCTTTACCCGAGTTCAACCGTGTGAAAAGTCGCGTAATGTCCCCCACGAGGCTTGTCGAGACTACCCGCTGCGACGTTGAAAGAGACCATCAAGACACAGACTCTCTGAACATCCTCATCCCTATTTACGATGCCCGTCGGAGCGCGCCCCAACGCGGTTAGGCCCCGCAAGACTTTCATGCAGAACTGGTTCGCCATCGAGGTCAGTCTATTCCCCAAGGGTGGCGAATCATGCTAACGTATGCGTTTGCTAGGCCATCCCTATGTATGAGCACGAACAGCTAACTTTATTGTGTCTAACTATGCAGATAGATACGCCATTATCGGCACTGTAGTTGTCGGCGGAGCGTGGTACCTTACCAGGCTTGCGATGGGTCCTACTGGTAGGTCACTGTAGTCTCACAGCTTTGGGTTTTGACATACCGTTCTTTAGTCGTCTGGACCAAGTCTAACCCTACACCATGGAATGACATTAAGCCTGACGAGAATGTCAAGCTGATGAGCGTCAATCAGCAATTCGACAAGAGGTACGCCTCGCATCCACGTAAACTAGCCCATGGGTATTAAACCTTCCGCTCAGCTGGAAGCGCGAGAAGTTGTAGTGGCTATCCTACTCCTAATCACAGTTTAGGCATCAGGAATGTCTATTGTACTCCTGAACCGAATGTGATTCTTTTACTTGGCCTCAGTACGTCACGCTAAGGCGTTATTATTGCGTGACACCCTTCGAGGGCCGATCCGGTCCATCGATCCCGTGCACTGGTATATCAGCAGTGATCCCCAGGTTCGTGCCGCTATTCCCTACGCCACAGATGACTGTGACTCTAGACGCTCCTGAGCCTGTGTTCACTCTACCTCCTCTCGATTCTATTCCTGACGGGGATGAAGACAAACCGGTGCCAGGCTCCTCCTTTGTAAGTACTGTCGATGAACAGTCTCTGTCATAAGGTGTTGAATTCTGCGGAGCGTGAACTTGGGCCGCTGGGTTCACCAGAACTGGTGTTTGGAGCAGCGACCTTCTCATACCACTACAATACCGATGAATTTCTCACATCAGATATACCGTTCAGAACGGTGAGGCTAGCTTTGCGGTAAGTTGCGCAAATGAGGTGTAGGCTGTAGCTGATGAATCAGGCAGATATGGAATCAATGTCTTTGATACTGCACCATACTATGGCAACTCTGAGATTGTACTGGGAACTGTCCTGAAAGCCTTACAGCCGGAGTTCCCCCGCACTTCCTACAAGCTGGTAATAAGTGATGTCATGGGCGTCCCTGTTTGCATGCTAACCTTCCCCCGAAGATCACGAAGTGCGGGCGTTATAGCCCCGGCCAAGATGGGTTTGACTACTCCCCTGCAACGATCCGCACAGGTATCCTCAGGAGTCTCGCGCGCTTACATACAGGCTATCTGGACGCTGTGTATCTGCACGATGTGGAATTTGTCTGCACGAAGGTTGCCTCGAAAAGCACCGGAAACCATGCGACTGCTCTGAAAGAAGACAAAGCTGCCTATGGTCTGCTGGAGGGCGAGGAAGGAAAGATTTGGGGCGAAGGCGATCAAAAGATTCTTGACGCTATTGGTGAACTACGCAAGTTGAAGCAAGAGGGTCTCATCAGGAATATCGGTATCTCAGGTATGCGCATACACCCATCCTTCCTCGCAACATGCCAACCAGTCTTAGGTTTCCCGCTTCCCACACTCCTGCGTCTGGCCTTGTTGGTGCTCCACACGCCGCCATATGAGCCGTTGGATATCATCCTCTCCTATTCGCACCTCTGTCTCCAGAACGCAACTTACAGCGAATTCATCCCTCACTTCCGCGACCGCGCTCAAATTCGAAACGTGCTCACCGCATCCCCGCTGAGCATGGGCTTGTTGACGCCCTCGCCACCAATATGGCATCCCGCCCCGGAGCCTTTGCGCGGTGCAATCGAGGAGGCCAACAAGCAGTGCGCTGAATGGGATGGCGGATTAGTCAACATTGCGGTGGGCTATGCGCTCCGTCGTGCGAAGGACGTTCCTACGGTCGTAGGTTTCAGCAAACCCCGAGAGGTGCATGAGAACGTCAGGGTATGGCGAGAAGTGCAGGATGATGTAGAAGGGCATCGAAGGAAGGAACTGGAGAACAAGTGTGTGGGTATCTTTAGAACCGCTGGCTATCTGGACTGGGACTGGGCTACCGCCTGAGCCTGGCACCATGCGTTGACCTCTTTCAGGAAGAATCGTTGGGCTGAATGGTTGTAAATATTATGAACGTAACTTTGTGTGGTCAGACCGACAATCAAATGCATTTTCTGCTAGCATTGATGCTTTATTATTACATGAAACTATAGATACAATATATGCGGGTAGACCAAGTGGTATGCGACGCTCCATTCCATTGACAATGCCCATGGCCGCAGAGATTACCGTGTCTTGATAATACCCGCGGCGACCAACTTCATAATCTTCTGCCGGATCATCGGGTTCTTCATGTGGTCTTGTAATGCCGCAGGATCCGACTGAGCCTGCTGCAATATTGACTGCATGACGGGATCATTCATGATGCCCTAGAGAAACAGAGTAAGCATAAGAGCAAGGTAAGAGGACAATCCGGTATAATGACTTACTGCAACCTCAGGATCCCTCATGGCTCTCTGGAGAACCTCCTCCTCACTCTCACCCGCGCGCTCAGAATACATCGCCTGCTGGCACTTGATCATCTGCGCCTGTATCTCAGCCTTGTGCTTGTGGTCCGTATCGTGGTCCTCGGCCTGCTGGATAGCCTCGATGGCCTTGACGTAGTCCTTCATCACGAACAACACGTGGCTTTTGCGGATGTACGCCTTCACGAAGCTCGGGTCGACCTCGATCGCCTTCTCAGCGTCCTTGAGCGCCTCGGGCAGCGCGGCAAGCTTCGTGTACGCGTTCGCGCGGTTGTTGTACCCGCGCGGGTCGTTCGGGTCGCGCTTGATCGCCTCCGTATATGCTTTGACCGCGCCGGGGAAGTCGCCGTTCTTGAAGCACTGGTTGCCCTCCTCCCGCGCGACGGACGCCTTCTCCGGGTCGATGTAGGCGAGGCGCTCGGCCTCGGCTTTGGCCTTCTCGGCCTCCTTGAGCTTGTTAAGGATGTCGGGGGTGCGGTGCTCGGTGAGAGATTTTTGGTAGAAACGGATGGCTTCTTGAAAGTCGTTCTTCCTGAAGTAGGCGGTACCGATGCGGCCGAGAGCTTTCGCTACGAGTTTGTAGTCGGCTCGGATCTGCGGTGAAGACATGAACATCGCAGCAAACAGAAACCCAACATTGCATTTACCTCACGGCCCTGGTCGACAGCCTTTTGACATGCGTCGATACACTTGTCGTAGTCGCCCTTCTCAAGGTACGCCGCTATGGAGAAACAAGTGAGCTCTAGGGCAGTAAGGTCTTGGAGATGCATGCTTACCTCCAACGTTACTGAGGTACGTGATATCCTTCGGCCAGATCTCCCATGCCTTCTCAAAGTGCTGGATGGCCGTGTCAAAGTCCTTCTTCTTGTACGCATCCGCACCGAGCTTCTTCTCCGCCTCCGCGTCAGCCTTGGCCTTCTTTTCCTCCTCGTCCTCCATCTCCACATCCTCCACTTTCGGCGCCTCGGGCTTCGGCTCGGGCTTGGACGCGGGCGGGGGAGACGTCGGCGGCGGCGACGACGAGATCGAGTCCGCCTGGCCCTCCGCCTGCGCCTTGGCAAAGTCCGGCGCGTCCTCCCCGCTGAAGCCCTGCAAGTCGACGCCCATGAGCACGCCGAGTACGTCGATCATGCGGGGGTCCGCGGCAAATGCGGTGTCGGCCATCTTCGGGTTGGCCTGTAACATGTTCAGCTTCTGAACGAAGGCGGGGTCGGCGAGGTGCTTGGCGGTGCGAGGGTTGGTAGCGAGTTTGCCCAGGAGGTTGGGGTCCGAGAACATCTTTCCGAGGCCCATCACATCGGCACCCTCACCGCGCTCGAGAGCAGCTAGTGGGTAGTGTCAGCTTTCTCGTAGTGCATATTTACGATGGAAATGCGCGCGTACCTTTGGCATCCTTCACCTCCTGTAAACCCTTCCGCAGCGCTGGGCTGTCCTCGAGCTTCAAGCCGGTCTCGTAGGCAAGAATAGCCTCCTCGTATTGTCTCAAGCCGTGGAGAGCGGCACCTTTGCGCGCGTACCCCTTTGACCACGCGGGATTGATTTTGATGCACTACGCGCGTCGTTTGGTCAACCTCTTCAAGCACTTCCACTACAGACGACACTCACAGCTTCAGCATCCTCCAAAGCATGCGTCCAGTCCCTCTTGCCTGCCTTGGCAGCACTCCGGTTGGAGTAAAGGACAAAGTTCTGTGGCTCGAGGTTGATGGCCTGCGTAAAGAGGTCGATGGCCTTGTCGTAGTCCTTTGCCTGGAACGCCTTGTTTCCGAGGTCTTTTAGTGCGGCAGCGTCAGTCATGAATGTCGTTCAGGGTGGATATATGCGTGAATATATGCGTCGTGCAGAGTCTGCAATGCCAGTGCTGTAGGCTGTCATTCGCCGCTGTTTTATTGCTTGTTCGCTGCAAGGCCGGAAGTTTCTGGAATCTTCACACTACCCCGGCCTAATCCAGCTGCTGCATTGATCTCATCTTATCTTATCGCGGCCACAGAACAATCCAAGAATCCAAGATACAATATGTGCAATTAGGGTAACGTACAAATGCAAGTCCTTGAATGCAAGATAAATAACCTTGCCTGGGACTGCGGCACTACACCTGGTCCTCAGAGCTGGAACTCGCCGCCTGCACTTCCCTCGGCAGGACAACAGGCGACTGCGTGTGCCCGTTGTGCTCAACGATAAAGGTCTCCGACGACGAGCTATCGCTCCCCCACTCCTCCTCACCCTCGTTCGCCTCCTCCACCTGTTCCTTCTTCCTCATACTCGAAAACGGCGACATCATCTGGAATGATGGCTTCCGAAACCGCGTCAAGAGCGCCGACGTGGGCGACGGCGGGTTCGCGGGGCGCGGTCCTTCAGGCTCCGGCGACTTCTTTTCCGACATGGCAGGCCCGCTAGGTGCGTGGTCGAAAAGCTCGGATACCCAACGACGCCTGACACTGGGCGAAATCAGCAGGTCCTGTTTAGCGCTGATGGTAGATGTCCTGGGGGACGTATGGTGCCGCGGACGCTTGAAGAACCTTTCGGAGCGCTGCGCGAACGCGGCCTCCGCATCAGTGTCCATCGCCAGCGGCATCTCGGTCTTGGGCGGGGACGAAGGGTCGGTAACGTCGATGTGCGGGACGCGCGTGCCGGTAACAGGGTCGGGCACCGTGCTATCCTGTGGCTGCTCTTGCTCCTGCCTGATAACGCCCACATCCTTCCCGCGCATCTGCATCGCCTTACGGATGGCCTGCCGGCCTTCGTAAATCTGCTTCTCTAGGCGGAACCGGTTCTCTACCATATGCAGCTATATTGGCCCCTCGTCAGATTCGGAAACCATCGATTTCTTCGACAAGGCGCACCTTGGGCCAGGTCGCTATCTGCCCAGCCTGCATCATCCGCGCGAGTTCCGGAGGGTCAGGATCGCTTAGTATATGAAACCAATCCTATGAAGGAGTTTACTTCGGTATTCAATGGACGCCAGGTGCACTTCATACCTTAACCCGCGTCCTAGGCCAGATCCTTACAACGAAGTCAGAACCACCATTGTATGGATACGTGTATAATACTCACGTCACAACACCCTCAAATCTCTGCAAGAATACGCTTGACCAATCCTGACCCAATAACTGAGGCAGAAGCTCCAAATCACGAATGACCTATGCACCACTGAGCCCTATGATCTCCATGTAAGATTCCAGATCCTACCCACCTTGAAATTCTTCGTCAACTCCAGCTTCAGCCACTGCTCCCCCGCAGACAGCAAAAAGTTGCCTCTCCATCCTGAAGATCAAGGCATGAGGACCTAACTCTCTAGCTACGGGCACAGCACCGACCTTTGCCTTTCCTATGGGCCACAGGTTTGCCTGGGGATCCTCGAGGAGCGAAAAAGAATAAATGGACGTGCGGGTTGACTTGCGAGACCACAGGGTGCGTCACTGCATTCCGAGATCAATCGGCGTTTCAAGGCTGGTTACGCCCGGTAAACTCACCGTTGAAGTAAAGATTCAAAGACTGCAAGGGTATATCCACCCTGAAGATGGCTCGTTAGATCAAACGAAGCAAACAACGCGCTCAACGGTACATACCTTAACGACCCATCTTTGAACTTGCTTCCCCAATTCCAAGGGACGATCCGACCATCCCTGGTCTTCTGCATCAGTACCACAGGGTTCAAGATGCCAGGCACGGCAGCGGACGCAAGCAGAGCAGTCCATATTATGGTATCAGGGGCTGTCATGTAGTTCAGTAGCTTCGTAGGGCTGTTGTCAGGTATCAGAATAAGATCATAATCCCGGAATCAACTCGAAGACTCACGAATGTCGATCCGCGGGGATAACGGAGATGTTGAGTATGCGACCAGTTCGCATATACGCTTCTCGGAACGTGAGGGAGCCACGAGTGAAGAATGTGGCCTGCAGACATATGTGATTATCGCCAGGAGATTGTGCGTGAAGGGGCGCACCTTCTTCGCCCATGAAACAGCATCGAACCTGGCCCCGGTCTTCCAAAAACGTTTGAACCAGACACTGAACGGTTCCTCGCATGCTGTGATCCTATTGGCAAGCTCGGGAACAAGCAGTCGCTTCAGCTCATCATCTGTCCGAGTGCAGACCAACTGTCACCATAATATGCATGATGAGCAGTCTGGTAACCTTTAGCACGAAAGACACTGCGGAGTGCACATACGGCAGCTATAAGGCCACCTGCGGAGGTGCCGGTGATGACTCGCGGCAGTAAACCAGCATCAAGGAAAGCCTTCACTACGCCCAGATGATCTGTCAATCCACAATCAACAATCAGCCCGGTGCTATCATAGCACTTGTTGCGGACTTGGTAGGCAGCACCAATTTGAGACTTACAGTACCCGAAGGATGCACCGCCAGATAAACATAGGGCAGAGGCGCCCAGATTGGTATTGACAGTCTTGAAGAATCGCCGTTTCTCTTCCTTGGAAAGATGCGAGGTATCGAGAACGTATCGCAGAGCCTTCTCTTGTTCATTGATGTAATCTGCAATATCGAATCCATAAGTGAGGCGGGATCTTGACGCGACCCCGCAATCTTTCCACTAACCCTCAATTAGGTTCTTAGTACCGTAGAACGTCTGGCGCCCACTGTCAGCATCGATATATCATTGATTGGTGTGATCAAATCTACTTCGCTGTATAGTCTACAGGGCATCACGGAGATGAACTCGCAATACTAAGAATAGACCAAGAGCGACTTACCTAGGGGATTCTATTCCTGCAAAGTTGTTACGGATACATGTCTCAAGCACACCGAGGATGCCCCTAGCATCATCTTTCTCTCGAAGAGTCTTCAATGACCGGCGGACCTGTTGAATATGGAGTTTATAGCCAGTTTGAATTTACCCGCCGGATAACTGCCCACCTTCCTGACCAGTCGCCAGTCGTAGAAAGGATCTTCGTCTGTAGTCTTCCACTGATTGAACCTCATATATTCGTCCAATTCCAGGGCAACTTGCTTCCATTCCTGCAAGCGAGCCAAGCTTGATTCAGAACAGCTATTCAAACTGCGAAACAAAGGTTGACTGACCTCATACGTCTTCGCGGCGCGCAACTGTTTCCTTAGTTGTCCCCTGCGCCCTCTCCCTAACTCACCACGATTGAGAAAGAAAGGCTGGCGGAACAGCGTCCCCCACTTACATGCAGAAAGCCACTCCTGCGTGTTGACGAGCTGTCGTATCAGGACGTAGAATCCGAACTCGGCGAGGATGAAGGCGAAGATTATGATCTGAACACTTATTAGAGCGAGCGTGAATGTCACTGGCAAGAAAGACGCACCAATAGAGGCCATCGGACAATGATGAATAGGAGGTCCTGCCGTCTGTCAGGTGCTCCGCTTTCTTTCCTCCGCCTGAGGGCTTACCGTCTCAGCTGCCAGTATATGGAATCGGTCAGAACAGCACTGACCTCTTGTGTACCTTTACGTTCACGGGTGCAAAGTCGGACAGAGCAGACACTTTCCGCACCCGCTCTCCGTGGGGCGTAGGGGCCCCTCCAGGGTGACTGGTTGGCGTGGGAGGGTCGTTCGCATCTGTGACAATATCATCTGAATTCAGGGCCTCCGCAAACGTTTGCATATGCCTGCGATCGCATGGTTGAAGTGGGTAAAGTCAGGCACACGAGAAAGTACATTGGATCACTGACTACACACGATTCGTTTACATAGTCTGTGTAGAGCTCTCTCCTCGCCACATCCTCCATCGAATTAGAATTTTCGGCCTGTTGCGATGTCGGCATTATGAAATATACATTATCAAGCGAGCGCTGAAAGAGATTCGCAGGAGTGGTACTTATGTCGAAATCAGTCGAAATGGCAAATGTCAGTACAGAGTTCAAACGTGGCCCTGGACCGTCGGCGCCTATGGATGACGTCGAAATTGGGATATTTGTCAGCTGGTGGCTATGCTCTCCTGCCACAGCACGTTACTCCACTTCAAGTTCGAGAGCGTGGATCCTCGTTACTCAACCGGACTGACAGCCACAAATTCAGATAGACGTTCAAGCTAATTGATCAATGTTGCACCTTTTTTAGTGGAGCGAGGGGCTCTCCACGAATGAATTCTCGTTTTACAGGTTGTCATTCGAATACATACTCGCAGTTATATTCGGTTCTCCGTATCGCCAGTCCCCCCCGGCCCCCTTCAATGGGGCACAGCTCCGGCGTAGCGGGTTTGCGTGAGTACATTGACGTATCATCGCCATTAGTTCTGACATCGCTAAAATGTCGGTACCTGTGGATGACAGTGTCCCACTGGCACAACGCAACAGTCTCGTCGGTGGAGGCTTCATCGCCATAACATGATGGAGCCCACTTCGTTTATCGCGGATATCTCCTCAGAACAATGGGCCGAAGCCACGGACTGTGACGACAAAGGGACGGATCTGCGCCGCAGAAGTTAGGACCTGGAACTTTTGACTGCTAGGCCCGAATGGGCTGTAGCTAACAAAGATGGCACCGTCATTCCCAACAGAAACCCTTCGAGATGCGTTGCTCGGCAGATGAGTACAAGACTCGTACAGCCTTGGGCAACAAGGCACCTCCGAACTTCAAATGTAGCAAGTCCCATCGGAACTGGATGACTTTCCGTAAGGAAAAATCCTAGATTTCGCCGTCCTAAACGCCATCACAGTGCCTTGTCACGGTCATTCGCACGGCCGATAGACAGGACAGAGGTGTTTCTCCTATCCGTAACGCCACAAGCCCTCAGTCACGCTATTGATGGCGGCTTACTATGTAAGGAAGGAAAGTGGCTAAACACGGAAGGTACTGATGGCAAGTATATGATGGCATGATACGCGAACGTTTACCGAGGCTAAGCGAGCCTTTAGAGGCGAGCGCGAGTCTGAAGAGGGGGGTCGGACCCCCTTGACAAAATAAAGTTTGCAGACAGCGTCAACTCGACGACCACCATCAAAATTGGCGAGCGTGACAAGCCGGCATCTCGGCTGATGCATTTAGAGTCGAATCTAGGATAGAAAACGACTCTAAATGCTTACGGAAAGTCATCCACTGCTGATAATCAAAGCACGCACACAAGATGGAACCCGAGTTCTGCGGCGCAGCTGCGCATTCCTGCGCACTGGGCCTTATCCAAATGGTATCCAGCCATGACAACGCCTATTATTATTGGCGCTGCCTTGTTATCCTCCCCCCCAACGGGCACATGTGACGGGATTAGGCGTCATGGCCTATTTTTAACGCATGATGCTATGGTCGGGTTCCCCCTGAATTGGGGGCATGCTCAAGTATATAAACGGTCGCAAATACCAGGTCGTCCTCCAGATTCTCTCACCTCGCTCTTATCACAATCTCACACCACTTCACTGACTACACAACATGGGCTGGTTCTCTAACGACTCTGACGAGGCTCAATCCTACGACCAGGTACGTTTATCAACCTTCTATGTCTCTGCTAGCCTAATCACATCCCCGTAGGTGGTCAACGCCCCCCACAAGGCTGAGCTCTCCCATGAGCTGATCGCCGCTGCCGCTTCCTACGAGGTAACTCCTGAAGTCTCCCTCTTCGCCCTTGCAGGTCACTAATCTGTTCGATCAGGCTGCTAAGGCATACGAGAAGCACTGCGAGCAGAATGGCAAGCCTCAGTCGCACGAGGAGGCTAAGGAACTTCTGTGAGTATACTGTGATACATGGTATTCGTCAACCCCTCTGACGCCACATCCTTAGTGCTGGTATCACCGGTGGCTTCGTCGACCGCATTGTTGAGACCAAGGGTGTAAGTGTCCTCCGTCTCCTGCCTCTTACAGTTATTGAGGCGGCCCGTTTTTTCAGCTTGACTTTGTTGACCGCGAGAAGGCGAAGCACCAGGCTAGGCAGCGTGCTGAGGGTGCCCTGTCCAATGCCGGGGAGTACTGAGCTGTTGGCTGTGGCGTAGCAGAAGCATACATAGTTTGCGGAATGTACTTTTAACGGACAATTTGAACTGTGCTTGGACTGGCTTGTGGGATGAATTGCGGTGGCATACCGTTTGAATCAGTCGTATCGATAAACTGGCTTCGCAAGCGTAGCGTGTACCCTGGATATGCAATCAAGTGCAATCCGAATCTATCAGCAGACTATTATTGGCACATTCGTGATCGTGACGCTGAGTCGTATGTAGATCTAAGATCTCGACTTAAAAATAGCGGATGCCGGAACTTCGGTGCCGAGGCGTTGAAGCACGTCCGACGCATTCGCAGCTGCAATGGCCATCGACGGCCTCATCATCCTCGACAACGTCGGGTAAGCGTTCAGATCGTCGAGGTCGACGTGGGAGACACTCAAACACACACACTCTTAGCCGTCCTATTGTCCAGACGTCGTTCCATTCGACGTCGCCGGCGTACCCTCTCATCCACATCGATACCTACAACAATGCTCTCGCGAAAGTCTCTCGACCAGACGACGTAGACCCTGTTCTGTACGTCTCCGGTATCAATGATGATAAGCCTAGTGCTTGCTGCCACGTCGGATGTGGGGGACTGAGGATTCTGGCTCCAATCAGCGGCGATGGTACGTGTTCCGATGCAGCGGGACCCTGGACATCTCTAATTCGTGTCATCTACGACAGTGGACCCATTGTTCGCGTTCGCGTACCTCAGGACCTTCATAGACATCCTCAGAGAGTACCTCGGCCATGTCTCGGCCTCGACCCTCAGAGACAACTTCGACGTTGTCTATCAAGTGAGAATCTTCTCTCATACTGCTGCAACGTGTTCACCTGCTTGCCCCTCGCAGCTCTTGGAAGAAACCCTTGACTCAGGCGGACATCCTCTCACAACTTCACCAAATGCTTTGCGTGAGATCGTCATCCCGCCGTCGCTGCTCAACAAGCTGCTCTCGGTCGCAGGAGCAAACATATCGTCCCTATCTGCCGCTTCTTCCAATCCTTTTGCTTCGCCGATACCATGGCGCAAAGCAAATGTCCGGCATAACAATAACGAGATTTATTTTGACGTCGTCGAGGAGCTGAGAGCTGTTGTGAATAGGTAAATCCGGTTTGCTCTGAAGGCGAATATCATTCGATGCAGACGCTGTAGTTGATATGACTTAGGTCGGGCGTCTCGTTGTCCAATGAAGTGCTGGGAAAGATCGACACCAACTCCAGGCTATCAGGTACTTTACAGATGAATACAGGTAGTGTAATGACTGATGCATCGTGGTCAGGCACTCCAGACCTGCTCTTGACGTTCTCTAATCCCAAGGTCCTTACCGACTGCTCATTCCATCCATGTGTCCGGTAAGATAGTCTGCTGTTGTCAACGATTTCTGCCTCACGCTCTCCCGCCACTAGGCTGCCTCGTTGGAGCAGAGACAAAGCATTGTCTTTCGTTCCTCCAGACGGTCCCTTCATCTTGATGGAATATCGATTCTCCCCTTCCTCGTCCAACTCTAGTTCCTTGGGCGTCAACCAGGTGCCGGTGCCCGTCATGCTAAAACCCAGTGTGGTCATTAATGAGAACGGAGGTAAGTATGCCGAAAGGATGCGGTATATATCAAAAGATAATCCGGTTGCGTAGGAACAATCGACTTGACTGCTATCTCACGTCTATCAACGAGGGCGATCGAAGACTTTACAGTAGAGCTTTACCTAGGGCAAGGCGCAGGCGCACCCAACTTCATGGTATCTGGAGGCGGTTCCTGGGCCTTTGATCCTCGGACTCTCGTCAGTACATTCACATATTTCTTTGCTAATTCAACTTGACGGTCGCTGCCGTAGGTCTTGCGCTGGGAGATGGCCAACCTGCCACCATCTTCTAGTCATAGCCTCAGAGGTTCGTGGACATCAAGGTATGTTCTCCAACCTTCGATACTTCCAGCGGTTCTCATGCTGTACATGGATGCACAGCATACCAAATCCTCGAGCTGCACGTGCATTCAGAGTAAGATTCGCTATACAGCAGCACACCTTCTCTGCGCTGAAGATCGACCAATTGCGGCTCACGGGCGAGGCCTATAAGCCGTACAAGGGCGTGCGGGGAAGGTCTCTGGTGGACTTGGAGTGGAGATGGTAGGGACTTACGAGCCTCTTACTGTCGATAGGTGTATTAGATACGATGTACTGCTCTTCGCTTCGAGCTGTGATTTGGCCTGCAGGCTACAACGAGCCTCGAGAACGCGATCACGCATTTGCCGAGCCGTGGGAGAGCGGTATCCGGTCCCGTATTAATAGCAGCCCAATGCAGTCACAACCGCCACAACTTCAGCCAGGCTGAATAACAGCTCTGGTATCCCTTCGACGCACCATTAGCTGACCTCTATCAATATGTCCTCGGGAAACGTATCGCCGGCAGGCAGCCCCGGTCCCAGTGTGCGTGAAAGCATTGCGGCAGCAGCTGCTCGCCGGACGCAACAAAAAGCTGCCTTGCACGCCGAAGAACAGCATCGGCGGGAGCACGACAAGAGACAAGAGTTCAGACGGCTGATAGAGCCTGGTATATTCACGCGCAATCCAGATGAAGTGTCCATGGTCGCTCTGCGTGTACTTAATCCTCGCCGCGCTGTAATGGACATACGTTCATACTTGTGGCTTTGCAGACCCTGTCCACCATAGCAGACAACCTGCTGCGAGAACCGAACAACTCTAAGTTCCAGAGATTCAAGCCGACCAACAGCACCATCAAGGAGCGCCTGATAGACCCCAAGGGCGCGTTAGAGTATGCAATAGCTGTCAGTGATCTTCGTACTGCTCGTGCTTGTGTCACTAATCGTATGTACTCGTTCCGCCCAGCTCGGATTTCGTACAGAGGTAGGCACTCACCTGCTATCAGTTCGGAACTGTCTGACTTCGGATACCCGTCTAGGTTGAGGAGTTTCAGCCTTACTACGTCTTCAATCCGCGCCACATGGACGATCTCCGCATAGGAGCCGCCATTATCCACGAAGTACTGGACCGCAAAGCGGAGCAGCAAGAACGGATGAAGCGATGGAAAGAGCAAGAGAAGGTAGCCGCTGCGAGTGTAGCGCAGAACGTCCGTGCCCAATCTCTTCTGACTCTGTTTCCTCTCACAAGCAAGACCCATCTTTCAGGTCAAACTCGCCTTCATGGACGACCGTAAGAGTAAGCTCCTTAACGACAAACGGGAAAAGGAGCTCAGAGAGGCGCGAGCTACTGCAGCTGCAAGCAGGCAATCTATGTCTCCTCCCGCTTCTCCTTCTACATCTGCTGTACGAATGACAGGCCCAGGGAGAACCTTATCAGGTGCTATTGTCCATGGCGACGACCTCGACATACCACCTCCCTACCCTCGACGTGGCTCAGATGATGGCTCTGAAATGGATTAGGAAGACTAGGATTTTGTGCTGAAGGGCTCGCGCCATGTAATTCTGACCTCGCGCTCACCATCTAAGAAGGAAGGAACCTTTGCATCGTCTATTTCACCGTTTGAACACAGCATTACAGTTCTCAATGTGTACTATTCTTGTAGGATTAAAGGGACAGACAGAAGTGGTACACCCGACCGGTTCTTGATGCGCGCGAATAAATACAGCATATCCTCCAACTCTAAGAGAACATATGGACAGTAATCAAGAAAGACCTTGGCTAGATCATGCGAACGGATACTTGGATCTGTCCAGTTTTGATATACGTCTCCTGCCATCAGGGATGGGCACGGCCTTCGGAGCCGGGGGCATAGGGAATTGAGACAGCGTGTTCAGGGTGATCCTTACGGGCGTACCGTCAGGGTCGCTGCGCTCAGCTACAAAGGAACATCGTTAAGTGAAGGAACTGTTGAACGAGATACGTCGGCACGTACAAGAGGAGGATGACGACGAGTTGTCAAAGGCTTTCATGCGCTCGGACACTAGGCTATTCCGTGGCCGGCTGGGTCTCCTGGCATCATTCAAAGAGTTCGATCTGTCCAGTGTAGCGACAGGGCTTTCAGGAGACATGCCCGTCATGATCATAGACTTCGTCCGGGCAACACGCGCGGACGGCGACGTTTCCCAACTCTCTGCATTTGATGATTGCGAAGATGAGGACGACGTCCTCCTGTGTTCCGCCATGGTATCGACAACAACGGAAATAGGCCTGACCTTCTGGGCGGGGTGCAATGGTAGACCATTCCGCGGCACACCACGTAATGGAGATGGTTTCGGAGAGGGAGCGGGCTTCGATACAAACTGCGGGGGGAGGGGAGGTACAGGAGGAATATCAAGCTTCACAGTACCAGACCGCGAGCGAGTGATGCGCGGGGCTGGGGCAGAAGCATGGGCGGGTTCGATGACGGTATCAGATGCAAACGAGACCCTGCGCCGAGCGGGCTCAGTGGGACTGACATTTCCCCGTGGAGGGGATTCAGACCTTGGCCCTGTTGCGCCCGAAGCGAGCACTTCCTCGTGCAGTTGCAGATGCGTCTTCCATGGCTGCTTTCTTATAACATAGCCAGATGAGAACACTTCCTCGTGTAACTCGGCATGAGTCCGCCGACTCCTCGCCATCCTGACTGCCGACATCGAGGCACATGAGGCCGCCGGATAGATGTCTAGATGAGGATAGATAGCCTCATCTACGTAGTGTCAATTTCAGCTCTTAAGTGGAGGAAGACGGTGACTCACATGTCCTAATGGTCGGATATTTGCCAACCAACCTAACAGAGATCACACCGGGCAGGGCACCGTCACAAACGACGCCAGGGTAGATCTCAAAGGAGGGGTAAACCGCGGGATCTGACAGAATGCAGTAAGTAAGATTACGGTAAACAAACCTGGTTGGGCCATACATAAGCTGATGAACGGATACCGAGGACTAAGTCGACTTGGGCCAAGTGCCTCTGCGGCAAGCACGAAACACGCTGGATAGATATCGAAGTGAGGGTAAGCGGCTGGATCTAATACGGATCAAAGCGTATGAGTATAGAGCTCGGTCCACACGCCGCAGCAATACGCACAGAGGTTGAAGGAGGGATACAGAGCTGAGAGCCGCATATCGATCCCGCGCAAGAAATTTCCCTTTGAAGCCTGAGAACCAGAACCCGCCCTAGCAGTGCACACGGGACCACTCGCTGATGGGTAGATATTGAAATGGGGGTACAATGCCGAGTCTGAGAAACGCTTTAGTCCCATAAGTGCAGGATGTAGTACATACGCGACTTACAGAGATCGAAGGCCGGGTACCTCGCCTTAAGCTCAACGGATCGAGTCTTGTAGTATCCCTCATCGCGCGAGGGGTCATGAATAGCAGGATCTGCAGGAAGCAGATACTCAATATTGGGCACGTCCGATTGAGGAAGAGACATACAAATATCGAAGTCCGGGTATTGCTCTGTACGCTCCTGCTTGGCCGAAAGTGGTTGACCCTTGTAGGTACGGTGGGCAGGGTAAATGCTGATCAAACTCCAAGGATAAACCGCTCGGTCTGCGCAATGCGTGAGAGTCGACTAATAGTTTTTAGAGTGTATACGTACAGATCTCGAGGGCCGGGTATGCAGATGGAAGGGAGACTATTATTGGCTCTTCTACTTCGGCACTGTGGACATGACCCGGGTAGATTTCCATGTGGGGGTATGAGGCAGGATCTGAAATGCAACAATGAGCAAGAGATATAATAAGACAAGAACTGGACTTACAAATTTTCATGACAGGATACTTGAATAGAGTCACCGAGATTAGCTGCCTGTCACCTGCTTTCCGAGGGCGGATACTAGGGTAGATCTGGAGGTGCGGATACACCCCCGCAGCTAGTATTACGATGTAAGCTTGCCACAGCGGGACGTGATTGGACAGAACTCACAAATACTGGGGACCACGTCCTTGGGAGCGCGAGATATGATCCGGCGACTCAAACTCACCGCCAATGAAGCAGCTCCTGTACCACAGACGTGCTCAGGGTAGATTTCAAAGTGCGGATAGACAGCGGGATCTACGTGATTGGTATGCCTACGCGTCCACTGGGAGCGACAAGATGGACTCACAGATGCTGAAGGTGGGATACTTCGGCGTCAGCTGCTCGGTTCTGACACCCTCCAGGACGTTGATATAACCGGGGTAGATCTCCAGGCAAGGATAGACTGCAGGATCTACGACCAGCGAGTCAGATCTGAATACATGTAGATATGCGATGGAGACATACACAACGAGAACGTGGGATAGCGCGCGGGTATTGCGACCGATACCTTTTCCCTGGCATCGTAGGCCGGCACGATCGGGGGATAAATGTCGAGATGCGGGTACACAGCGGGATCTGCGACTTCTCAGTCACGATAGCGGCATAACTCAGTAAAGAGAAAAGCTTACAGAGGTCAAACCTGGGGTACTTCGCGCTCAACCGTACCGAATTGTCACCGGCAAGGTCACGATCCTCCTTTTGAATACGGTATGGCCAAACCATACTCCAAGGCTCAGACTGCCTGGCCCTATAATACGGGAATCCGAAGGGACTCTGTGGCGCTGCACCGACGTCAGGCGGGGACACCTCAAGCGTCTGCTCATTATCCGGCTCCCGTTGTCGAGTATATGGCCAGACAAACCTCCAGGGAGCGCGTGTCCACACGTTATAATACGGGAAGGAGAACCTCTCCGCGGGCATCTCCAGATCGAACGCTCGCTCGCCGGCATCAGGCGTCCGGATGTAGTACGGCGTCGCGGGGCTGGGGGGGTAGGACTCGAAAGGACCCCAGCTGGTCGCCGTCGACGGCGTATTCGGCCTGCTCCAGCCGTCATTGCGCAAGCCGATGTCGACGGACTGGGCGTAGCCTTCGCTCACCACGGGCGACGGCGGGTATGACGACGAAGGGCCCCAGCTCGTAGCGGTCGAAGGAGTGGGAGGAGGGCTGGATAGCATCCTGCGTCCCAGATCGGGCGAAGGAAGGCGCGAAACGTTGGAGATGGGCGAGTAGAGGTAGTCGTAGGCGTAGTCATCCGGACCCCAGCTTGTAGCAGTTGATGGGGTAGGCGGGACGCTCTCCAACATCCGCTGACCGAGATCGGGAGAAGGTAGGCGATCCACATTTGAGACAGGAGAGTAAAGATCATCATAGTCCTCTGGCCCGTACGAGGTGCAAACCGAAGGAGTAAGGCAGACTGAACCTTCCGCCCTACGGTCCATATGCACAGATAGCACACGTCCAGACGAGACTGACTCGACGTCATATTCAAACTCTTCCGGTCCCGCAGACGAGATAGACCAGGTGAAGTCGTCAAGGTTGAGTTCATACTCGCCTTCCACGACGGGTGAATCTAGCGAAACGATATTCGGCATGTTAACGGGATCCAGGCTGAATTGACCGGTCGCAGCCAAAGGAGTAGGAGCAACAGACGAACTGGCCCTCCAGTTCCGAACGCGAGACTCTAGGTCATTCTTCGCAGACTTGGGTTCTTCCTCCTGCACAATGGGTGAGAGGGAGTTAATGGCCCGGTGGTCAGAATGTTCTGGCTTGGGCGGAGATATTTCGGCTTGTGAAGGAGCCCGAGACACCGAACGCGCTGAGAGGGTGTCAAAGCGGTCCAGAAGAGACAGTTTCCTTGGGACATGACGCATGGTTCTCGTTCGCTGCGTTACAGACTCAGTATCCACCTGGTCGTCCACCATGTTGTCCTCAGCAAAAGTCGTCCTACTGTCGTGCCGAGCATGCACAACAGACGGGGCGCGGGAGCCGGGCATCGACATGGGAACATCATACGCATCCCTTTGGGAAGATGCAATCCACGCGTCGTACCATCGGGCCTTGCGCAGATCGATGTCGAATTCTATCCTGCCGCTGATAGGCAGCTGCGCAGTCGAGCTGACCGGTGATCGAGCCTCAAATAAGTGACCCCACAGGAGTTGCCAGGATTCGTCCGAAATGCGGGGAGTGAACGTGAACCCGCTCTCGGTCACATGAAGATACAAGCAAAGGCCGGTCGTGCTAGGGAAGTTGAACTCCTTCGCGATTGCTGAGAGTTGTCCATACATCTACAGCTTGATAAGTAATCTCCCGGGTTGTATAGCATATTCATGCTCACCGTTGGGAATAAAGGCATCAGGAGACCGGAAGACAACCGACTCGATGGGCCCGAGGACAGCGTGTGACCGAGGTGACCTGGCTCTTGCGGAAAGGTCGTGGGCGGGACAACCACTACTAACCACTTCGTTCGGGGAGTCACTCGCTCTCGCGCATGTGTATCCCCTCTTGCGTTTGCACCCAGCCCAGAGCTGAGGTACGCTATTTTCCTGAACCGCGACGCCGGCGTTTCTGTAGGGGCCGCGATGGGAATGGTAGCTGACTCTGCGTCTCCGCCGAGCGTCATAGACATAGAGGAGTGCTGGGCAGGACCCATTATATCTGAATCTGTGTCTGGCGGGCTAAGAGGGTGGACCGGTCGAGGAACGTCGAACGGAGAAGGCTTATGGAAAGGCGTGGACGTGAATCGAGACATATGTCTTCAATGCGGTGTAATGAGAGTTACGTTGAAGGATTGGGCGTGTGTAAGCCGTCTAGCAGCAATAATAGATACACTCGGAGGGTGAGCACCGCGTCAGAGTCTCGGATCCACTGGTCCCTGGCGCAAAGACTGACCGTCGAAGGGGGGGTGAGATGACCAGATATGTCGGGGGCGCGCTCTAATAGTCAGTAGTATGAGAAATCAGTAAGCCGACATTTGCTTGATTGATACGCAGCCCCGATCATACCTCCGCAATTGCTAGGACGACAAGGACGTTCGCGCACGACACCAAACGGCAGAGAGAGGAAAACGAAAGAGAGGCCTGCCTCCTGGGCTGGTCGGGGGATGGGCACCCGTGAAGCGATCGCTGGTGCAAGCACTGGTCGTGAGCGTATGGGTGCCAATTTACGCTCAAGCCTGGAGACCGTAACCGAGCGATCGACTTCCCACGCCCGTCGCCTCCCGTCACGTGGCCCGCCTGCTAATTGGACTGCTTTATCGACCACCAGCCATGGATGCTAGGCTCGCTCAGTACACGTCGCTCGGCCAGAAAGACAAGGCGCCGGCGTATCTGTCTCTGCTTCAGGAGGTGCTTACGCGCGACGACCAGTCTACTGTTGCGGCCGATGTCCACACGCTCGTCGACCATGTCGTGAACAGTGACGCCGTCGGCCCTGTCGTGGGCAGACAGGTCTTGTCTGAATTGGCGAAGGCTCTCGGAGGGGGCGTCATCAAGGCCTCTGCGACTCGGAAGCAAATTGTGGAAGACACGCTTGCGATAGTGCAACCAAGGCTGGTCAGTTACGAGGAGCAGGTACGATCGTCCATCTGTGCGCGGCATCCATAAGCTGACATTTCCGATAGGTAAACGTATTACGGTTCCAACTCGCGGACCTCTTGGAGGAGGAGGAAGAATGGAGCGACGCAGCACGGGTGCTTATGGGGATATCACTAGAGTCCAGTCAGAGGTATTTTGTGTGTTCCGCCTGCGCCACTGAACTTCATTGAGAGCAAGGTATCAGATCGGTGTCTGATGAGGAGAAGTTACGGGTGTATATCCGCATCGTTCGATTATTGCTCGAGGATGAAGACTCCGTACAAGCAGAAACGTACTATAACCGTGCTGCTCTCCTCGCGCACAGCGCAACCGACAAAGAGACCCAGCTAGCGTTCAAATTGTGCCAAGCAAGGATTATGGACTATAGCCGGAGGTTCCTGGAGGCTGCGCAACGATACCACGAGCTCAGCTGGGTAGCAGATATCGATGAAGAAGAGCGCAGGCATATGCTGTACGTCGCTTTCGAATCCTCCGAGTGTCGGATCCTCATCTCCCGCGTCCCCCAGATCCGCTGCAGTGACATGTGCCGTCCTCGCGCCAGCAGGCCCAAACCGATCCCGCGTCCTTGCCTCTCTGTGCCGCGACGAGCGCACCGCCGAGCTTCCCACCCACAACATCCTGTCGAAGATGTTCCTCGACCGCATCCTGCGCCCGGCCGAAGTTCACGAATTCGAGGGCACCCTCAAGACCCACCAGCTTGCCAAGATCAGCATATCCTCAAACGACCGCCTCGCGTCTACCGCAGATGCTGACGAAGACGATTCATCCTCGAGAGAGCCAAGCGCCAGCAAGCGCACAGGACCCTCTACCGTCCTCGACCGAGCCGTTCTGGAACACAACCTTCTCGCCAGCTCCAAGATCTACAACAACATCACTTTCCGCGGTCTCGGAGCTCTGTTAGACCTCACACCTGGTGCAGCGGAAACCATGGCCCGGAAGATGATCGAGCAGGGCCGCCTCAAGGGCTACATTGATCAGGTAGACAGATTGATATGGTTCGAAACCGGAAGTGAGGACGAAGAAGCTCAGAACAAGGCTGGAGGTCTAGGAGACGTGGAGCAGGAGACCGAGGATCCTGGGGCGCCTTTCACAAAGCGATGGGACATGCAGATCCGCCAGACTGCAGCAGAGGTTTGTACGCATGTTTCCATACTGAATTCACTCACTGAAAATCGGATTTCAGGTGGAATCAATTGTACAACACCTTTCGAACAAGAATCTATTAGCCACAGTATCAGCATGACAATGACGTATGGTTAGATGCGGGGGTGGAAGCGGGACTGTCAAATTAATTGTACATTGCAATGCATGATCGATAACAGTATTCACTGGAACACTTCGCCTTCGGTTCTCCTCCGCTTCTTCACCCTCTCCCGCTCCCGCTTGGCTTCCAGCTCGTGCCACTCACCCTCCAAGGTGGACAATCTATGATACCACTGAGTGAATAATGGCATGTGAGAGGTTGCGAAAATGAACGAACCCGACAGGTAGTGCAGGAGCCGGTTCTTCTTGCGTGAAATATGGTGCTTCAAGAGCTTGAGCGGCTGTTATACGTTTCGAGGGATCGTAATTGAGTAATTGCTCCGCAAGATCCAACGCAGCATGAGACAGCCATTTCTTGAATAGCACGCGGAAATGGTCCTCGATTACCTCCTTCGGCTTGACCAGCTCGTACCACGGCATATCCGCCACGCCGGGCCATCGCTCTGGGGTCGGCGTACCAAAGACCTTGTAGATGGAGTCCAGCTGGGAGATGTCGTCGTTACCCTGAAATACGGGCTTCTTCGTGTACAGCTCCAGCATGATACACCTGTCTTTCCATTAAGACAGTTCCATACGAACGGCCTGAGACTCACCCTGCGCTCCACATGTCGACCTCAGGGCCATAAACAGTAGTGCCAAGCAGGAGTTCGGGAGGCCGGTACCACAGAGTAATGACCCTGTTGGTGTAATCGCTACGGCGCCGCTTCTGGTAGAAACGAGCAAGTCCAAAGTCGGCCAGTTTCAACTCGCCTCGGTTGTTCAAGAGAATGTTCGAGCCTTTGATGTCCCTGTGGATAACGCCTTTATGATGCAAGTAAGCCAGTCCAGCCAGCATTTGTTGACAAAGGGATTTGAGATTTGCATCAGAAAAGGCAAACTGCTGTTGCGTTAATACACCCGTCAAGTCGTGATCCATGTACTCGAAGACCATGTATACAGAACCTACACGGATAATGAGCCGACATAGGTAACGTTGTGGACAGCGACAGTGCATACCATGAGACACCATCATTTCATACAGCTTCACGACATTCTGGTGACGAAGGGACTGAAGGAGCTTGATTTCACGCATAGCAGTGACCGGGAATCCGTCTCGCTCCTGTTCCATCCGGATCCTCTTTAAGGCGACATGTACCCCAGTTATCGTGTTGCGCGCCTTGTACACTTTGCCAAAAGTGCCCTCACCGACCTGGCTTACTATAGCGTATAGATCAGCACGCGATGAAGTCTCGGAAGTGCCATCAGAAGATGGAGCAACAGGGGTTGCTAATCGGCTTGGCAATGGCCCTCCCACTTTGTGACTCAGAGCCAATCTATTATGCTCTTGAAGAGATGACTGACGCAGAGTATCCTGAGATGATGGCGTGGACGGCGGCCCTGGATGGAAGTTGGGCCGCGGTTGGTCTTGAGCCTGCAGCACTTGCTCATGTCCTGCGTTATCGACAACCATAGCAACCTCATCTGTGGCACGAGTTGCCTCTAAGCTCTGCGGAGAAGGCTGTACAGAGTGCTCTGGGGTATGGCCCTGGATGGTAGTGACGGGGTCCGGGACAGTAGAAGACTTTTGCACCGTGGATCGTACTGGCAGCTCATTTTCATCCTCATCGTCGTCCGGGAAGAATCTCTTTAGCGAAGAGTTGGAGGCGTTAACTTGGCCGATAGGTTTGAATCCCGCTTTAACTCGGATACCGGAGGGAACGTTTGACTTCGACTGCACTTCTGTGAGGGTACCTGAAGAAGATTCTTGGCTCTTGGAATGGTCCTCCGGGAATGGTGAGGCTCGCGAAGACGAGCGTACAGGGGATGATCGTGACGCCTCTTCGCGACCCGTCCTCAAACCTTGCTTTACATGAGATACTTCAGATGTACGACTCTGTGATCTCTTATAAATGTCGTCCCGTGCTAGTGCATAAGGTTGCTTGCTTACATCGGAATGCTTGCCATTCGCAGCATTGCGCCCTTTCCGCGGAGATCCACGTTGTGGATTCTTCGAGAGGTTGATCGCGATATCTTCTATAGATGTCGCTGGGGGTAGCCGGTGGACGGCCTTGGGACGCCTCGGTGGACTACTACTCGGACTCCTCGTAATACTCGAAGCAGAGGAGACACTCCTTGGGCGCGCTCGGCCACGACTGTCGTAACTTCGGTGAGACGTCGCTGGAGAGCGAGAATATCGGCCGTAGTGTCGTTTGCTCGCAGGAGAACGGTCATACCCAGGGGATCGTCCCCGGGGTGTTGGACTGCGATCACGGCGCATCCTTCGCGGCGAGATGGACCGCGAACGCGACCTGGAGCGAGAACGGGATCTCGACCGTCCCCAAGAAGGCCGCCGGGATGCGTATGACCTTCCTGGTGACCTCGACATTGACCTAGGGGATCGTAACGGCCGGCGCTTTCCAGGTGAGCGGTTGGTCGACGCGGGCGGACCCATATCCCTCCTAGTCCAGCTATTCCACCAGGATAATCAGCAGAAAGTACCTCACAGTCAGAATTGCATACTTATTGAGCGAACCGTCATCATTCCGCCAGTCCCGTTCGCGTTCGCGCTCCCTGTCCTTATTTTTCTTTCCCTTTTTCTTCTTGCCAGATTGATTGCGATTTTGATTGCGCCCTTGCTCTGCAGGACCCCGCCGCTTCCAGGAGGCAGCAGGTTCCCATGAGCGATCATCATTGTTGCTGCGCGAACTCACGGGCTTGGAATCACCCCATTGACGTCGAGGTTCGTCTCGGGCTTCGGTCTTCGCATCGTTGTTGCTTTCCTTACGCCATCGACGGTCCTCTCCATCCCGTAAGTGGTCCCTAAGCTCATCCCTCCGCCACCTATCGTCCTTATCTGACCCATGCCGATCCTCCACGGACCGACGAGCAACCCGGTCGTCTGCCCATGAATCGTACGATGCTGCCTTCCTCTCATAGCGCCCATTGCTGCTCCAGGTACTTGATTCACGATAAGGTGAATAAGAAGGCTCATAACGGTCGCGTTCGCGGTCGTCCCATTCCCGATCTCTGGCTGAAAAATGAGCATCTCGCGTTGCCCAGCCATTGTCTGACCTAGGAACGCCATTATCGTGCGCGTCCCGAGGATCACGAGAACCACGTCGATACATGTCGTTTGACGATGTCTGGGGGCGATCATGAGCGAGCTGAGACGGTTCAGCGTGGCGCCAGTCGTCCATGTCACGACGTCGCGACGTTGACGCTTCAGTGCTCAAATCTCGTGATGAAGGTTCTCTGTACGAGTCAGTACGATGAGGGTATTGGTGTGCTCGAGAATACGACAAGTCACGAGCAGGTTCTTCGCGTCGTGAGCCTAACAAGGCCTCGTCGTCCTCAGCACCGGCAGGATGCTGCCGTCGACTTCTGCTGTGGGCAGAATGCATCGAGCTTGACAGTGAGACGGGCAGGTGCACGAATTAGAAAGTGGGATTCAGTGCGTAAGTTCAACAGAGGAGGAGGAAGGGTGGTGGTGGACGGAAGTCAAGCGCCGAGTTTGTGACCTGCGACCTGGAGACGGTCTTGTTGGGACAAGACCAACAACACCGATCCCTCAATCACAATACCCTTCAGAAACGAGGTGGCCCGAGCTTGTGGAAAAGAGTTAGAGAGGCCATGATGGTGTTTGGAATCCACGCAACGTCAACGCAAGTCGACCGCTGACAGACCGCTTGAGATCGTGAAAACTTACATAACCCCCGAGAACATTAAGTGCTTGAAGAATCTGAGGATGCTAGCTTTTTCTTCTGCAGCGGCAGATGAGAGAGAGCCTCCAGTTCGTGCTTGATCGAAACTGTGAAACAAAAGCAGCAAGGGCGGTAGCAGACATGCCCGACGCCCAGTCTGACGCTCCGATAGGCCACAATCGCGCCGCCATGACACGAATAAAACAATTTCTACAATTCTTAAACCGACCCTTTCCAAGATGAAGTACATCTGTAGATGTGGTCTGAGAATGCGCTTTGTCTTGTATGGAAACGTGATGGTCACTTGAGAGGAAAGTGGTGGAGTGGTGATTGGGCCGCTGCCGGGGGCCGAGGGGGTCGCGCTGCACCAAAGTAGAGGTAACACGAATGCAGGACTACATTATCGAAAATGTACTATGATTACAACGGTAAGTCAGCAATTAAGGACGAACATGGCGTTCATTGGAAGGTACAAGTCGGCTCTCCCGCTTCTTCAGCTCCCCCTCCTTCCTCTCGAAGGGCCAGGTTATAGTGAAGCAACAACTGACCCAGGTTCACCCGCAAATGGCTCCGACTCGAGTGTGAGGCATCCATGTTGTGTTGCACTATAGCTTCTGCATTCTGGAAACGGGACCACCGGCTCTCTCCGTGTACAGGGGCAAAGAGCTGGCGGAGACATCAGCACCGGACACTCGAAGGTCTGCGAGTGACTCACTTTGACCGTCGTGTCAATGCCGCTGACAGCGACAAGTGGCAACTGCGGGTGAGCTTCAACCACATTCACTACGCTGCCGTCGCCTTCGTATATGCCATGCAACTTTCCCATGGACTTCGTCCATACGAAGAAATTGCCGTCGTCGGAACCGGACACGACAAAGTCATCATCAGGGCCGAGGAAATTCACTGTGTGGAGTGGAATCGTCGGCTCACAGACGTTGGATGACCACTCACCGTCTTTTATGGTTTCGACGTTACAATGACCAGCAAACCGCCTTTGAGGATATATAATCGGAACGTCTCCGTGGACGTCTAGCTCTTCTTCATCGTCGTCGTCGTCGTCGTCGTCGTCGTCTCCCTCTTCGTCTTCTCCGTTCGACTCTGCTACGGCTTCTTCTTGGGCAGGCTGAGGACTGTCGATCTGCTGTAGAGGATCTTCCGGCATTTCCACGTCGGAATCTAGATCCCAATCATCCGAAGTATCCGTCGTTTCCCTACGTACTTCATTCAGACGAGTTCTTTTTGGGTTGGGAGAGAGAACACTGCGACCAGTCCGTTTGCCCACCCAGGCATCGTTAGTTCCTGGGTTGTCAAGAGTCGAAAATAGATACACAGCGTCTCCACCGTAAGCTACAAATTGCAGTAGTAAGTAATCAAAGAACACCTATCATGCGACGGAAACTCACTCATCAGGACTTCATGTCCATTGTTTTGTGCCATCCGGACGCCTGAGATGTACTCCCGCCGTCTCTTGCGCTGTTCCCGTGTGGGCTTTCTGGCAAATCGACGCACGCATCTTGCTAGATCTTCACCGTCATCCGGTACTCCTGCCTCTTCTTGCAACGATCTCCCGACTTGTCTTCGGTCGAAGAGGTAGCCCTGTCGAACAAGATTCAGTGTCGAGGCTACATTCCGCTTCAAATATGGCTCTGCCATACGTACGTACGGTGATTCGCCCGCAACCACAAATTGGTAGGGTGTGAGAGGAGAAACGCCAATAGAGTACAGGTCATGTGGCACTTTGATCAACGGCGGTGGACAGGAATCCGAGCCACAGACATGCGGGTGTCGTAAATCGTGTTGCCGCACAGTGCCGTCCTATCCATGTCCGGTCAGACCACGATATATCAGGTCTGTTGGGAATTGCAAGCGCACCTCTGATACCGTAAGAAATGTGTCTGGACTCTCTTCCGTCACTATCCTCTTCGTAGCACCTCGGTGGCAGCGGAGAACACAGATGCACGCTTCGTGCGTGTTATATTCTGTTTCGGGCCCTCTGGATGTTGCATGACCAGTTGCGTTCGTGATATCAAATACCCGTACTTGGCTATCTCCTGAAACAGTCGCGCTATGCAAACTTGTGAGAAGCAGTAGAATGAACGAATGATAGGAACCCACATTCGCGAGGAAAATGGGAGCATCTGGTTGTTGAATATATTGCCTCTGTGACCGGTTTTGATTACAGCGGTGCATATAAACGGGTAGTCTTGCGACGAGTCAGTAGGGTCCATTCGCCAGAACCGAACACTGGTTACCGCAATGATAAGTCGTCGTCAGAGGTGATACTTTGTTCGTACGCACGTCCTGTCATCACCACCGCTCAGCAAGACATCTCCACCTTGCACCCAACTCAACGCATTGACGCATCTACCAACGGAAGGTTGTTTATGGGGAATGCTGGGGAGAATGAAGTGTAAGCACGTACCCCGTATGCCCAGAGTCCTCATCCCCGAGCACCTGCACTCTATCCCAAGTCTCATATAAAGCATGTGATAGATTTACTCTTTTCCATCGTTCAGAGCGTGATGCATAAGGCAATTCTGCCTTGAGCTGGGGCAGAGGTATCGAGGCAGTTGGGCGAATGAACTGACTGCGTTGTGCAGAGGAGCCATCGTCATTTTCCATACGACTGGACATCAGACACGACAAGGTATGCAGTGGTCGAGAAGTCAGACTCACCGGACGAGTCTGTGAACCCTGGAAGAATAGAAACGAAGGTTATTCTAGTTGGATCGGGTACCAATCTGATATTACAACAGAACGATAGATGCTCGTCCATGCAGTCATAGTAGGCGAGACGTCATTATTCGCAGGCTTTTCGCAACGGGCCTGCATAAACCGGAGAACATATTATTCGGCGTAGACGGGCCAAGACTACTGGTACAAACATGTCATGCTGATCAAGATCGTGTGCTACTGGTATTGCAAGAGAAACAAGGTATGGAAATGTAATGGCAAAGCTGGAGGCAGCTCACTTAGCGGTGGCGAAGCCGACAGCGTCGCGACCAGCGTCGTAGACCGTGTAGTAGCGACGAAGGAAGACATCACCTGAAAGACAAAGGTGAGGATAGGTCCAGTTCAACACCATATTGCACTCACCAATGATCCAGAGATCGCCACCGGGCAGGTTGATGTCCATACCCTGGAATGATGAGATACAAGTACCCTGAACCTCAAGGACGTAGTCTGTGCCTTTCAACGGGTAAGCCTTGCCGTCGAAGTAGAAGGAGAGATCGGGAAGGTCGGGAACTTTAGCGCAGTCGACAGTGTACTGTCCATTCCAGGACTTAGTTGCCCCGATCTGCGCGTTAAGCATCTCGGCAACATCGGTGGGCAAGGCGATCAATGAGGTACCTAACGGTAAAAGAAACATTGACATTGACCGAACAAGAGCGACGGAGGAGGGAACTAACCAGTGTCGATGGCAGCGCCAGTGTTCTCAAGCTCAAGTTCATCGTCACCAAACTTGATCTTCTCCAACTCAACTTCCCAGTAAGCCTTTCGGCGAACCGGTGCGTAGTGGATGGCGCCAGAGTACGCAGATTCATCAACACCTCCAAAGATAGCCTCTCCACCATCTTCCTCGGAATCACCTAGACGGAAGGAGAAGACAGGCTCCTCAATCAGCTTCTGGTCGATCATATTGTAGAAGGGAGGCGTGATGTGGTTGACAGAGATCGTGTTGTAGGCCAAACCGAGAATACCATCAAACCTGGATATGACTAAGCAACCAGCTTCAGGTACCTAGGTGGACGGTACTTACTTGCCAAAGGCGAACGTGAGCCCTGGCTCCTTGGTTGCCTCAGCAAAATCCTGACCCTTGATGACAATATCGCCTATCGTCAGAACGTCATTGGACACGAAACCTTCCATAGAGCCGGTGCCATATTGAATGGAGAACTCAGACCCATTGGCCTTGTAGGTGGAGGACTTCGACGAATCGTACTTGGTGTGCAGGAAGCAGGCAATGGAGGTGCACTGGATGCTCGGAACCCAAAGGTTACTCGAGCTGAGGGGTCGGGTGAGTTTAGCATATATTGGAATTAGCTGTAACATTACCCAGTATCCAAAATAACTTTGAACTGAAATACGCGTTAGTGCAAGCTCGCGATGTCTGAAGGGCTCCACTTACAGTCTGAGGGGGAGTACCCAGAGAGATCTCCGTAAAGTACTGCGCGTTGGCGAAGTCTGAGCGTATGCTATATGTTAGGTTCCCGCACTACAGTATTACGACAAAGATACGTACTGCTCAGCGGCACGCCGTGACCACCAGCAACGGCAATCTCCTGTACCCAGTACAAGTCGTCGCCGCCCTGCTGAACGCGACGACCCTGCCCACCAGCCCCGAAAAGGGGCGTCTGGGGTTGCCCGCCGTACTTCTCAGCGAGCCAGGCAGCCTCGAGTTCAGGGTTGGAAGCTACAGGCTGCAGCTTCTTCAGCTTCAGCTTGTGCACTCCAGCAGCATTGGCCGTAAGGAAAGGGAGGACAAGGAACGTAAGGACGGATGAGAGGATCATGGTGGTGGAGAGGGAACAAGCCAACGTTGCCCCGTCCGCAGGTTGACGTACTCTGCTGTTGCTTCCGGCTGCGGGTCGTCGGAGCGACCCGAGTCTCCGCAGTCCCCGGTCCCCGGCCGGTCGAGTACCTTCGCGGCTTCCCAGCTCTCCGCTTGGGCTCGCTCTGAACGGTCGACTCTGTTGTGGCGCTTTGGTGGCACTTGTCTTTCTCTCACCGTGTGGTGCTGCTATTGCCATCGAGCCTCGAAATAACGCGTCTATGGCTTCCAAAACGCGCGCATCCAGGCGAAACGCTGGGATGGAGCTGGACTACGCGTCGCTCACGAATACGGAGCGGCTTATGCTGGCTCAGGCCGTGTACGAACTGGGCGCAGACGCGTGGAACGAAGTGTCTGAGCTTTTGAGCAAACATGCCCTCATCACGCGTCCTAAAAACACTTTTACCCCTGACGTTAGTGTACGAGTTGTCATCGATAGATTTCCCACCTGAAATATATTTCTTTGGACCGTAAAGGCATGTCAGGATCTATACACGCAGCTTATGCAGGAAGCTGATCTGGAGAGGTATGATTGACGATGCTCGACTAAGAGGAAATCCTGAGCATTCTACAGCCCAGAGGATATCAGTGCGAGCCGCGGTAAGCCAATACACACGTCTTGAGGCATTCTAGGAGTAATCGTTCGCCTGTAGCTCCGGTGCATCTCAAGCTGGCACAAAGGCACTATCAGGCCCGCGTACTTGAACTGAGAGACCTCATCGCTGCAGAGGAAGTGAAATTTAAGTGAGTATTGGGCATGCAGGATAAGTGGCACCCGTTCACAATGCCTTAGAACCATAGTCAAGGAGATAGACGAGATACGCTCCGGACTATGGGACACTAAACTGGACGACCAACCTCAGGCGACCCCGACCCAGGAAGTAACTGCGGAAGTGGCTAACACTATTGAGGTACAAGTTCTCTCAAGATACCGTCTTTGTATTAAGTTGCGTATTCAGGTAGCAAACCAGCATCCTGAGGATCATCCTTCGTCTCCAGCCGCTGAAGTTGCGGCAGAACCCTCGACGGCTGATGCAGTAATGACTTCCCCGTCTTCCGCTCCAGCAGAACTTGTCGAATCACCCAAACCGGACATCCCAGCACGGTCAACAACTAGCCCAGAAGCCAGTGCATCAGGAGAAGACAAGATGGAAACATCGATTCCGCCAGAGATTGCAAGGAGTCCGGCGCGACCCACGCGGTCCCCATCAGTCCAGCAGGCAGCAACAGAGCAAGATCACGAGGACCGAGGCCCAGGAGAGGAAGATGAGGTAGGCGCCACAGGATCTGCAGCTCATGTGGAACGAGCGATCTCGCCCGGTTCGCGCGACCAAGCAACAGATGAGCACATCCGGAGCCGCTCGCGATCGCGTGCAGCGACGTCGCAAGAGCCTGACATACAGCTGGAGCATATACCTGATGCCACGTCGACTAAAGAGAGTACTGACGGTGATATTGAAATGGCCAAAGAAGAGGAGCTGGCCAGGGAAGAGGAGCTGGCCAGGGAAGAGGAGCTGGCCAAGGAAGAGGAAGAGACGCCCGGCGTACCAGAAGACATAGACGTGCAACAAGTGAGCCAGGAAGTGGAGGTTGATGCCGACGAAGAAGGGGTCTCCGCTCCGGAGGATGGATCAGAACAAGCGCCTACTCCAAGCGACACCAGTTTCTCCCGACGGAGACAAGGTTGGTGCTCCTCTCAACAGAAGTCTACAGCGGCTTACCTTTGCCGCTCCCCTAGGTAAACGCAGGGCTTCCGACACTGGGACGACGGACTCGCAGAGAGAAAGGAAGAGGGCCAGAGAGGACTCGGAGCTCGCAGATGACGATGAACAAAGCGGTATGCTTAGGTCCACTTTCTTCACATCCACGCTGAATGAACATATATTTAGTCGGCTCCAGTCGCAGGCGTTCTGGCCGTCAAGTGGCCAATGTTGACCCAACAGCACTCAAACGATTCCAGACAGTCATCACCATGTTATACTCACAAATCGCCCAACATCGTAACGGCGCTATATTTCAAAATCCCATCAAGACCTCTGAGGCCCCAGATTACCATGATATCGTGAAGAGACCTATGGACCTGAAGACAATCAAACAGAAGATCAAGGACGGATTGATAGTCAATTCCTTAGAATTTCAACGTGATATCTATCTCATCTTCGCCAATGCGATGATGTATAATCGGCCTGGGTCTGACATCTACCGGATGGCTGAGCAGGTCAGTGGCACCTGATAGTGGATTTTATAACATGCCTCTGACGTTTTCAAAGATGATGCTGGACAGTGAGGGACATATCAATACGTTCAAGCATACAGAAGGTTTTGTTAGGGGCGTCCATCGCGTGTGACACCAGCCCTAGCTAATCCTGTTTATGCAAACTCTTAGTTTACTTTCGGGTCGGAATATACAATACATAATCTAATGATACAGCAGTAATTATACATCGCAAAGCAAATCGAGAGCACCAGAAACCCCATGACTAGAACCAAGGACTATATACTTCTTGCATTTTGGCTAGATTGATGGGATTCGTAGCCGATGAAATGAGGTTTGTGACCGTCTGGACCACCGGCGCTGTGGCGGGGTTGCTCGGATTTTGAACAGCCTGGTTACTCGACTCTGAGCGACTGCTGCAATGAATTTATGACAAAGAGCCCACCTGTTCCCTCTCCACTTTACACGCCATTGTTTCGGCCTTTTTGACTATGGCATCGATATTAGCAGCAACGTGGTTGCGGAATGTGATGTCGGCTGCATTCCAGGGTTTGTTGCGTAAATGAAGCCAAGTTATGACTTCATCTCTTGCAAACAAGCACAACTGCTGTTCCAAATCGAACTGGAGTCCGAATTCAGTGAGATTTCGAGAAGTTTGAACGAGATACACAAACCTCGGGCTCCGTCAAGCAACGTCCAATCGCCATCATGCTCGTCGTCAAGAGACCCTCCGTCATGATAGGTCCGACGAAGCGTTGCATGTTGGGCGTGAACCGGAAAGGCACGGTATCAGGGGTAGCGAACTGAGGGAGATTCGCAGCTACGCCTGCGAGCCTTGACTTTAGCTAGGTATCCGGGATTTGAATCGCAGAATGCATACCAGGCAGAAGCTCGCTCATGGCTATTTGCCCAGTGGCGCGTGATACATGGAAGCGAGACGGAAGGCGGCTGGTTAGACACAAGGTCCACGTCATGAAACTAGTGGCGGCGATTTGTAGGGTAAATTGCTTCCGCATCCGCCAGAATTCGCTTGGACCGTCCATAGTCCGCAACATATACTTATGTGAAGAGATCAGAACACCTCCTTGGTATAAGATGGTTAGAGCCGTACCCGGAAAAGGATGTCGTCTGGGACAAGCTTCAGCACAACCTCATCCAATACATCCTTCTTGAGAGTGAAGTACTCCGCTTTGCTGGGCTATTCAAGACAGTCAGAGATATGAAATGCTTGCTCCGACGAGACGTACCAGTCGTTTCTCATTGTGATTGAACTCCCGTAAGACGGTCTTAATCTTCTCTCCAACTACCAATATTGGATCCTCTTTGCTGACACCGGTATCTTCGCAATACTGGTCGTATATATCACCAAGATTGATGTAGGAAGAATCATTCTGCAGCAAACGCAGATTGGTACCACATGACACTGCCGCAGGAAGATGGAAGGTCAAGTTCCTCTTTCGGCTCTCCTTCTTGCGGCTCAATGTTCTATAACGACTCTCGTAAAGCGAGGCGCAGATAACAACTTGGCAGGCTTACCCATTGAAAGTCCTGAACAACTGCATAACTCTTTCCTCTCTGCGACAATGCCGGCCTGAAGGCAATTGTACGGCAAACGAAGTCTTCGAGCTGTCACTTCCATGGATGGTAAGGCGCCTGAAACAGTATCCATGGGATCGACAGTTCTCGAATTTGGGACCGAACTTCTGGATTCTGATGAAATTCTGGTTGCTATCCTTGTCCTAGATGCGGAGATTAACAAAGTTCATCAAGGGGATAGTATGGTTCGGCAGACCTCCGTATATTGGCCCGGAACTTCGATCTCGTCAAATTTACCGTACTGGAACTCCGTCAAATAATGACTGAGCAGGTCCAATGGTTGAACGCGGGGTCGAGAGTCAAGGTATTTCTCATATCTATCTCGCCACTGTTGTAGTTTCCCAATGTACTCCAGCTGCGTCAGCTTTGACTTGAGGAAATCTTCTTCGTAATCTTTCTGAAGAGACGTGAGCAGTGCAGAGACAAGCGCGAGAGATAGCGGAAACAACTCACTCGAGCAGGGCCTGTCAGATTGCCGACCATACGCTGGAGGTTGGCCTGCGTCTGTGGGGGCAATTGTCCGTCGTCCTCCGCCATTGGCACCCTGCTGAGATACGTCTACATGACAGCAAGCATGAAACTCAAGGTCACGCAACGCAAGGAAATCAACGCACATTAACACCGTCTAGCAGCAGCATGCATACGAATCTATAGATGTCTTCTTCCGGTGTGGCTTTGAACCGCTGGTTGATTTGATCTATCAACGTCTCCAAGCTGAGTATGAGAAGGGGGAAGGCTGTCTTGAGGATGTTGACAACCTCTTCGACATACTCCCAAGCCTGTCGCATTGGGTGGTACGCGGAAGCGTCATTGCCTGTTTGCGCCCCGGAGATGGGCGGAGCAGGTCTTTGTACATCCGGTACAGTGCCGTCCGAGCCTGAGCGTGCAACAGGGGCTGGGGACTGAGACGGACCGACTGAGTCATTCTCCTTCTTCGTCTCGTTGACTTCGTTGGTAGCATCTCGCATGGGATGATCTACATCAGTCCTTCGGGCTACATCTGCGGTCGTCGCCTGTTGAACTGAGGGCGCTCCATGGCTGCTGCCACTGGAAGCTCGAGCGGCTGCGGCTGCGGCTGCTTGTCTCTTGACAATTGCCATGTCCTCTTTCGTAGTCCGGAGAGGGAAGAAAAGGGCCTATTCTGCATGAGCATGAAGAGCGATAAAATATTATACCGTCCACGCACCTGAGGGTATAGTTTCGCAAGATTTAGTAGCAGGTATCGAGCTTGCTTGACTTCTCGTTGTGATATGGACAAACATAGTTGAGGTATTAAGGTGATCCAATACCAGAACGCTGCATCTCCTTTATAGGTGTCGAAAGCGCGCGAAATCGTGAATTGGCCATCATCAACGCTGAGCAGCCATAAGACCCGAGTCAGTAGAGGCCGACTTTTCCCGTTCTTGTGCAAGCCGGCAGCTTGCAGGTAACAGCTGACAGCGTGGGCAGCGTATGTCATATCGTTCGGCCTCTCTTTGAACATACGGTCGTTAAATTTGCCCCACTCTGCCCAAGCTTTAGCTTGATTCATGTCTAACTGTACCGCAGACCCGAATGCATGGTTGGCATCCTCGTAGCGCTGAACGCGAGCGTGGAACATTCCCTTCAGGGTGAAGAACTCCGCCTTTTGCGTACTCGAGAAGTACATCAAATTTGTATTGTTGATAACTTCCAAGCCTGCTTGCAAGTCGTTAGGCTTCTGATAGTGACAGCGCGCCTGTTCGCGAAGCTTGAGGAATGCCTCGGAGATTTCAATATTGGGTAAGGTATAGATCTTGTTCAAGTAAGTGAAGCAGACATCCAGGAGGTCATGTTTACGCGCTACATGGGCAAACCTGTTTATGATCCAAGCCGTCTCATGGAAGCCTCGATAGCCGAATGTATTGGAAGTCCCAGCAGCACCATTGGCATTGGGTCCGCTCTGTGGAATAAGTGGTATGTATCGCTTATTGATGGCGTGGAAAACATTCTGCCTCCAAGCTACGAGGTCACTCCAGAGGCTGATGTCGTCACAGCGGTCAGGAAGACGTTCACGCCAAGCCTGTAGTGGAATCTTGAGTTCCGCGGATTTCTTCTCAAGATTCGACGCGGTCGTGGACGCTAACGAGTTGAATATTTGGATCGCTTCTGTAAGTTCCACGAACTGTTGGAAGTGCTGGAGTAATGGCACGTGTGCAGGTGACAAGTAGGGAGGTAGAGCAATCCACTTTCGGAGGGATAGTTGCGTTGCGTCCTCCAATATTTTGGTGACTTCCGCAGCTACTTCCTGTGTCGCGGCATTGATAGCATGCTGGGCTGTGGCATTCGGTCCCGAGGCACCGTACGTCTCCGGAAGTTTAAGTAAGGCTATAAATGCTTCGAAGACCCGACGGCGAGGGGTCCCAATGTCTGGGAGGGAGTTGACGAGTTCTTCTAGGGAAGCTCGTTCCTCAGCCCAATTCTTAATGCGCCATGCACTTTCCAGCTGCAGCTCAACATTCCCTTCATTCCTGGCCAGTTCGAAAAGAATGTCCCATTGTTGTAGCTTCTCAGCAGCTAGCATCCAATGATCTTCCCAAAGACAGAATTCGGGTTCGGAAAATGGTATCGCTCCCGACCTCGTTTTACTCTGCGCTGTCTCGTACATAACAGCAGCTTGCTCCCACATCCCATTCTGCTCGAAAGCGATCGCAATATTGGTCTCACTGTGGAGGCTGCGCCTCCGCCAAAGACCGTAGAACAGATCATCTTCCGAGAGCTCGGCAAAGACTTCAGCAAGCGAATCGTAGATTGTATCTCGAACAGGAATTTCGTCCTCTCTCAAGTGGTCCAATGAACTCTCCAACAGCTCGAGCGACACGTGCCAGGTCCCGTAGTTCTTGGCAAGGTACTTGAGCAAGTGAGGCGGAAGCGTGATCGGAGGTATGCACGCATGCACTCCTGCCAGCAGAGACTGGATAACATTCGGTCGAAGCTCCGCTTGTTTCAGATGATATTCCCTGCTCAGCAGAATCATCACGTGCTGGGTAATGTCTGTCTGCTCTCGTCGCGATAAGCATCCCCAGGCAGCGGGGAATATTGTGAGCCAGATGTCATGGGCGACTTGGTGATCGAGGAATAGCAGACGCTGGAGAGGACGGACAACTTCCTGAGCACATCTTCGCCCGAAGACGGCGAAAAGGGCAGGGTCTAACGACCCTTTACGCTCGTCGATAAGGTCATGATCGCCATCCACAGTCCCCAGTAACAAGTGTAAAGCGATGTAGATCCAATTATATTCTGCTAGGGCCTCCCAACTCTGGACTCCCAGGACATATGCCAATCGAGCTGGCAAATTTCGAGGAATGGAACTATCCAGGAGGTCCATGAACTTTTCGCGTAGGGAAGCTTCGCGGCAGCGACAACCAGTCAGGAAAGCCTGCTCTAGCCTTGTAGTAAGATCGCTGCGACGCAGAGAAGCATCAGTGTAGATGTCCAGGATCAATTCGAGATAGCTGTTGAACAGCGCTTCGCCGCGCGTCTCAAATGCGACCATTCTTTGCAGGAGCGCCGCCTTCTCTTTCACAGTAGGGAAAGCGTCACGCTTTTGGATGGCCCAATCGCGCGCCAGGTCCAGCAGGTATTTGCACAGGACGGGACTTTTGGACTTGTCAACGAAAAGTACCAAAGCTTGCAAAAGAGCTCTGCGGTCATCACCCAGGAACAAGATGCCTAGCTGGCATATATCGAGCAAGCAGATGGTGAGGCGGACCGTCATATCGAAATTCGGGGTCCCAGGAGCTGATGCGGTATGGTCCTTGAAGAGTTTCTGGAGGAGTTTGGCAATCGACGGGCTGAAAGGCTTTATCCTCTCGGGTATCGCCTGCACAACAGACTTCAACATGAGTAGGACACCTCGCAGAGTAGTCCCATTTCGCAATCCCTCTCCGATTGTTGAATAGACAAAGCGGTGGAATTCGCTCATATCACTTTGTTGCTCTTCATCCTCACTTGGAAGAGGGAACAGTCGAATCAGATGGTCGAAAACAGGATGCAAGGCATCATGCAGCGCTGCATCTTCGGACATGAGGCCCTTGCGTATGAGTTTTTGCAAGATAGCAGCGTTGGCATGGTACCAGGCATCCCCTTTATCCGCGGATACGATTTGAAGTACCTTGGCCGAGCTGATGGCTTGGCTGAGGGTAGCTTCATTGTTGAGTTCATTCTACACCACGTCAGTCTCTTAGCATGCCGCTACAGACTGTCACTCACCTGCTCCAGCGCTCTCGCGAAATAGTGTAATTTCACGGTGACTTCACTCCACCCCGGAGTCCCTACCATAGTCCGTAAAAGAGCTAACGCCCGAGGGACCAGGATATTTCTGGCGGGCGGCTCGTGCGGTGCGGTCGCCAGACGTACCAGATAGCTCACCATGGTCTCACGGAAGGGCATAGGTGTCACCCAATTCGCATTCTGCCTGTTGTCCCCAGATGCGGGAGTTTCATCAACCACGCCAGATGAGATAGTCTTCTGGTCCCAATCGAATATAACCTGGAGGATGTCAATGGAAAGAAGCCTTGACTCGTTGTGGGCCAAAACAGACAAGCCAAGTCGTGCGAGGCAGTTTACCATGTGTGGTACGAAAAGGGCCCGGACATGATAGAACAGTTGCGGCTGCCGCACGATAACCTGGTATACGATCATTATCTGGGCCAACCCGGTGCCTTCTTCTGCGAGCAATTTTCGAGTCGTTCTCGCCCATGTAGGCTGGTTACCTGGCTCTTGAGCGCCTGACCGTAACAACACAGGGGCGATAATATCCAAAGCTTGACGAATAGTGGCTCGTACTTCAGTGTGGGGTTGCTTCAATAATCCAGTCCAGGCGCGAAGGATGAACTTCTGTGGTGTATCGAACGCTTCGAAGAACCTAGCGGCCAATAGATACGCTGTCTGCTTGACCACGGGATCTTCGTGGCTGATATAGAACCAGGCGCATCGGATGACTTCCTTCTTGACAGGCTCAAGCATGTCGTGATAATGTTGGACCATGACAGTAGTGAAGTGCAACAGCTCGACTTTGAACATGCCATCCGCCTCAGACAACGCGGCATCATCCAACATTGGACGCCATATACTTGCATGAACCTTAGCTATGATCTCTTCGTCCAGGAGACCCTCCTTGGGTATCGTACCGGATGCTTGTCTTAAGAGCATGGGAGTGATGATGGAGCGCATGAAGTATGCTTTGCGTGGCCATGGTACACTCTCGTCCTTGAACCAGATAAGGAAACGAGTCAAAATATTGCGCTTGTACGCGAGAGATTCCCTTGAAGCCACATGGCGATACAGGAAGTGTGATAGCTTCATCAAGTCCAGCGGTACGCTGCGAGTGTAAATTGCAACAATTTCGAAGAGGATGTCAATCCGGGGCGACTGCTTTAAGGCCTCTTCGAAGATAGACAGGATCAAGGAATAGCGCTGAGTCAAATCCATCCCAACGGCGGCCTGTTCAGTGCCTGGACTGAGATTCCATATCTTCACCAGGGCTCCTAGAGCGTACCCATTGTGATGCAGCCAGTCGGGAACATACTTATTCAGGTCGGAGCAAATCTCTAGCCCAGGCATGATTAGGCTCTGATCATTACCATAGAAGCACATAGTGACTAGCGTGGACGTCCTTGAAGCCAACTCGCGAAGGACACTGGGTGCAAGATTGGCCTGAAGTATTGTCCTCAGGGTTCTCATATGCCGGGGGAAGTGGAGGTGGCGCATGAAGAAGTCCACAGCATCGATAGGATACTTATCAAGATACTTCGCAAGGGGCTCCGAGAACGGGGATTGGCCAGAGAAGTGCATCTGAGCTTCCGTCTGCACTATGGCATTAACGAGTGCGTCCAGGAATATGTTGGCAGCCGATGGGAGGAGGTGGAATATGTTAGCGAGTCGAACAAGCTTCGTGATGCCCTCGTTTTCTGTCAAGGGCAGCCTCGACGACTCTTGCAACATCTGAGGATCAGCCACTACTCTGAAATGATCCAGGAGTTTGTGCCCTATCTCGACCTTGAAGTAGTTCGTCAGGAGCTCCAGAAGCCTGGCCAGACCTTCGAGGCCAGGAACGGACAAACGTTTAGGGTCCGCTAGGTTCATAAGGATAGGCCGAAGACCTGTCTGCAACAGCTCCTTGGGGAGCCTGCTTTGGTGCGAAAGGACTGTTCTCAGGCCTTCATGCGCCACCTCTTTGACTTCAGGTGAAGAGGAGTACAAAGACTTGAAGTAGACCGTAGTCACCCTGTGCAAGAATCAGCCAAACTACGTAAAACCAGATTGGTCATCGTACCTTTGCCGTGTCGCAGTATGCTTGGAGAAGAAATCGGTCATGGGCATGGATGCTGTCAACAGCTTAATTGCGGCTACTCGGAGATTGATTATATCCAGGCCTCCTTGACGAGGGTTGCCACGACCGAGTAAGTTGGCATCGTCAGCGTCTGCTAGCGCCAACGTCTCATGCAAGAGTCGCAATAGCTCCTCATTCAACTCAGGCAATGGCGGATCCAAGCTGATGCAGTATCTCACAGCTTCAACCATTCCTATTTGGATAGGCAACGGAAGAGCTCGAAGAGGTTTGGTGTAGATTGTGGCCAACATACGGTCCCTGTGTGGCAACAAAAGTTCTACGGCAGGCTTCCCGCTGAGTTCCGCCAGCAGCTCGATGCACCCCTGGACCGCTTCGCGCACGATAGCGCTGGGACTGGAGAGCTCAGCGAAGAAGATCCCCGTCAAGTTACTGATCTTGTTTCGGACATTGAGCGCATCATCTGCGCCCTGAGCAGTCGAGGGTGGTAAGTCAGCGTTGCTCACACGTAGGACGCGTTTCAATACATCCAGGACTTCGTCCACATCCCGAGGGAGGTCGGACGGAAGATCTTTGAGAACGTGCAGCAGAGTGCGTACAAGGTCCACTTCTCGATCAGTGATCCATTTCACACCGACGTCTGGAGTGCAAGTCATGATCTTGATTCCTGCACAACCGGCACTCTTCCGAACCCATGTATCCTCAAAGCAAAGTCCGCTGAAGCGGCTAGCTATCTGATGCAGAGTAGGAATGACATCCTGCGGCGAGACCATGATGCTATTCCCAAGTTCAATAAGCCCCTTGATTATGGACGATACGAGGTCTTGCGCCTTCTGGGCCTCTGATCGCTCATCTCGTGCTAGGGCATGGGGGAGTGCATCCAAATAGCACGCTAGAAGAGGACTGGGATGACGGCGAACGCCCATATCCTTCGTGAATGACTTTCGCGTCTCCGTGCGGAAGACGAGCTGAGAAATCTTGTGGATGTAGTCCTCGGCTTGGGAAGCGATATCCGGAATGTGTACCGCGTCGAAAACGCCCTCTAGACATTGACTGAATACTTCCTGTCTCGTATAGCCTTGAACTCCCTGGGATACCTGGTTAGTATACATGGTGCCGTTAGGAGTTGCTAGCTCACATCATGCGCAAGGATAGTGATGCAGTTCTCAAGGTAGTTATAGGCCTGGGTGCGGAGCGAAGAAGCTGACCCTCGCAAGACACGTAATGCCAGTGTAGACATGGGAACAAGATCGATGTCTTTGACCCTTCCACTGAAGGATAGGGCAAATGTTGCTGGCTCGGAGTATGGGTGATAGTTCAAAGCAGGCTCGCGCATCAGCAATCTGCGATTCCGCCCCCCAAGCTTGCCTAGGATACGTGCTGCGGAACTGGAATGGTGGTGGCTTGCAGGAAGCGGCTTCAGGTGACTATGTAGAGCCTCCGTCAACTCCCTGAGGACGGTATTGAGGGTAGGATCCAGGAAGTCCGGCGTAAGGTTGTCGATGCATAACTCCAATGTCCTCAGTCCTTGAGAAGCCAACTCGAGCGGTCCACGGAGAGCATACACGAGCGGTCGCATGAGGTACGATAGATGTGGTAGGAGGTGCGTTAGGCGCAGAGGAACAATGAGACAGAGCTCTACGATCATGTCGCGATTCAAGCCCTGCGACGCTTGCAGTTGCCGGTTCAGACTCTCCAGCAAGTCCGGTAGAAGAGGGAGAACCTCTTTGTATAGTAATTCGAATCGGCCACCGCCACCCCCAATGGCTCGAAACAGTGCGCGCAGAAGGAAGTAGTAGTTTGCAGGCTTTGTCGCCTTAGCCGCAAGCGGGAAACATGCCATGATGAGCTTCCCTATATGCGCCGCCAGGATGGGCTCATTCGTCTGAGGGAATATCCCGACGGCGGCGAAAGCCATCTTGTAGAGCCGAATCGTGACGACAGCGGTTTGATCGTCAGTGTCTCCTAGTAAAGAGAGCCTGTCGATCAAAAAGCGAAGAACAATGGCGATCAAAGTGGGAGATATCGGTTCCTTGCCAAACAACGACTGGCATATCTGCAGAAGCGTCGGGCGACGCTGAGCAGAGTCGAAAAAGAAACCCATCTTCTGGGTCCAGACTTCCTGAACGACATGGAGGTTCACCTCAACAAGGGTCTGACCGAAGGTTTCCATAGCATCATTGCCTTCCCTTGGATCCACATCGTATAGGTTCATGGCCTTGATGCAGCCTTCGAACAGGCGAGATATCAGGATACCGTCCGGGACCGGTCCGTCCGTCCTCTTTAAGTTGAGTAAACATGCACGGCAGCACAGCATCAATGGTCGAAAGAGAAGACGAGCCTCTGTGTATTCAACGTTTTAGTATGGGTAATAGGGACACCCTGGCGTCACTTACCGTGGAGCACTTCCTCAGGCTTCTCCAAGGCATACATTGCACCCGCGACAGGACGGGACTTATCCATGGAAGCATAGTCCATGACAGTCTGCTCGCCATTCCTCTGACTCTCTAGCTTAAGCGAAACCTCGTGCTGTACTGTATTCATGGCTTCTAACCGTTCGATGCAAGACTCCAGCAAGGAAGTCAGAGCCCTATTTGCCAGCTGCCGATTGTCCTTCTGGACAATACCGTCTGCTAGGTTGATGATGACCTTTGCAAACATGATATGCACATTGCTCATCAGAGACTGGTTATGCATTAGTGTCGCATAGACATTGGCGATCCTCGCCATTTGGTTCGTTGTCAACTCCGGGCGAAGATGATGCACGAAGTCGGCTAGAGCGACGTAGACTGACGCACTGCATGCACCGTCAGAGTAAGGCCAGTATGGTATGGACAGGGCTTACCGCAGCGTCTCCCTGGCACCCACTCCCTTCCCCAACAAAACGTCCTCGTCAAACAGTTTGTCAACGTGGGGAAGAAGGGCTCTTCTGTATGGTGTCGTTGACAGGAGATGCCTCATAACGATAATGAGATCCTAATCAGGCGGGTAATCAGCGCATGGGAAGTCCGCCGCATGCATGACAACCTTACCCTGCGAGAGCCAACAGCATTCGGAGGGCAATCCTGGAACAGGCGCAAGCCTGTGAGGACTAATGTATTGCCGTACTTATCATATTCCTCCAGGCCGCGCAGGATGTAGGCGGAATAGGATATCATCTGTGATACTCACGTCTAGATGGGACACAGGAACAAGTGACAGAACGCTCACTTTGATCTGGGCATGAATAAACTCGCCATACGCTTGGACATTCTTGATAGTAGGTGCTACGCCAGTCCAGAACCCTCCCATGGCCTCATAGTTCTCCCTCGCCGCCTTCTGAGCAGGCGACTCCAGTGTGAGCACCTCGAAGTTGAGTGGCAGGAGAGCCGGAACATGTTTGTTGAGTAAAGGGCGATGGCTCTGGGAGAAAGTCACTATGGTCATACACATCTCAGAAAGAACTCTGAAACTCTTCGTGCTCGGCAACACCACATTGGGGTCCACAGCCTCAGACTCTTCGGAAAGCAGTTCCACCACTAGATCCTTCATGTTTTGGAAGCTGACGGTGAGGACAGACATGAACTCCGCCACAGTCTCTTCGTTAATGATTCTGAAGTAGCGCGTCAGGTCAATGATAGTCTTGCAGGAGAGGACCCCGTTCTCCTCATTGTCGTGCCGAAGCACGTGAAGCAAGCCATTGATGAGATTCAAAGCGAGGGGTCGGACAGTCTCATGGTAGGGGACGCGATGCAAAATATCCACTATGGTTCGGCGCAATGCGAACTCGAAAGTATCCCTCTTGAAAGCCGGCTCTCCAGAACGCAAGACCTCGAGCAAGACAGTGATCATGTTCGGCAGGATACGATTGGCGTCGGAGTCGCGCACAATGTCAATCAGCTCGCGTAGTTCATTTACAGCGGTTACTTTGTCCTTTAAGGCTATAGTCTGTCGTGAGTAGCAGTCGGTGCATCCAACGCGTATAAAACGTACCACATCCTGGATCTGCAACACGGGCTGCTCGTATCTCCAGCTCAGCAGCAGTAGCAAGTGGGGGAACGTTCTCCATGACGGCGGAGGAGCAGTCTAAGACTGCGATGAAAGACGCCCCCGGGCGTTTGGGGGGTGAATGTGGCACGAAAGAGCAAGACTCGAGCTTCAGCTTAAGCCTTTACTCAAACCACGTGACCGCACGTGTAATGATCGAGGATCTAATTATACATGCCTCCTCATTGGATACTAGTACAGCACCCGCTTCGAAGGTGGACTTCGACCTCATACAGTTTACTGAGGACGTCCTTATCCTTGCCTTATCCCTATGCTCTCGTCGGTAATCCACCCTTCCGAAACAATGCACTTCACAACGTGTCCTGTACCAGAAAACAACCCAATCCTCAGCACGCGGGGAACTAGATAGCATGTGTAAGACGTGGACTACACTCGGCACCTGGCGATACTTGCGTCGCGCGACGATAATAGATTAACCCGGGGGGACACGATACAACACACCAAGCGGTAAATAGATACATTTTCGCAGAGCAGTACGACAGCAGCAGAGACCAAGTGAAACCGGGAGGAACTCGAAGAGAAAGGGGGACGTCATCAAATATTAGTACAACCTGTAAAACAATCAACACAAACAGTCAGTGAACTCAATGTCAATGCGTCTACCAGAATGACCGTGACAATAAACAGAAATAAAAATACAGCAGTGGTATGTGTGGGCAGCGTATGGATGCAGTGCGTGATCATGATCATCATGGGTACGAAAGGATAGAGTCCAAGGTAGGGTAGTGATAGATAAATAAACATATGCGCACCGGATACACTAAGGGCCCTCCGTGGTTGATATGCAATATGCCCATCATGCCCTATGACGAACAGAGAATAGACATCCGGTTAGTGTATGGTCGACCGCGCCGAACGGGTCATCGCCACAAGTGTCCATAGCCAGACAGACAGTAAGGAAAGTAAGCGAAAATGCGAAACATCATCTTCAAAGGCCCATGCGTTGGGCCAACGTCCGATCGCCACTGTGCGAGCTCGAGTTCCCGTTTTCGCGTCTTGGTGGCGGTCTGCGGCCAGCGCCAGGGGCACTAGAGCCGTTCCGTCGGCGGTCCCTGTCCCTGTCCCTGTCGCGCTCTCGGTCGCGATCTCTGTCCCGGTCTCTGTCCCTGCCGTCTTTATCTCGCTCCCGCTCCCGGTCTTGATCTCTGCTCCAGTCCCGCTCTCGGTCCCTGATCCTCGTCCTGTCTCTGTCCCTGTCGCCTCTATCGTCTCCGACCCGAGGGCGCTTCCTCACATCGTCCTCCTCTTCCCTTTTAGGCCCAGCATACTGCGCCTTCGACAGCGGCGCAGACCGCTGCCGGTCATACTCCTCATCTTTCGCATCCCGGTCTCTCGAATCCTCCTTCCTCCGCTTCAGCGGAATCGCGTTCACACCGGACGAGTGCATTCCCAGTTGCCTGGAGATGGGCGGCTGCGGCGGCACGGACGTGGAAAGCGTGGATCTCGCCGGGGACAGACTCGGTCTGCCAGGGTCCTGGCTGTCGGAGACGGACAGCCGCGGTTTCTTGTAGGCTCTGGGGCCGGTCGGTGGGGGCTTGGCGACGCCACCTGTGCCCGTCCCATTGCTAGATGGGTTGGCAGAGATGGGCGAGGGTCTGGGGCCCGAGTGCGGGTGATAAGAGTTGAGAGTGGCGGCGAATGCTTCATGGGACTTTTCAAGCTCGGTACTACAGCGGGCGTAATCAGAGCGGCGGTGAGATACCAAGAGGAGAAATACGCGCATACCTGAGGTTATTGATGACATTATGGGACTCTACACGAGGCCGTATGAGCGCTTGCCCGCGGTCGATATGATGACCACAGATCTGAACCTACCTCTGAGGGCGCTTTCGAGTCTGTTCACCACTCTCCTCAGGCCCTTCACCTCCTCCTTCAACTTCCCGGTCTCGCTCTTCCTCAGCAGCTCGTATAGTTCATCATTCTCATCCTGAAGCAGCTTCGCGCGCTGCGTGAGCGCAGTTAGCGCCGTGTTTCCTGTGGTAGTCGAGCCCGTGTTCCCACTGTGGTTCCCTGTCGTAGGCTTGCCACTCGGGATCCCCTGCGCGCGCGTAATGTGTGGCACCAAGACCGACACCAGCGCGGGCGGCAGAGATATCGGCTCCGTCGTCGAAGGGGCGGGTTGTGTAGATAGATACTGCCTGAGCCTAGTAACTTCATCCTACACTCGTCCCAGATACAAAGACGCGTCCGTGAGTAACATCACAGAGCGCGCGACTTGCCCGGCAGTATAGCACTCACTGTGAGTTCGAGCACCTGCGCGTCCCTCTTTCTCAGCAACGTCTCCAGCTCGATCTCGCGCGTCGACGGCAGCGCCATGTCGCGTGTCGCCGACGTTCGTCGGGCCTCTTTCTCGAAATGAGCAAGTCTCGCACGCCGTGTGAAGCTGCCTACTATGGGAGGGTGATTCCGGAGCGTGAAGAGGAGCGGGTGACAGAACTACGGCGACGTAGAGGTGGATTGGAAGACGGCCGAGCAAGACGTGTGTTTCAGAAGACGGCCCGTGGTCGGAGGAAGGGTCGACGGGGACCAACGAGCCAGCGCTCTCGCAGCCAGACGCCGCTCCCCGAGTCGTTGGCGGCGGTGCACCGCCCCCGCTCTATATTTGGACAATGCGTTATTCTGCACGGCTCTCATCGGCGTCGGGATGTTGTGGTGTCGGGATGCGTATGTTTCGCAGACATATCGTCCAGAGCGGAAAAACAGACTTGTAATTTGGTTGACTTCTTCCTGTAGCTACTTCAACCAATACACTGATCGTGTAAACACTCCCCGATGTGAACATAGAATTACATTGCACCAAAGTATTTACCCTGAAAACGAATGCAAAGAATAAACAATGAGAGCATTGCGTCTTGATACGATAAATTAGAAGCCGAGGCAATGCACGAGAAACTGCCGAACTAGAGATATGGGCTTGAGACTTGATCCCGGCTTGCATATGATGCACGAAAGTCGAATAGTGGGAATAAAGAGGGTGTTAGGATAGGACTAAGGCGCATAGGCGGTACAATATGCGATGGCTTTTGCGGAAAACGGTCGATGACGGCGTACAGTTTGAACTTGCGGGACAAAGATGGAGGCAAGAGAGCAACGAGAGTGGGGAAGCGGGAAAGCCGAAGTGATGATTCTATGATTGCGGTGGATGATTGAGGGATTCGGGGATTCATGCCATGGCGTTCCCCACCGTCCGACGGCCGTTGCTGAGCGAGAGGAATCTGGAGCACGTCATCGGCTCGTCCCTCCGCCGATTCTCTTTCCTGGCATCCCTCCGTCTCCGCGCCCAGGTGAGGGCGTCCTCGCCCATCTCCATCTCCAGGTCAAGATCAGGGATGGCGACGTGCTCAGGCTTGCACTCTTCGATCCCATTCCCTCGCAGGGGCCTCAGCACGGGCTTTGACACTATATCCCCGGGCTCGAGTAGGAAAGCGGGGATGGGAGGGACCGGCGGAGGTGGGGATGATATAACGGGAGTGAGCGGTGGCGAACGAGGGGAGACGGGGAATGCGACCGAGGGTGAGCGACGATGGAGCTGTTTGCGAGGAGAAGGGTAGGCGAAAGAAGAGGGCGTGGCTGGTGCAGAGAGGGGGAGTGGCGCGGGTCGGCGGCGAGGGGACCTGCGGGCAGAGTATTCCGCTGCAGGGGGTGCGCCGACGCCGAACTCGTAGCCGTCCACGAAGCCCTTTGCGAGCATAGGACTCTTGTCCTTACGCGAGAGGTCGTCTCGTCGCGTCTGTCTAGAGGGGAGGGTTCTCTGGAGGAGAGGCGAACCGATGAGACGCGGCGGGATGGGAGGGTCTACGGCGGGCTCGAGCTGCAATCTGCGCAGAGAGGAGGATGAAGACTTGCGGATGACTGGGCGCGGAGAGGGCAGGGGAGTCGGGAGGAACTCGGGGGAAGACATGGGAGAGGGAACGGGAGAGTAGCAACGAGCGGACGCGGACGACATGTTTGTGGACGTACTAGGGGGTCGTTCTGATGGCGCAGAAATGCGGTGGGGATGGGGGACCGGGCGAGGGTGTTTTATAGAGGGCGTGGCGGAGGGACACGAGGGCCGAGTGTGACGGAAGGGGCATGGCTCGACACCGCCGCGAGCGAGTGATGGCAAGGAAGCCTGCAATTAGACAATGAGCAGATCCATCCCGCATTCTCTCACCGTCCCAGATCGGCGCTCCATCGATGGACGCACATCTGTCACGGAACCACCCTCCAAATGAATCGCCTGTGGGCGCGTCACTCCGCGAAAATCGGTGGGCCCGCACCGACGCTGGTGCGTCTGCCCCGCGTCCAGAATCACCGTCAGCGTCGTCGCGAGCGTCGCAGCATTTCCCCGGCGAGCACGGACAGCGGTACGGTGCAGGTCCTCGACCGGCACTAGTCGCCAGGAGCTGAGAAAGCCACACTTGTTGGAGACTCGCTTCCCTCCTCGTTCAGATTCCGCGCAATTACGATCTCCAATCAGATCTCGGAACCCCCGCCACGGGATCTCGATAAGGAAGTCATACCGTCCCCATATGGTAATACGGCGCGCCCTGCGTCCGCCCTGTGAAACGCAATCTCGTCCTCGAGGACCTGTGACGCCCGACGAATTGGCTTGTTTGATAAAACTGCGACAGCGGTCGCTTTACGCTCCACGCTCCAATTTGCTGACCCTTGCAGCTGACGACCTTGGCCATGTCCACGCCCAGTTCCGTGTCGGAGGATATCTTGCTGGCCAACACCTTCTCGTCCTAAATGATGATCTGCCCGCCGCCACGCCTTCTCGAAAAACGTACAGGCGCGCATTCCAACAATGCGGATGCATGCTCAGAAGCAGGGTAATGAAAGAACTCTAATACACGTATAATCATCGATTCAAGGCAAGTCATTGTCCTTTGGCGAGGGCGAGCACGTAATCGGGTGAGTCGGATCTCAGCGCCCTAAAAGTTGATTCAGCAGCTTACCAAGGTCCCACTAACCTTCTGGGTGCAGCCACCATCAGGTGCTATTTCCTAGCGTTATTCGACGTAAGCTGATATCCGGCGCATTGTTCAGACGTATGTACGCACCGATAACAGGTGGACTCTGTCTTCTCTGTCATCGGTTGCTCGACTTGGAACGCCACCTCGTGCCCATGTTACTTTCTCAATCCTGATAATCCCACTGACGCTCTCGTCTCATTGAGTTGCAGAGTCCGTGCCCGTCGTCCCCCCAGCTTCAATAACTGAGGGAATCTGTGACAGCTTCGATCAACGAACATCGCAACCTGCAAGTGGAAGGAGCCCACCGGACGAGACGATGCTTGTTTGTTGTACTTCTTTGGTACAGCAGTTCACATCCACGTCTTGTTTAACAGGCTTCAAAGTCGGTTCACTGCCCCTCTTACCGAGCAATCACAACAGGACTCCCACAAACTCAGGACTGAACCTTACCGGTACATCTTCAGGTCTTGCCACTCCGGCGCCGACTGTGTCTCGAGTCTTGGCCACACCGAGCTCAATTCCAACGCTTTCTCTAGACACAACCTAAACGGCGCGGTATCGCCTTCGGATACCGTGGCCGTCGCAATACGCGAACCTTCTTCTGCCCGCCCGCGCCTGGAATAGCAAGCCCGACGCCCTGTAGGTTATCTGACAGCTTCTATCACGGCGCCTGCGCCCTTGCATCCCCCGACCTGCTGGTCGAACTTCCATTATCGCGTCCCCAGCACTCTCAGGCCGTCACTTGGTATCAACATCGCTCCATCTACGAGCAGATGGGCGGTCGTTGTCTGGTGCACGCCGTGCGACCGCACCGTCTGCCGAGCCCGCGCCTCGTCATGCCTTCTGCCCGTTCTTTCCCCTGGGGCAACACTGGCCGTATCGTGCATTCCGCCCCCGCCCTCCGCTCCTGTCGCTGTCGGTCAGAAGCCCCTACCGTGTCAGGCCGGCATTGAAGCTTGAAGCCCGAGCTGGACTGTGGCTTCTATCCCCGGTGGTCGTGTCTATCGTTATCTGGTCTCAGTGTTCGCACGCAGGCGGGAATGGAGACGAGAATCTCGGTCCACGTGCCCGCTGCGCTGATCAGGTTCAGAAGCCCTGTCTTCAACGTTCAACTCGTTTACTGTGGATTGCTGTGTAACTACGCAGCGCAGTCTTGTTACCCCGAGTAGTCGTGCTACGGATGCTAGAGACCGTCGGAAGCCCCCCGCCCGGTGTTCCTCGTATCAGGGCTTCGTGGGTTATGAGTCCGCTAAATAAATAGCGCGAGTGACAACAAGCAGGTTAAAGGAGTTTGACTGAGCTCATCTCCCGCTTCGGGACGTGGCTGAGAACTTGCCGACCACAGTCAAATGTACCTGTTCCGGGTTATGCTATCTGTTCAACAAGCCTGCGCATGCGTCTTCTCTCCTGCCTTCCGCTGCTCTCTGAACGACCTTCCGGTCATCCTTCCTGCGCCCACGGCTCGGCCGGGAGCCGGATACATTCTACACGGTTCTCCACTCCTAACCCATGTGTGCACCTCCTACTTGATGCGCCTTAATCTAAATGATGCCTAGCGTCAAAGGTACGGTGGCGTTTCCTCCGTAAGGTATATCCCCGGTGATGCGTCCTGCGACGCCCGACGTCGGATGACCTACTAGGCCAGATTGACGGCCCGTGGCTGCGACGATCATTATGCCCGCAGGTGATGGCGCGTCAGGAAGCATAAGACAGGTGCGTTGGGCAGTTTCGAGGCGGTTTGTGCGCGCTAGTTAACTCCCTGTCGCTCCCACAAGCTCTGCCATATCCTGAATGCTATGACTTGAGGACACAGTGACCCTACTGAGAAGGGTACGGTACGCAGGCAATGTGCGACGCGGCTGAAGAGTTGCTGGGGTTCTGGGCAAGCAGTGTCTTCCAGCTGCCTCTCCGGAGCTATTCCACAGCCCCGTCTCGGGCTCCCCGGTTTATGCAGACCGCGTTGGGACGGCCCCCCTCCCGGATAAATTCCCCATGCTCCTGGATGAAACCTCTGTATTTCCATCTAGAGCGCCCGATTTCTCATCGCAGCGACTTCGTTCCTCGTCCGGGAGACTGGTCTGGGGCATTTACACGGATTAATGCTGGTCCGGTGTTGGGGTGATCGTCGAGAACAGATCTTCGATGTAAAGCACTTAAGTCCCAGATCAATACGCATGCTCTAGATCTGCGCTGCCCGGATATTTGACGTTGATTACTCGCTTCGGGCACTTGGGCGCAAGTGCCACTTTCTCAATGTCACCCCTCGGTGGAATGGGCTTCTGACCTTAATATTGCTTGCTGAGGACGCAGTATCTCCGTTCTTTGGTAGTGCTCGCACAGGCCAACGACTGAAGCCTGTCTCATCCTGCCTCGTGTCGCTTTATCGTCCTTGATAGATCGCGCGTCAATAGCGACTAGGTTACAGTTCTAATGGACTTTCCTAGAGGTGAGGGCGTCTGTCTTTTACATGCAGAATACGTTGACCATATCACTGGACGGAAACTGTAGGGAAACGCTTGGCGCGGGGGATGTCGGCACGCAGAACCGCCGTTAGTTAGCGGCGCGGAGATGATTAGATGCTACGGCCGACTTTCGTCCTATGCTCATCCCTACGCTTAGTCGTGAGTGCTCTTGCGAAAATACACTGCGACGATATCTGTAATACTGGCTCTCGTAACAGTGCGCGACTTGCGCGTGCCCCGGCGCAAGGGGTTATCGTGTGGCGATGCCCTGTCGCTCACGGAGTTATATGTAGACACTGCGGTCGTCGATGCCAGTTCTCCTCGAGAATAATCTGTTCGGAGCTAATTATCGTAGGACTACACTGATTGACGGTTGCCACGTATTCTCATGGGGACAGCAATAGGCACGTCGTCGGTGCTGAACCACGCCGATGGTTTCCCATGAGTGTTGCGTGGGCTGCAAGGGTCCGTCATATTCTACTATGTCTCATTATGGTCGATACTACAGCAGCACGGTTCTCGCACGCGATGGTAGCGTCTGGCGTCAACCAGCAGCGTTATCGGGTGTAGTCCCTTACCTGGACCGGTATGAACCGCAGCAGCGAGAATTCTGGACTGTGTCGCAAGGTCTGTTCGGTTGTCTATTTCTGCCTCTAACTGATACACACGCTAATGGTGGTAGTTCGGAAAAGAAATCCAACTGGAAGCGTATGTGCTCTAGCATCCTTGATCGGGCTGTAAGTTTGAAATGTGACTGAACTGACGTTGTATCACAAGGGCTAGGAGATACAACGGAATCCTACCTCACGGCCTCCAATTGTACCCAAGACCTCACTCTGGGCCTACCATAGCCTGGCAGTTCCGCAAGCAACAGAGGGCGTACCCGACAGACATCCAGCTGCAGCAACTGCAGCGGCTGCCAAAATAGGGAAGTGAAGTCGGGATCCCGACGCCGATCGACGATCGGCGGTCATTCCGCTCCCGGACCGGCGTAGCCGCCTGTGGCGGCAAGTTCGCGTCTAAGACGCGAACGACCGTTCCTCGCGTCTCCTCGGCGTCAGGGCGGACACGGGGAGGTTGAATTCAAGGCCAGACTGCAGCGGATGTCTTGCCTGTGCCGCCCCCATGTCATTAAAAGCCCCCATGTCTCCTCTCAAGTGGCCATCCTTTCTTCGGCTGGTCCCACTTTTTTCTTTCTTTCCAGCAACCCAGGAGGTTCTGACTTTGCGCGTCCTCCGCTGCAACAGAGTCTGGTACTCCCACATCTCTTTCGTTACTCCCGGCTTCGCACTCGAGGTGCTCGTCTACCATGCGGTTTACTTCATCCTTCTTCGCTCTCGCCGCTTCGGCACTTCCTTTCGTTGCTCGCAGCGCCCCTCTCCCTATACAGAGCGCTCCCAACATCGCCGACTTTCACATCGGAGTCGAGACCAACTCGACAAAAATCATCGAGGGGGAGAGACTCGTGGTAACGCAGACGGTGGTCACCACAGTTGTATCCACCCAGAGACTCCCCTCCGCTGAGCCCACAGCTGACGGGATCGTCAAGTTTATGCCTCCAGATCATATTCCGGCACCATCCTCGCACACCGTCACGGCCTCAGCTTCCAGCGCTACTCCATCAGCAACGGACGCTGCCGCCCTGTTCTTCCCTGGGGACGTGTCGGTCCCACCGGTCTTGGTACCCTCCACAATCACACCTTCGCTTCCTGCGAAGTCAGACATTGCAAAGTTTGCTGAAAATACCGCGGTCCCATCTAACTCCTCGGGAACTACTACGTCGTCGGTGCCCAACCCCGTGGCGACCTCTTCTGCCGTCTCATCGTCGTCTGCTCCAATTCCCATCCCCACTCTGGCGCCGATGTCCTCCGAACCGCAAGTGATGGCGTACTATCCCGACTGGGCTGGGCTAGACTTCCCGCCCGAGAAGATTGACTTCGGCAGATTCGACTGGATCGACTTTGCCTTTGCCCTGCCCAGTCCTCAGTTTGGACTTACTTGGGACGACCCAACGACTGCACCTATGCTACTGAACAGGCTGGTTGCTGCGGCACATGCTAAAGGGAAGAAGGTCAAGCTTAGTATTGGTGGTTGGACCGGCGCTAAGTAAGTAGATCCTGTTGCTGGACTTTTATGAAACGTGGTGCTCAACATAACAACGTCAGATACTTCTCTCCGGCTGTGTCCAGCGCTGCAAACAGGGAGATCTTTGTCAACAATATTGTGGAGACGTACCACAAGTACGAGCTCGACGGCATTGACATCGACTGGGAATATCCGGGCCAGCCGGGCCAAGAGGGCAACATTTGGACTCAGGACGACACGTCCAACTATTTCTTATTCTTGGTACTGTTGCGTTCGCAGCTTCCTCCTACTGCCCGTATCTCCGCCGCTACCCAGGTCGTCCCCTTTGCCGATCAAAACGGTCAGCCGTTGAAGAATGTAACCCCGTTCGCTTCCGTGCTCGATTGGATCCTAATAATGAATTACGACGTCTGGGGATGTAAGTACCTTTCCTGGTATAAGTCTAGAACCGTTATAAACATTGACTTTGCTTTTACAGCGTCTTCAAACCCTGGACCTAATGCTCCCTTGAGCAACGCATGCGGTAATTCCACGCAGCCCGAGGCGAACGCGTATTCAGCCATAGGTGCCTGGGTTGGCGCTGGAATGCCCGCAAGCAAAATTGTACTTGGTGTCCCCTCCTACGGATACATCTCCCGTTCAACCGCGACGAAACTCCGCACTCGTGCAGGGCTCGAGGTAGACGGCGAAGAGGTCACAGTTGCAGACGCTGTAATCCTAAAAAACGAAGACGGCGGGAGCGACAATGGGCAGCTCCAGTTCTCCGACCTGGTCTCTCAAGGGGCGTTGGTCGGGCCTTCCTTCGATGGCGCCGGGGGCTTCACCAGACATTGGGACGAGTGCTCTAGCACGCCTTACCTTACCTCCACAGGCGCTGAGCAAGTCATCACGTACGACGACCCCCAGAGTCTGCAATTAAAGGCGGCGCTAGCTAAAGAGCAAGGGCTACTTGGCGTTAACATGTTCGATGTCCATGGGGACACAGATCAGTGGGACTTGATAGACGCTGTGAGGAAAGGGCTCGGGTTGATTCACTAGAAATACTTGAAGTCATTTGGTAGATAGATCGCTTTTGCGAGTTACTTGTATATCTAACGGTCTAATTTATTTCACTCGTCATACTACGCGCTAATCTGCAGCGATATCTCGACAACAGAACTCCTCCCCATCGGAGTAACTGCGCTTTCTCGGAGCTCCCTTCCTGGACTGACGGCTCCTGCTTACTCCTACTCCTCTGCCCTTCCTTCCCTGGCAACGGGATGTTGCCTGCAACTATTCGTACTCCTCCGGCAGCGCCTGTGGCTGGGGATTCGTAGTTGGTCGCTGACCTAGTAAGGGGCGCTGAGCCTCCTTCGTACCTTGACCGCCGCAGCCTGGGTATAGACATCGCGAAGTTGCTGGATATCCAAGAATGGATATCTCGACGTGAATGGTATAAATGATGACGTCCGGCGAGGGGATTATTCCAGGCAGACGCCCAACGGCTGGTCTTTACAGTCCTCCGAACATCTTGAACAGCCCGTCTTTGATGGACGATCCGCTGGCGCTCCTCTTGCACTGCTGGGTCGGCTGGTTGGTTGTAGGGTGGAACGCGACCCTCAAGTCGCCGTACAACTCGTGATTGTCACGAGGGGTGGATGGTGTGGTAAAGAGGGTGAATGCTCCTGGCGTGGCGGGGGCGATGGGGAAGAGGGAGAAGGATGAGGTGCTGGTGGTGTAAGCCATTGGGAATATGTGCGGTGAGACGCGGGATGTGTGTTTGAAGAGTGAAGATGGTTAAGAGGGCTCTGGCTCTTGGCTGGAGAGGCTTTTGGATAATGCTGGAATGTGCATCGTACCGCGTCTCTTATATACCATCGCGTCTCCAGGAACGCAGAAATTATCGTCAAGCAATCGTAGGCAATCCAGAGGTGAGTGTCGCCTACAAAGTTTACCTTCTCTGGTAATTCCTGTAGGTCCCCACAAGGACCCACCGCTGAAAGCAGCAAAAACAGCAGTTGCTATGATACGGATTGTATTTTCAGAGAAATTACGCCAACAGAGGACAGCAGAAGGCCAACAGAGCGAGGAGCCATTGTAATCGAATTCAGGCAAGAGGAATAATGGACGCGTTATTTGGCGCTGTGTGTCCGGGCGTCTGCAAACACATGCAAATACAGCCACACGAAACGATACAAAACTTTATTTTCGTTGCATTCATTCCTCTTCTCATGTTCGACGTGGCCGGAAGCTCTTCGCTGGTTTGAGGTTTATGCTGCTAGCTACGCGATGGTGAGTTGCTCTCTACATGTTGCTGTCGTACTTTCTCTTCTTCTGCAATTTTGTGTGATGACAATACTATTCACACTGTATGAGCGTCGATGCATGACTTAGCGTCGGCGTCATGAGTTAACCTTCTCTACAACGGTATCTGACCTCCTATGTTTTATTTGTTTGCTGTTGCCTCAGAAGCATCCGGTACTGATACACTGCTCTGGTTTCAGGTTTGCAATGGAACTCTCGCAACCATGAACATCCTCAGATTTACCGTGTAATGTACCCTTTGTGTATTCACTCTCAAATCATTTAATATATGAGCCATGTCTGTATATCATCATGTTGTTGGCCATGAGACTGTCAATACGACTATCTCAAACTGTCAGAGACCGAAGGGATAGCCCACCTCTCAATGGGGCTCGGTTGCGAGTGGTCTGTCGTGCATCAACCCCATGATGCATCATTGCAGTGGATAGGGTATCTACAGGAACTCACACACATGATATCAAGTCAGTGAATTGCTTTCCTTCTCTTCTGCCGAGGTCCGCACTAGTTCTTCTCCATCGAATGCGTCCGCAGGTACTTGACCCTGCATCTGAGTCAATGCTCCTTTGATGATGTACAAGTACGGGCCGGACTTCTCTGGTGGAGGCGTGGATTGATATCCGATGGGTAGCGTACACCGAGGGCAGAGAAATCGATATTGGCGCTCATGCCCACCTTTCCTACGAGTTGAACAACCAGTCAGACAAACTGAGGCGAAGGGTTAAATACGCAGCCGTAAGACGCACCTCTCCACCAGAACAGGGTCACCCGCTGTAGCATTTAGCTTGAAGACGCGAGCCTTACCGGCAGCGCTATCCTGCGACCTGACGATGATAGCTCCATCTGACTGGCGCCTCGGCAGAGAAGCGAGGCTTTTGTCTATAACAAGCTGAACGCCGCCGAAATGAGATGACTAGATATCGATTGCGAGTCAAGCTGAAACGTACGATGAACTCGCCACAAATGCAATCTACCCATCAAATAATGGATATTAGTTCTGAGAAAACAGCAAGCGAACGGAGGTTGTTTACAGTAGACCCTCAACGCCGCGATCGAGGACGCAGTAGGAGCAGCTGGACAACGAGCACTCAGGTCCTAGTGCAGACAGATCATAGAATGAGGACGGACCATCGGTCGAAGACGAGACTGCCGACCTTGAGATGACCTTGGGCATAGCGAAGACGATCGCAACTGCAGAGATCACTAGTAGTAGGACCCCTGATTATCAGTATCGAGGCTTTGTGGAAACGCGGACAAAAGTTGGCCATCTGAGACCCCTCAGGCCTGATTTTTCGCGGACAAAGCGACCGATTTTGGGAGCCCAGCGGCCAACCCTTATTTTTCCCGCGGACATCACCTGCCCATTTTGGGCAGGATTTCTCGGCATACGCCGAGCGCGGGAAGATTTGAGCGTTACCCACGCCACAATTCCCAAATATGGAAGGCAAATCGAGCTGGCACCTGATTTTTCGCGGACAAAAGGGCGTAAAATCGGGAAATTTGGCGCGGACAAAGACGCTGAATTTTGGGCATCTAAAATAAAGCCTCGATACTGATTATCAGGGGTCCTCTAGTAGTGCGACCGAGGGAAGCGAAGTAATAAACGGGGTTCATCACGTGGATGTAATTACGGACCTGGCCGGGCATAGCCAGGACTTGAGCGCGATGTAATCACAATTGGCGTTCGTTGTCTCCTTTATATTTCTGTTCGACAGTCTCACCTGCCCAAATCCCTATCCTCCATGGCAGAGAAAGATGCCTCTGCACGACTACGCAGAGCTGTCCAAGGTATGTTAGGTAGTTCGATGCTTTGCGCAGTATTGACCGCCTGGTGGTAGAGAACAACCTCTTCCTCGTGAAGCGGCTCATACAACGCACCGACATGCGCAACCCCGACCCCGTGCACAAACGGTTCACTTCGCTAGCTTGGGCGGCCGTACTTGGGCATGAAGAGACTTTCGAATTCCTGCTGACTGCCGGTCACGATGATGAGGAGTTAAGCAAAGTGCGTCAATGGCCCCGTTCTATCATGATATTTTGCTCAATACCTTAACGCAGGACTCAGAGTTTAACACGATATTAACCCTTCTTGCCGACTTGAAACCTCCCTCGACTGGACCTTACTCTACGAAGTGTTCAAATCCCGATCTCATGGGAGCCGCCCTACGCATGGCTAGGATGTACCACGATCGCTACCCATTTGTCCTGGATTGGGCGAATTCCAGAGGGAGGACAGCTTTGCACGTAGCTTCCCTTCGTGGTAATGAGGAACTCGTACGAGTAAGGCGCTTACCTCCGCTTCCAGGCCTAGGTCTTATTGATAAGGCGTAGATGCTGTTGGACTTGGGCGCAGACTATGACTTGGCCGATAACGAAGGAAACACGCCACTGCACTAGTAGGTTCTCCTAGCATCATGTTATAGTATTTGACTTACTCCGGTTCTCTCAGTGCCAGCGCGTGGGGCCATATACCTGTTAGTGCAGCGGATACTTCGTGTTGGACTGCTGTTGATTGTTACTTAGATCGTACAACTGCTGATCGAGCGAGGTTGCCATTATTTAGCTCGCAACAACGACGGGTTTGATGCGGCAGATTATGCGTACTCGTACGTGTAGTTAATGGTTCGTACCAACTCTTGCTAACCCATTTTGCATAGGTATAGCACGAAGGAGACATTGGAAGCTGCTGCCCGAGTCCAAGTGGAGAACAATAAGAAAGCCCGTAGGAAAGTATTTGCACAAGCAGCTGCTCGAGGGAGCGAGTGGAACGGCGCTTCGCCCATCAATACCCCTTCCTCGTTATTAGCAAGATCCCGTGAAGCCATCAATGGTTCAATACGAATGCGCAGCGGTTCAGGCGGTAGTCGGACAACGGTCACTTCAGATAGTGATCTGGATGGCACCCCAATACCACCTCGACCGCACGCCAACAGCCAATCATCCATATCTACGACGTCTTCCCCCTCACAGCTCTCTGCCAATTCTTCTTCAGGCTCATTCTTCCATGTGCACCCAAATAATAATGCTGCCCAACCGTCTGCTTCCAGTAGCACCAGCACCTTTTCTCCCGTATCCCCCGCTTCTCACTCTACATCCTCCTCTCGACATCCCATCCTGTCCAACCCTCTAGCACCGATAGCGAGCCGTGTGCGGGAGCACGACGCTGATGCCATCGCCAGATATAGGCAGACGCGCAATCGAAGCGGCAGTGCTGATACTGCACCAGTGCCTGGTGTCGTTGACGCAACCAACAGCGTTGGGAGCCCTCACACGCACACGAACGGTCTGCCCCCTTTACCTGTCTTCTCAAGCGGAGGGACTGCGGCAGTCCTTCGCCGGCTTCGGCCATCTGCCTCTGCAGCTCAGCTTCGCAGTACACCCCCGCCTCCCGTCCCAGTACCCACTGCCTCCCAGGACTCAAATCGAAATCGAGCTGGTACTACTCCCAGCCGTCCAGCGCCGTTGTCTTTTTCACCGCCCTCAGAGAGAGCCGCGCAGACACCGCCGCGGACTAGCAGCCGAGAGGCTACTTCCAATTCGAAAGGGCCGCCACGAAACGCAGGCGATTATACAGGTCCTCCAAGCGATTATGCGCATTTCCCGCCGCCACCACCTGAGCGGGAGCCGTCGACGCCCGTCAGCGCGGTGCAGACGACGCCGACCGCAACCCGCCGGTTGCCGTTCAACCTCCTCTCGAAACCCTTACCGTCGATTGATCCTCAGGTGGCCGCGGGCGGTCACAAGAGAGGGAACTCCGCGACATCTTTGCGCAGTTAGCATGTATTATAGCTATTTCCTGTACGGGTGTACTCTCAGACGATTGTAGGACTTGTCTGTCTTGCTATGTTGTTGCATTACTGTATCCTCGACGTCGGGTATCGTAGCCTTTGTTATTGGCTCAGAGAAGTGAACGTTTTACTACTTGGACTACTGCAGGGGCATACTTGATGCTTCTAACCACGCACTAAGTACGTATACTGTACGTCTGCACGAGAAGACGCGTACATACTGGCCCCTCCTTCTCCCCGCTCCTTTGAGCTGGATACAGTGTTCAAGGACCGTCTTCGTGGATTTGCCCGGACTCGCAAAGGTAAGAACGGCGTTCTCGTCATGCGGATAGATCATCCACATCGTATCTACCCAATGATCTGCGAGAGGCATGTACTCGGAACACACCTAGCCAAGTTCCGTTTATACGTCTAAGAAGGCCAACCTGGCTACCCACATGACAAACCTATTTCCGGTCTATTCGAGCGGTAACGTGAAGGGCGTTTGCAGTCGATACGGAAGTTTCGTTATTTATTGCAGTCAGCGAGCGGTCGTACGGTTGACCAGGAGTGTCAGGTTTATTTTGCATTTGCACTTCGCACTTGCGTTTGGCTGAGGGCACGCCGTGAGTTCGAATCCCACTGAGAGCAACGGGCAAGGGGCCGTGGGAACGTCCCGGATACTGCCGTACCCCTGTTGTCGCTGTGCTCGACGTTGCCCGACGCGTTGTCGACGCTGTTGTCGGCAACGTCGACGAAGGTTGCGCTGAAACTCCCAAACAAATACTGAAAAAATTGCAATCCTTCTGAACAGGCATAAATTTGCAACTATTAGGGTGTAAATGTCTAGACATGTTTAGGTGTTGTGTGAAAGTTTGCCCTCAAAGAGTGTGCTGGATAGTGTGGCCATATTAGATTTGTCTTGTTGAAGTTCATCGTGGGTCGCGTCACAGATACCACACCACCACATTTATTCTGCCGCTATTTGTACTCATCTACTGCCCATGCAGCATTTGCAGCTAACAGAGCACACATGTTGCTGAAGCCCGCAAGGCTGGCCAAGGGTGTGTGGCAGACGCCACAATTTCCTTCCCACACTTGCCGACTACCTAATGCGGTAGCAGGTCGGGACCGTCGAACATGCGTGTGTTTGCTCCCTTGCAATTCGCCACGACGCGTTACTAGCAGTATAGGGGGAATGCGCAACGGCGTCGGATATGGATTAGTTTCATTGACATTGGCGCGCACGTCAATGCTCCCTATCTCAATTGTAGAGTTTATCTTAATATTGAACGCACCTCTTGACTCGCAACGTTGATTGTGCAACGACTTCTTGCATAGCTCCTCAAATGAACAGAATACTTAATTGATATTAAATAGGTTGGTACAATAAGCTCAGAAGGAACCGATTTTTCCGTGTATTTTTCAGGTAATATTCATCACTTAACATTCGTCG